GGAAGTCAAAAATGGTCACCGGCATGCCCAAAACCTAATCAGATCTTGGCACTAGTTTACTCTTACATCTGTAAAAATTTAAGTTGAACTTAAGTGATTTTCCTTTGTGACCCAGTTTGATGACATTGACAATCGACTTTGAAAATTTAACTTTCCAGGCCTCAGTACATCTGAGTAGATCATATCGGTCAACAGACCTAGCAGATCGATTTTAGGTAGCAAGATAACTTGTGGAGCAGGGTTCTAACTTTAGTGGAACCCAGGGGAAGTTGAGTTTCAGCATGGGCTTTCAATTCTAGTTGAAATCCCATGGTTTCAGCAACCTTTTTGATCTCACAATGCCTCTATTCTAGTACGAAAAATGTCCTTTTAGTGTCCCAAAGTTGATTAATAACAAGTTCTAGAAATTAATCTAGCTATTTCAAAGTCAAATGGATCAAGGTAATCAATATATGTTTATTTTCCAGAATAAATCATTACAAATAACATTACAAATGAACAAAACTTTATTCTTTTGTTGAACGTTTTGACAAGACTTAAAATTGAATAATACTCCTTGAAATCAAATGTTCAGCTTGCTACTTATACTGTTATGAAGAAATCTAATTAATATACCATGGAGCCATCCCAGACATGTATATTATAATTCTTCCACCTACCTTGGTATAGCTTTCCTTTACACGTATGTTGTAATCCTCCAACTACCTTTGTAAAGCCATCCTTGCAGTTGGTAAAACTATCCTAACAATATACAGGGTGTTCCATATGTTTCAGGAATGATGCTGTATTTTCTTGGTTTTCTATTCAATCTAGCTGAATTTTTGACAAAATGTGTCCAAATATGTTGTGAATAAGTTGGAAAAGTTTCATATCATGAAACTCAGTAGACTGAATAATATGGTTGCTATAGTAACCTAGGGGTAGGGTAGGTGGAGCAGGTGTAACAATGCGCAAAACATGACATTTTTGTAAAAATAGTAGTTTTTGTATAAAGTGTTCAAAGTATTAATTTGTCATTGTTGCATCAAACTTGTTGGAAATTAAAAAGAATAAAGGTGGATTCCTTGAAATTAAAAATGTTATCACACATTTTATTAGCCATCAGTATTATTTCAGCATCTATCCCTTCCGCATTAGATAGCGCTCTCACTGTTCTCGGAAATCCACATTTTGGATAATCGGTCTCAGTTTCCCTTCCAGATTTGAACCGCTTGTACCACTCATACACTCAAGAGGTTACCATCATTGAGTCCCCATGTGCATTCGTCAGGAGTTAAATTGTGTCTGCTGCAGAAAACTGTTATTCACACATGTCATGTCTTGTCACAAATTGTTGTGTCCAAGGTTTTCCTTTGCTAATAACTTTTTCAATGTTCAAGATGGCCGCTCATCCAAAATGACCTGTGTTTATTCTCCTTTGTGACTCATGATATGACATGTTTAAATTGGGATGTGATCAAGGGTGATGTCATTTTTTTACTTTCTTGGAATCCACCTTCATTTTTGTTTAATTACTGACAAGTTTGATCCAACTCTGACAACCTAATACTTATAGTCACACTTCGTACAAAAAAAAACTATTTTTACAAATATTTCATATATTTTACGCGTTGTTACACCTGCTCCACCTACCCTACCCCTAGGTTACTATAGCAACCATATAATTAAGACTACTGAACTGCAGGATATGAAACTTTCCCAACTTATTCAAAACATGTTTAGACAGCTTGTGTCAAAATTTCAGTTAGATTGAAAAGAAAACCAATAAAACACAGCATCATTCCTGAAACATATGGAACACCCTGTATGTTGTAATCCTCCAGTTACATTGGTAAAGCTATCATATACAAGTATGTTGTAATCTTCCAATTAACTTGGCAAAGCTTATATACAAGTATGTTGCAATCCTCCAGTTATTGGTAAAGCTATTATATACAAGTATCCCAGTTGGCAAAGCTATTATATACAAGTATGTTATAATCCTCTAGTTACTGAATCATATACTTTGTTGTAATCCTCCAGTTACCTTGGCAAAGCTATTGTATACAAGTATGTTGTAATCCCCCAGTTAACTTGGTAAAAGCTATTATATACAAGTACTGTCCTCCAGTAATATTGGTAAAAGCTATTATATACAAGTACTATATGTTATAATCCTCCAGTTATCTTAGCAAAGCTATTATATACAAGTATGTTATAATCCTCAAGTTACCTTGGCAAATAGTTTCTTTACAAGTATGTTATAATCCTCCAGTTACCTTGGCAAATAGTTTCTTTACAAGTATGATATAATCCTCCAGTTACCTTGGCAAATAGTTTCTTTACAAGTATGTTATAATCCTCCAGTTACCTTGGCAAAGCTATTTTATACAAGTATGTTGTAATCCTCCAGTTACCTTGGCAAAGCTATTGTATACAAGTATGTTGTAATCCCCCAGTTAACTTGGTAAAAGCTATTATATACAAGTACTGTCCTCCAGTAATATTGGTAAAAGCTATTATATACAAGAACTGTATGTTATAATCCTCCAGTTATCTTAGCAAAGCTATTATATACAAGTATGTTATAATCCTCAAGTTACCTTGGCAAATAGTTTCTTTACAAGTATGTTATAATCCTCCAGTTACCTTGGCAAATAGTTTCTTTACAAGTATGTTATAATCCTCCAGTTACCTTGGCAAAGCTATTTTATACAAGTATGTTGTAATCCTCTACTTAATCCTCTACTAGAACTATCCTGTAAATGTATTGAGTAATGAGTCAATCAGCTTCAAAACAAGACACTTACCCAGATGGTGCAACTTTCTTGTGTTATCTCTTCAATCCAATCTTCGAATCACCTTTACTGTATTATATTACAAAACAGCATGGAGCAATATTTAATATAAACTGTTACGACCATGTTTGCCCTAACATAGCTATAATTGGCTTTCAAGATAAAACAATAATCTACTAAGGACAGTGTTTCTGTATCCGTTTCTGTATCCAACAACCTAATAATGTGAAATGCTTTGGTGTAGGCTGTTTCTGATAAGACCTCCCTAACAAGAAAGTTTGTGGTTTTTCTGCATTTTCTCTCAAGCTGCTATCATATACCCCTAAGTGGGTAAGAAGCCAGTGTAGATGAAGCTCTCTTTTAGAAAAGTGAAATCAGAATATTGAAAAGGGTACAATCAAATGCAAAGGAAAAGAAACAAGGAGTACAAACTCAAAACAATGAGTGTTATGTACTTATTTCATTGAATCCAGAGTAACAATGTTTTCTGTTCTTGTGAATAAAGTACTAAAATAATATAAAGCATGTGAACATGTTTTAAGGAAAATGCCACAAGTTATGATCATGCTTTTAGTCACACTGTAAGAATGTCGCACATAGGCTTTTAATATAAACACTTGCAAATGTGAACAATTCTAATCAGTCATAGGAGAATTCTGAAGATGTTAAAATGTTTTATCTGCATGGATTAACTCTAATCTATTACCTGTGATATAATAATCCCCATGATCCAGTGTCTTTGAAAGTATCATCCCTTATAATTATGACAAATGTGTAGTATTGTCTAAATTCTCATGCAGGCAACATATTTTTCACAACATAAATGGGAGAGAGAGGGGGTTGATAGCCACCTCTTGCAATTTAAAATTGTCAGTGGGACATTAAAAGCAATTGTACAATTGAAAAGCTTGCTGAAAAGGCTCCGAGATAGATAAGCGTTAAATAGATTAGAAACAAGGCTATAAAATGCAAAATGTCACCACCTGCCATTTGTTACAGATGTCAAATGTCAAACACTGACCACTGAATGCGGAACACCATCCGCCAAAAAGTTGGAAATAATATGTCAACACTGTACTTGTGGTGGTGATATAAAAAATTGGGACCATTTAAACCATCCTATTTTGAAAACGAAATCACCCATCCATTTAGTTTTTACACCAAAAGGTTCAGATAAAATTTGTTGAAAATGGTGCAGCTACATTAGAAAAATTGCCCCCTCTGCCTGTATTAAGAAAGTACATCTGACATGCAATATCACTCACAACAAGCAAGTTAGCCATTACTCTATTATATATTGGATTTTTGCCTTCGTGAGATGAAATCCTCTATAGGCTACATATTGCCTCCTATTAATGTTCTGGCTACAATCACAAGGCAATATAATTAGATATTAGATTATTATGTTTTGCATGCCTCAAGGTTAACAGTGTTGTTTCAACCACACTAATATACAACAATAACAAATTGAAAAATGTATATCCCCTAGGAAAATAGATAGTAAAGTCATCAACAATAAAGATGATATCATTTTGTATTTATGTTATGGATGACTACACCGAGCAATATGGAAGGCTGTTTATTTCATCAAAATTGTCAAAGATTAAACGCAAGAATTGTGTTAAAACTCAAATATTCTGCAATTTTTTATTTCTAGCAAATTCCTTCATTTCTTTTAGGAACGTGCTGTTTTGTGGCTCTTCAAGACAGAGTAGCCCAGGAAAGAGACAACATGTTTAAAACATTGCCCACGAGTACAAAGTATGTTTTATAATTCCATTTATACACACTCAAGAATAAGACATGAATAAAGCTGAACATATAATGTAATGAATAAAACACAAAATACTTAATTTTTTTGAAAATATTCTTCATTAGTGCATTCCTTGGCCTCAGCCTGAAAAACTAGATGTTCCCTTGATGAAAACTCTCCGCATAAACAACATAAAGTTGCATAACTACACTGGTTGAACTACAGCCACTTGAAATATCATTCCCAATAACAACAACTACAGGAAAAACTCCAAAAATCTCACACAGGCTGCTTGATAACTTCTGCTATAAAGTATCTTATATGTTGCAAAGGCAAAAGCTTACTTACCAGACTAAATATAGCTCAAGATTTGCCTGCCTCTAATCCACCGAATGGTAAATATAAACTAATGATAAGTACTTCAGGTAGGGTACATACATACATTGCACGCTACATAACACCAAAAGTACCTGAGAGTTTAGATATATGGATGTCAAATAGGAAAGATAAACATGCGTGTGGGATTATATCAGAAGTTCGTAAAGATCTTCCCTTGATTGCAGAATTCTTAATGGATTAAAGAAAGTACTATGGATAATTCTGGAGGATCTTGATACTGCAATTGCTGACTTATAAAGTTAGAACAATACATTGATTGGGCACTAACTGACATCATAATATGTATGTATATCAGAATAAGGTGTAGACAATGGCTCTGTATAAGTAAGTACAATATTCTTATATTCAACATTATATACACCATGATTGTGAAATTCCCTGCAACCCGATTGGTCCATGTGACTTAAATATATTCTGTATTTACACACTCTCAACTTAGCACGGGATACAGAGTGAAAATGACGTCACTGTTGGGATACTGTTCAGTATCCCAGCGTGCCAGATTTCCATTCAGGATATGACTGATACTAAAAAAAATCAAAATGAAAGTCTGTACTTGTGAAATACAGACTTTTTCAGGTGAAATATTTCCTGTATTTCACTTGAATCAATGAATAACTTAGAGTATTGTAAAACCTGGTGAAACAAAATATGTTAATGATATTGTGCAACCATCTCTCCATCAAGGCATCATGATATATACAAATGATTCTGGTTGCAGCTACAGTGCCTCATTACCCAGGGAGGCCTATGTCAATGATCCAGAAGGTCTGGAACAAGCCTTAAATGACAGGAAAGCACATGGGAAAGATCACTACACACTTGCCAGAGGGCTACAACTTGTAGCAGAAAAAGGTAAATAAAAATAATATGTGTCATTTACAGATGCAGTGGTCTGGACCTCAAGTTCTCTGTTTCTTAATTCTTATCTTACCAAAAAGGAAGAAACAAAGAGTAGATGATGTCTTCAGCCATGCGTTTGGAGGATGAATATGTGTCAATCATACTCAATCAGAGTATAAAGCTATTAATAAATAGTCAATAAACGTTTCTGCCCCATTAGATAGTCTGACATAAGTTCAAATGTGGAAAAGATAAGTATTATTTTTTCGAAAGATTGTCCTTATTTTTTAAAAAAATAGGCCTCATTTTAAGAAAAATAAATAGGTCTAGTCTTCCAAAATAATGTATTTGTCCTCCTCATTGCTTTCTACCCCTTTAAATGATAGATTTTTCAATAACATAAGTTTGTTTGTCTTGTAGGGTATTTAGAGTGTGTCCTTGTGTTCCTCAGGGCAGGTGCTCTGCCCGATGCTCATGACAGGAGTGGACAAACACCACTGATTCTAGGTAACAGCTAAGATATGATGAACAATTAACTTATCCTTCTTACATATACCATGACCTTTGGCTGCTTATTCCAAAATGCCAAATGTCAATAGCATCCACTGAGCTGAGAAATATAATCAGATAATGCAAGAAAGTATTCTTGTTACAAAGTATAGACAACATTCAAAAATAAAAAATGTGCTTAACAGAGCTATAACATCCAAGAAAAAACATACAATGTGTATAAACTTAAAACAAAGTGGTCACTCAGCTTTCCTTAATCATTTCATGAAACTAATATGTGTTCTCCTCTTCCAGCATCCATGCAAGGCTATGCTGATATTGTGGAGATCCTAATTCGCAAGGGATGTAATGTCAATAAAATGTGCCACAGAACACGCGCCACTGCCCTACATTGGGCATCTGCAAATGGCCACCTGGAGTGTGCTGAGCTCCTATTGGATGCTGGAGCCAACCGAGAAGCCAAAACAACCAATGGGAGAACACCTCTTATGATGGCATCACGTAATGACCATGATCTAATCCTAGAAATGCTTATAAAAAACAACTGTGATGTCAATGTGTTAGATGTTGAATCTAACTCTGCTCTGCACCTTGCTGCCATTGATGGTGCCTATGATACTACCAATCTATTGATTAAACATGGATGTAAAGTTGACCAGCCTAATCATTACGGAGATACCCCATTTTTGTTGGCAGCTAGAGGCGGGCATATTCAGGTGGTAAAGCGTCTGCTCCGTGCAGGATGTGACATTAACAGACGTGGAAGGTATACCTTGAATGCCTTACATTGGGCGTGTGACAAAGGAGCCACAGAGGTAGCTAGCCTACTCCTTAGTAACATGATTTCCCCGAACTGTGAAACCAAGGATGAAATCTATAGTGGAGACATAGCCATGGAACGTGGAATGACACCTACAATGTTAGCCTGTCAAAAAGGACACCATAAAATCTTAAAGCTTTTGATTGAAGTTAATGCTAATATACACACCTGTCAGAATGGACACTTTTCTGCATTACATTTTGCTTGTAAACATGGTCATACGGAATGTGTGCGTATACTCCTAAACAAGGGAGTCATACCTGAACCCCTTGGAGCAAGATATGATTCAAACCCTGGGATTATAATATATGAACCAACACCTTTGTTTATTGCTGTAAAGTATAACCATCCTGAGGTGCTGGGGTTGATCCTCCAAACAGGGGTCAATCCTGATATCTACTGCTATCACGACAGAACAGGCAAAGCCATGAGTGCATTATATCTAGCCTCCTCACAGGGTCGTGTGAATGCAATCCTGAAGCTCGTAAAAGCAGGTGCTGATATCACAGTTCTCTTAAAAGACTCCTCGATATCAAGTAGTTTGTTACAGGATGCGGAATTCACTTCGTGGCTAGAAGAATGGAGGCACAGTCCTATGTCATTGAAGTTTCAGAGTAGAGTTCAAATTCGAAGAACTCTGGGGTATTTTCCCAACAATAAAATTGAAATGTTTCCACTTCCAGACTCTATGAAGAAGTATCTACAATTGGCGGAACTCACAGAAGATTAGATAATGTTTGTGTTTATAGAACTGAAGATTCAGAAAGACTATATGCAAATAAATATTGGTGCATGGTTAAGTTTCTTTCTGTATATTTTACAAACATGAGACAAAAAATTAATTTAAAGAATGTATGGATAAAAAAGTCTTGGGGGTCAGAAAAAAGAATACCTTATTTCTAAATGTGAACAGTAAATGCGGAAGATATTCTATATGTTGAGATATACTATTTATTAGCTTGGACACTTAACATAACATGAATCGATGCTACAAACCCCATTTCTAAATTGTTGATTCAATACATCAATATTGAACCTAATTTTGACATTAATAAAAATCTTGTTTTCTTAATATGATGAATCCCTAATGTACATTTACATGCAATGCATATCATAAAATGTGTCTCATTCCTTGAAACAGCTACTTACCAATTTCAACCCTCAACCTGATTAGTATTTTCTACATAATGACTGCTAACTGTCATACAAAAACACCTGAGATGATATATTACCATTGGTACATTGCTAAGTTGAAATGGCAGCTAAGTGGTGATATGTCATCATTACGATAATTTTGAAGTAAAATATTTCCGATTCATTATCTATCTGTAGAGTTGCTGAATGGAATTCAGTGTAAATCAGAATAAAGTGATGGAACCTGTTGTTTGCACTTTACCATAGACAAGAGACAAAGTTACTTCATATGTCGAAGTTCCAAATGCAGAAAATCATGCCTAAGCTTGACCCCTTCACCATGTTAAAAATCTGTAATGCACTCTACATCTCTGACACTTGAAGCAATCTCATCATGTTAAAAAGATCATGACATACACATGTACTGTTCATGCTTTTCAGTGTGATAATAGTATATTACTATTGGAAATTATTGCCAAAAAGAAAACCCGGAATCTCGGAAATCCAAGACAATTTAATACGAGCTCTGATGCATCAATATCAATACAAGTCTAAGGGGACATACCTTTGTGGTTCCTTTCATCAGACATATTGTTTACTAAGCTTGTAACCATGGCAACTTGTCTCTCTAAAAGCTGTTGATGTGCTTGGGATGTCTAGAAAAATACATTCAAAGAAAATGTTTCATGTATGACATTTAAAACAAACCTTCTATGACATCATACAAACAATTAATGATGGTTGACATGCCAACCATATTGATTATTACAAAATGAATAGTACCTCCTAAAAAGCTGTGCCATTCAAAATTAATCTCCTATATTATTAGATATTACACAAATAATTTTTGGTGAATTCCTGTGCATCTTTCACAAAGATGCACGGGTATTCAGCAAAAATAGAATTTAATATTTGTTAATTATTATTATTCACTGTTAATATTCCCCACTCTCAATAATGGAATAAAAAACTATTTACAATTGGTATCTAATTTAATAACAATGTAGTGCATATTAATAAATAAATAGAACTCACTCTTGGGTTTATATAAAATTAGAATTATACTGGACGAACTCAAAGCAAGGCAATATTATTTGACAGTATTTCCTTGTCATGTTTACAGTTGGGCAATATATCTTCTTATTTTCTATTCATGTGTAGGACATAGACCAATCAGAGAGTGAGAAATATGACCGCGATATAATAATAATGGATGTCATGACCAATATAGATGACAGGTCATAATTGGTCTAATTTTAATAATCTTCATATTTCAAATTCTTAAATCCAAAAGTGGTAGACACAATTCATTTTCCAATTGTTCTGGAACATTAAGTACCTCTAAACAATAAACGAATTAAAGAACCTCAAAAACTTCAATAAAAAAAGCAAATCCCTGGAGTAGCAAATTCCATCAAACAAATAATATTTTATTAATTCACTCATCATTTTGAACATTACAACCAGGCAGTCTTCTTTAAAATCGACCACACTAACATAACATGACGCTATATTACAGATTCCCTCTCAAGTTGAATTCCTACTTTATGCCCACATAAGGTATTTTTTATTTATATTTGTTGGTGGAATAATAAATTAAAACCACAAAAGCCTCCTTACTTTACAAAAACATTTTATACATTGAATCATTAATGAATCAACAACACATATAAGAAAATACTTACTGTTATTGTCGATTAGGAAATTAAATAAATATTCATACAATATATACATTTATAAGTTACCTGTAAAGCATCTTGAAGGGAGCCAAGAGGCATGAGATCATCCAGCTCTTCATCATTATTGACACTCCCCTTTCTGGTATAGTATGTGCTAAAGCTGATATGCTCTTGTAAGGCATTCAACCATTTCTGGAAAACAAATACAATACATAGACTATACATGTACAGTACATCAAACCAAGGATGCATTGAACTTAGACACAACGTAACACAGTGTGAACACATTGTACACTTGAGTCAATTGAAATGAAGTAATTCCAAAGTAAAACATATGGATATATTCAAAAGAATAGTACAAAGTCTCGACTAATGGGATAAATTACATGTGCTAGCAAACCCCAACACAAACATGGATATTTGTTTTTAGGCTCAGACAAATTTTCATATGGCCGATATTGTTGAAGGATGTCTTGTGGACGGAAAGATGGACTATGTAAAACTGGACAGACTAGTGGGTGATTCCATAGGCTCGGGATGTGACCCAACAAAACAGGAAAACAAACAAACAATTGATTGATTGAATTCTAACCTGTTTTGTTATATGACAGGCTTGTGAGTCAGTGGGATCAACGAGGAAAACATGATGTGTGTCATCTGAGAAGTTTATCCTTATCTCCCTGGGGTCATCTGCACGCACCTGAAATTTTTTTTTTTCATATTCATGTATTTATCAAAGGTAAATCACCATAAGTAAGATGAACCTAACAATGCATTCCATCAAAAATAAGTGAACATTTAAACCTATGTAAATGGGTTGAGAAAAATTATTTTAATATCAGCTGAATGGACAGCTTCTTTCTCAATGTGGATCCAATGGAGAAATTGAATCAACTCACTTATGTGAGTTGATGTCTCAATATAATAATATCCGGAAAGTGAGTGACTGCAATAAATGCTCAATTACATTTGGGTAGGAGAAATAGAAAATTACATTATGTGAGTTGATGTCTTAATATAATAACATCCGTAAAGTGACTGCAATAAATGCTCAACTACATTTGGGTAGGAGAAAGAGAAAAATGGTATATCAAAATTTAATAAATTTTTCATTTAGACTAAATCGATATACAAAAGAAATTGACAAAATCGATCTGGGAAATTGATATGACCTGGTTCCTTACCATAACTTTTGCATCATCCAAGTACTTAAAGCCTTTTCTGTTTGACCCTGTTGTAGCATCAGCCCTAAAGAATTCAAATTACAAAATCATTTTTTGTAATTTTATCTGTAATTTTTATTGATTTAGTAGTGAAACTATAAGACTGAATATTTATAGTGACAATTTGGATTATGTCTATGGTATCACGAAAAATATAATTATTTTGAATATCTCCATAGTAACACTAACAAATACACTACCTTGTCTTGAAGGAAGACATGACACCTCTATCTAAGACAACCCACACATACTTCAGTCTAAGTCGTGCTTTCTGAAATAAACCAAAACTTGTAATATACAGTACATACGAAAAATGCATTGATTGTCATGGTGAATACTTTGAGAAAGAGTGAGATTGCACCAGAAGGATACGGAATCAATAGTCCTGTACAGAATTGATGTGGTCCACAAAATGACTTGCTAGAAGTCACGGATAAAATCACGTCCTGAATATCAGTTGAGACTTGTATATTTAACTAGCAATTTGTGACAAACAATGTGCTCCATGGACCCTGTTGTGACGTCATGATTGGAACTCTCACTTTACTGAAGTTGGGTTTAACTTTTTGAGATTCTCACAAAATGATTATCACATGTTTGTGATTCTGTGTTCCAAGTTTGAATAAAACCTGGTTGATAGAAGTGGAGTTATAGCATTTGTCCCACTACTTATGAATCCCCCTCGTATGTGCATCTATTACTACAGTCTTCACTTGCTTTGCTTATGGCATTCTCAAAGATATCTAGCAATATAACTGTATTATTTGTCCTCAGTCAAGACTTTTATTCCTTTTTAGAATTGCTAGGAATTAGAAATAAATATTATATTGTAATTTCTTCTTCAGACCCATCAACCTGAAGGTAAATAAATTATCAAAATAAACAGGTAAATAAATCGTGTTTTTGCTCACCTTCAATAGTGTACCTTCAAAGCGACAAACTTCCTTGAGCAATGTTTGGATTGGCCTAACATCCAGGACACACCTCATGGATGTGCTTTTACACATCATTAGAGCAGTTTGCCCTGGAAACCAAAAATTATCAGGGGCCGTGAATTTGTATAATCTCATTAAATTATCTAATGGAGGAGTTATCTTGGAGACTTGACCATTTAATAATAATGCATTTTAGGATTGATCTGCCCAGATATTAAAGAATAAATCCAAGAAAACTAGACTAAGTGAATATTCACTAGTATTTTGGAATAGCAAGATTTATAATACAGTAGTGATAAAAATGGCCCCGCTCGTTAATGCTATGTCTTTTGCCATATAAAGGGTAATGAGGAGCTCAAAATTTAGCATTTAATCATACCATCATAATTACCTTTGGCATTTGTTAGTTTTGGATTAATCCCATTCTGAAAAAGGAGCACTGCAACTTCTTTTCTGTCTCTATAAGCTGCACAATGTAGGGCACTGTTACCAAACTTATCCACACAGTTGATGCTAGGCCCGTTGCCATCTTTTAACTACAAAAATATATGATCACTTAATGAAATTATTTCAAAGCATTCTAAATTTCTAAGAGGGAGGGGTGTTGTATAGGATAGGGTATAAGAGTATCAAAAATACATCACTTTTTATAAGTGTACATCAAAGAACTTAAGACAGAAAATGATGAAAATAATGCAGATAAAATTATTTTCTTAAATGATCTAAAAGGCAAAGTCTTAGCCTGTAAATATTACCATGTGCTAGTAAGTTTTTGAGCTGTTACAGATGCTGAAAACCAACTAATATCAATATTCACAAGTTTTTTCATGACATAATTACTTATACCATTTGCTGAAGCTTCTCTGTGTCACCATCTCTTGCGGCTGCCAGGAATTCAACTTCCCTTTTTCGACACTCATATTGCTCTGCCGCTGGAAAAGTAAATCATAAACAGAAATTATCTACATGTAATACAAATACAGGGTGAGTCAAAAGAACTTCCACCTTTTTATCTCATTTTCTTATATTTGTTGGAATCTGTTAAAAATTCATATGTTCATACATTCAATCATGAAGAGTTTGTTAGACAAAGTAAGAGATTATATTTTGGGAAGAGTCCATGAAGACAAGGCATTGGACACACATTATACAACACCTTCAAAATATTGTGAGTTCAGGACTTTCACAATTATAGTGAAATCTTACTGAATATGTTGTTTTTGAATGATTTTTACAAGAGAGCTTGTCTAGATGGAAAATGAAACCTCTGTCATTGTTTTGATATGCTGTATAAGTAAACAACTGATTTATACATTAAACACTATATCTACATATCTTTGGGACCACTCTGTAGAAGTTTAAAAATGAATGTATTCAAATACATATAGTGGCTAAAAATTAACTAACTCCAGATTATTAAAGGCATTTTCCAATCTGATTTTGCTGTACATTTATACTGCATGTACACATTTTTGAAGGGTCCAGGGAATTGAACTGTAATGATGACAAGTAATAGTAAACTGCAGAATTATCCTTTTCATAACATATTTATTTATATTTAACATTTGGTGCAGTATATCTAAATGTATAATGAACTATGAGTGGTCCTTACTGACCTTCAATTAACTCTTTGATATCTGTAGTTTTTGCAATATGCTTTGCTCTCTGCCCCTCTGCATTTATGATTGTGACATCAGCATCGTTGGCAAGCAGTAGCATAACAACCTCAACACGTCCTGTGTATGCAGCTCTATGTAGAGGCGTGTCTCCAACATCATTGGCAATATCTACATCTGCTCCATACTACAAGGCAACCATGTATAATAACTCTAAATGCTTTGTAAGAGTGGATGCTTCTCTGATATTGTTCAAGGAAACTAAGTACCGATTGTACTTTCAGCATTGATCAACATACGAGTATGCAATTCAGGCATCACTTACCTCCAGTAAAAGTTGAACAACTTCTTTATGACCAAAATAACTGGCAAGAAGTAAAGGGGTCCAACCATGGTTTGACTTTGAGGTACCTATATAAAAAAAGTAAAGATTTACATGGTTTTTGGAAATTTTTATTGCAAATGAACAGTGTGAATATGAATACCGTATGCACATGCAGTTTGTAAGGTAAAAGCTTCAAATTCAACTGGATCTAAATAGGTGTTTTACAAAATTCGGAATCAAAAAAGGTACTGAAAGTGTCTACCTTTCTTTAGAGAACACTCCTCTAATAAACTATGTACTTTGAGTTATCAGAACTGAAATTGTTTTGTCCAGCTCAAGGTCAAAACCTGGGTCACAACAGATTGTTCTGATAGAGTTAACTGAATTTCAGGAACTTGAAATTTGTTAAGGTCAGGGTTAAAAACTAGGGTTGGGAATTGGGATTTGACTTAGTGTAAGTAAATACTTCAATGTAAAACATCAAATTTAAACCTCAGCATATTGCCTTGAAACCAGACTTTCTGAGCTTTTCAGAACTTGAATTGATAATTGATTCCATGAATTATACACATTTAAGGGCTACATGTATGCATAACCCTCCTTGATCTCTAATTTGAGTGACTCATTGTAAATAAAAAAAAACCAGCCACAACATAAGTAGAATATAGCAAAGTATGTTTCCTATTCTGAAAAAATGAAACTGATTCTATTAAACAAGGAAGGATTTTAAAAGAAGTGGATTCGATTTCACAATACACTTTACTAGATTTCCTTCTGTCACTTAACATATTTTTACTAAATACCAATACATGTAGAAGGTTCAAAACAAATCGCATACATACATTGTAGTAGACATCTAGTATTTATATGATTCCATGGAAGAATACAATCATATGTCAATATACCTACATATTCACTCTCTATTATAACTGAGGGATTAAGAAGAAATAAACATTCACTTTCCAGTTAAATCCATAAGTCTTTAGCAATGTAGAAATCTGCATGGAAGATTTAAGCAATACTTGAACCTTGGTGAAATATGCAAAATAAGAAAATTATGTCCAAAAATGGCAAGTGCTTGATATGACATACCTTTACAATTGATGTCTAAGCCAATGCGCCCCTCTTTAGATTCCTTCAGGAGTGCTTCTACTAATTGTGCATTGCCCTGTCTGGATGTGAGAAGTAGCTGGTCTTCACTTGTTACATCCTCCTCTATTATGTCTGAGTCTGCACTCATACTGCGTGAAGCAAATCACCTTCTGGAACAAACATATAATTTACATACATATTTCCACATATATACTCCAAACCTATTTAATGGTAAAAAATTATTTTTCTATAATCTGTTTTATTTCATTATATGATAGACAAATACAAATTGTTGCTGATATGAGTGACCAATCGCTATGAAAGGATAGCATTTTAGGTTCATTCTTAGTTTTTTAAATACGAGTATAACAAAGTGTATGTGAAAAAGATGTATTTTTCTGACAAAGGGGGTTTACTGGTATTTGCTGGGTAATGGTGCTGGGGCAAAGTAATAAGATGATCTGTTTGAACAAGAGGAGGCTGTCTTGAGCATTAAGTGGAATTGTCTGATAAGAAATTGTAACTAGTTTTGGTAGAAAATTATCTAATCTGATACTTGCACAGGCCCATAGATATGCATGCACTTCCATCAAATGGTGATTATGACCCAGATCTTAGATTACATGGTATAGTATTATTGTAACAGGAGATACCAGTTTTATTAAAATATTAAACATTTAAAAAACAGTTTCCATGCAGACATCTTACATGTAATATACTGTTTTTGAATCTTGCTAGAAAGTTTCAATTCGACTCGGTAAATGAAGTCTTGATCAGTGATAATGTCCATGGGCATGTAAGACATGGCTGCAATGCTATATATTCAATGTGGAAAAGTCAATCGGCTGAATAGCTAGTGGTAGAGCACTCATCTGCAAAGCGAGGGATCCACACTAGGGTAGAGTGACTTTTTCACATTATCCCAGTTAGCCCAAAATTTCATTCTGTGTTTTCATTAACCACAAAGGCCAGTGATGTAGGAAACATTTCAGGATTTAATTTAAGAAGCTGATTTCAGTTTTTCACTTTCAGGCATCATGATCCTGAAGTAGCTGATAGGGGGGGGGGATGACTAAGTAAGCCAGCAGCTAGCATTTGAAAGAGGTAACCTTATCCAATTCCATGAATTTTAGTCCTGGCTCCAATGATTGTTCAGGCATCAAAAGAATTCTACTAATCAGTTATAAATTTTCATGTAGTTGAACCCCCAATCTTATGGGTTACAGACACACTGTAACATACAACTGACAAAATGGTTAAAAACATTTTCTCAGGCTTTAGAGTCCATTTTATGGTTTAAAACCTTCTCTGGTGATTCTATTTTCGAATTATGCATGAAGGTCCATTCAAAGTCGCCTATTGAACCTTGAAAAGCGATATTTAGACTGAGGATCGAAAGGTGTTCACAACAACTTTCGTCTCATCTTTATAACGACAGACCGAAAGTGAATTTTCGAATTGAGTAAATGGTGATAATGTTCTTTTTTTATAAAGCAGGGAAGTCAAAACATTACTAATAGAAATCATACTAAGGGCACTAAGCATTAGAAGATAATTTAGAAGCATTTAAAATCGAATCCACGGCAAAATCTGAATAATTAAAATACTCATACCCGGACGTTACAGAACGCACTTCGGGTTTTATTAATCAAAAAATATTTTTATGAATTTATCCAATTTAAATACGGTATATGTATACTTGCGTTGATTGTTAAATTGAAAAATAGGTAGGGTAAAGAATAGATCTCGTCCTAGAAGTAATAATTTGTGACTTATATCTCCCCAACGTTGGAGAAACTGCCTGAACAATGATTAGATCGTACAACCACAAGGTGGGGTGGTAACAGTCAATACAGAGGTGAAATTTCTAAAGCATGAAGTTGAAAGTCAAGTACAGTAGGGATCATAAAGAATTGCAAAAGCTATGAAAATTACATGCTGTCGCACATGTAATAAATTCTTACCTCAGTGTATTCAGTGCTCTATTTTCTCCGTCTGAGTAAGTCCAAATATAGTGGAATTTGTGTCCCTAATGACAAATAAGAACTTCAAAAGTTGAAGTGGATATTCACATGTTATGCCGACTCTTCAAATGTTGAGGTGATTTTGTTGCCCGATTGCGCCGGAACGGAGGATTGGCTCCCAGAATGCAATATGACACGTGCCAGCTTTCAAAATGCTGTTCCGCCATTTTGAAACCTGTCATGAGTAAATATGGTAACTGATGTTGCATTCTGGGAGTCAACCGTCCTTGGATAACAAACATGGCGATTCATGAAAACATTCATTCGATTTGGTAGGGATTTATCCATTATTTGCAGGTATGAAGCTTTGGATTCATTTATTGTGCTACTTTAGTGAACAGGAATTATTTTTCTACCGCTTGGGAGAGTTTGAGACACGAAACTTGGAAATTAGCTCATTGTGACAACTTGTGAACGTTGAGTTTTATTTTTGTCCCCAACTTTATAAGCTTTTTCTTAGTCTATTAGGAAAAAAATCTTAAAAACCCAAGTGTACTTGTGTGTAGTAAGTAATGTCACAACGAAACTGAAAAGTAATTTTTTTTCACTGAAATTTTTTTCAAAGATAACTTACTTACTTTGTGGCTTGTTTCCTAATTCTATCATCAACCTTTACTTTATTTTGTCGACTAGAAGCTCCTGATAATTTATCTGAAAGGGGGCTTCATCAAATCGGTCGCAAATAACTCGGTTTGATTCAATTGAATGAACTTTGTTCGGTTCCCTCTTTTTTGCTAATTTTGACCGGAAGTGACTGAAGGGAGCATACATTATTTGTTTGGCCAAACATTTTTGTAGTACTGACAGTACATAATTAATGATATCATAATAGCATATAAACCCTAAACTGATTATAGTTTAATGAAAATAAAGTTATCACATAATTCTGCTAATTTGAAGTGGGGTCCCTGGGCCGACCAGTGGGTGTTTTCCGTAGTATTTCGTTCGGTGCGTTCCTGAAGGAATACATGTAAGGGGAGGGGAATTTCCTTCTTTTGAATAAAGACTAAAGAGTATGGAATTCCACTTTATGTCACTTAAAATACTGTTTATCAATGTAGCAAGTAAAAAGCATTCTGTTATGTATTCAAAAAATATAATCAGGGGTTATAACCAGGATTTAAAATCAGGTGAGGCTAGCAGTAGGATGAATAGGCGAGGTAAATATTTAGACTTTTGGTTGATTGTTAGCATTTGACTTAGTTTCCACAGTTTTAGTTGAAAAAGCATCTGAAAAATGTAATCATGTAAAATTTTTGTGAGACAGTTGCCTCGCCTGGATAGGCCAATGTTTGATATAGTTTAGCAAGTATCACGGACAGCACTGTCTTTTTAGGATATTGTAGAGATTTCTGATTGTGTTTGGTTTGTATCTACATATGTTTTTGTATACACTGATTGGTTAAACCCACTAGGACGCATTATCAATCTGTGTTGTCTATGATATTATTACTGGCATTTAGGCTGAACAACTGTTGATACAATGTATTTAATGATTGAGAAAACGAGTGGGAGGGGGTTAACACCGTGACTAAATATACTAGTAACCCATGATTAAATGAGGCATTAGCACCCAAAATGTCACCACCTACCATTTGTTACAGGCCTAATGTTACAAACACCAAACGCCACCGCTGGAGACTATAACACACTCTGGGTTGTGACATGAAAACCATAATCAGATTGTTAAAAGATTTATGTGGATGAATATTCATTAGAAATGGTCAAAAAGAAAATACTTCAAATTCCATAAGGTAGGATACAAAATAAAACAAGTTTCAGTAATATCTATATTTTATCAGTTTATCAGGTTCCTTTATTTTTACATATATTACAGTTTGATATTTGATAATAATACTAATGTACAGTTAAAATAGGTTCAGATACAATCCAATGGTTTAATAATATATAATGAGTAATCTTTCACATGTAACATGTATAGTAATCATTGCACCAATAATACTTTAAATACACCATGATGATCTTTAGTTTTTCAGTTGTATAATATGTAATGTGTTCTAACATGAATAAGAATTTATTGTTTTTGAAAATAATGATGCAAATTAGAAATATTTTTGACATTTTTTAACATTTCAGGCCTGCAGCCAGGGACCTCCCCCAGCCAAAACTTCTTTCAAAATTATGCAGTTTTCACCATTTTTATGTGATTTTGGGCCAAATTTGTCAAATATGAACAGAACTTCCTGGAATTTCTTTAAAGCTGAACCCCATTGGCAAAAGCTGGCTACAGGCCTGGTTTTATTGACATGCTTGAAAAATATGACCCAGCATATGGTAAAGTGCCATCTATTGGATAACCTTGGAGATTATAATTGAGAAAACATTGTCGAAACCTTTCTAATGTGAGTATGGGCTTGACCAGCTTAAAATATTCACATTAAGGTTTTCACATTGATAACATGGAAGTTAATGAGACAACCAAATTCAAAGCAAAAACTGAGCCAAAAATGGATTGCAATTTTAAAAAAAAACATAGGATCCTGCTGTGTAACTTGATATATAAGGATGACATAATATAACAAGGGTAAGCTGTTGGGGAATGTTATAATATAAAGCCAATGAATTGCAACATTTAGAAAGCATCAGGGATAAATCAAGTTACACAACTGAACGGTATCAATGTTTTAGATTTAAGTTTTTTAGTATTTACAAAGCTGGATCATTTCAGCAAGAGTCAAATTTTTTCAAATCATCATTTGAATATCAAAACATACATGTATTTCCCCGAATAAGAGATGTAAAAATTGGGTTAAATATTATGCTACTTTTTACGACAATCTGGTTGTTTCAGTCAACATGAACAAGATACGAAAATCACAGAATTACAAGACAAAGATGTCATATTATTGTTTTATCTATTAAGTCAGTTTTCTTCAGCAGTGTCAACAATTAGGATATGAGATACAGTGTAGAGATGACAAATATAGTCATGGACGAAACAAGTGTCATGAATAATGACACAGACACCAAAAACAACATAATATAATATGAAGCTCTTTCAAAACTAATGTACATGACAATTAGTTTCATTACCTCGATTAACTCCATCAGTACTTTAAACAACCAATCTAAATACAGCATCAGCAGGCAACAGGCGATTTTCACCGGTTGTTTCACAAAATCGCCTGTTGTTTTTAGGGACTTTTCAACTTTTCCATGTTAATTCATGATTTCCATTAATTTTGTTGTTTTCATTTATTTAGCCTGTTGTGAGAAATTCTAGTGACCCCTGCAATGATAATCAATGCATATCTAAAGCTTTTCCTCTTGCGATAAAGCTCTCAGCCATATAAGTTCAAAACATATCTTGTGTGTCAGTTCTAATAGATATAGAGCACCAAACAATATTGATCTCATCCTGCGATTTTTTTCTTCGTAATTTGGAGAGAAACTGGCCTCTTAGAATGAATGATCAACAACACCAAGCAGACTATACTGTGCCGTGCCATATAACCAGTGAGTCGATTGCACTTTAGCTTCTAATGGCACTGTGGTGTTCCTCCTGCGACACAAGCTTATATGAATTATGGTATATTCCGATCTGTACATTGCATCAATAAATACATATATATCCACCAGCGTATGTGCTGTTACTATACACTAAGTCTTTCCAAGGTTTTCTTCCAATATGCCATTAGTCTGTGGGCTACTTGGAATTGGTGGGCTTTGGTGTTTATGCCGCACGTTGAACACTTCAGTGATTGCTTTGCGGAAACAGTGGAAATTGTAGTCTATAAGACCTGGAATCATAAAATAGGTTGATTTAGATAGGAGACAAAAAATTGGAGAAATTCTATCTTGGAAGGAGGTAACATTAGCCAAGTGGAACAGTGGAAGGGTCTCTTAAACATGTGTGATTATGCAATGCATATAAAACATCACTCCCACTGACCAAAACAAATAAAGAATTGAGATTATTGAAAGTAGTCTGCTGTATATGACAAATGGTTGATCCCAAAATATTTCGCATCTATTGTATCAGCGACTTTATATCTTGCACATTGCCAACCCCTGTTGCATCCCATTTGATTCAGATGTACAAGATTCAGTGTTCAATTGGTAAGATTATCTTATACTAGCACTTTCTTAGCTCACTGTCTCCGTATTCATAAGGTTTCATTTTTTAATTCCTCATCCTCTTTTTCATCCAAATCTATCTTCAGATAATACAATGCAGTATTTATTACCTTGTCTTTCAAAGCTATCCTCTCTCATTATACAGACAATTGCTAAGAATTTGTTCACTTCCCGTAAATAAAGTATGGTTGCATTGTTCATTTTTATAATAGAAGATGATTGCTGGTCGAATGCACTGTTGTCTGTGTCCTCACTGCCACTGGAAAAAACATTTGAATGAGTTATTTTAGTCATTAACAATATGGCCCAAAACTTAGATAATATAGCCAGAAATATGTAAAAAAAAATCTACTAAAATCAGGACACCACTGTTGTTGACGATTTTAATAAAACACGTTTTGTGATGTCACAACATTATAAACTCATATCATTAAGAATCCTTCATTTAACCATAAACTAGAAAAAACAGAGTATCAAATCCCAATGTACTAAACATATTTTATTATCAAATCACTTGTCACTATGAATATTTCATGAGAGAAATAAACAGGCAATTCTGTTGTCTTCGTAAGGAAAAATCTACAACGATAATGGGAAATGACACCAAATCAGGAATTCTTTCTTCACTAGAGGTGCTACGCCCATATAAGGCAATGCAAACATCTGATTTTACTAACATCGTCATGTAATATTGAATTGTAGCAAATATAGCAATGGTTTTGTTATGAGGCTAACCAAAGACCTCCATCAATAAATGGTCATTATGAAAATTAATCCATCAAGATCTTAACTTTTTGGGCTCTAGAAATAAAATATTTGTCCATGATAAAGATATTTTCCCCCTTAAACGTCACAATTCAGAAAAATAAGATTTCATTACATAAGCCAAATTTCCCTTACTTCAGCAGATTATCTACTCGACCTGTATAGTAATTGGTACAATAAAGGATGCTCTAATCTTACCCATATATACAAGACACATCTATGACTACATCTATCATGTCACAGCAAAGCTCATATGACTGCATGTCAACTGGTGATGAATCTGTGGCAATGTAGATTTTACTGACGACATCAAACAGAAACGCTTTTTCTATACCAGAATTCTGGAATGAGAAAATATGTGTTTTGTTCTTTGGGGTGAATTGAAAATCCATTTGCCTTTGTGGTAATTTTTTAATCTCAACTTGTTGCATCTCCCTTTATGTATTTTAGTACACATGTATTAACATTTAACTAAGACATGTACAATGAACATACTCGTACAGAATTACATCCAACTCTGGTATCAATATCATGTATTCATTTATTGAAAACTCGATCTGGATTGCATCAACAATTTCAACCTCTATTGAATATACACATTCAATTTGTTAAACAAAATCAGTCAATATTTCTTAAAGTATATTCAGTTAATGCTCACATAATGATGACTGGGCTTATTATTTTGTGTGTTGAAATCTTAATTTCACAAAATATAATACTTACTGAAATAAATATGTTGAGTAGGTTTTCTAAGATGGGTAACTGTGGTATGAGTTTCTGTACTACTTTACTGAACGCCTCAAATATTGAGTGGTCATATATACTAGTGAGGTAAAAACTGGAACAAAAAATTGTTTCAATAAATTCCAAAATGACATGTGATTTTATAATTCATAGAATTAACATCAAAAATATATTTGAAGAAATTGTCCAAATGGGCAATTAAATGAAGATATATTTTGATTAACTTATTTTGTTCAAGGATCAAAAAAACATTTATTGAGTTCCTAAACCATACGTACTGTTTTGACTTTGGTTAATATTATACTGTTGATAACTTTTGAGTGAAACAATGTTGGTCTTACCTAAGGTGAATTGATTCTAAACCTGCATCTGCTAAGTCATCATTGGCACGCTGGTAAATGTCTCTTTGTGTCTCAATTTTGTGGTCATCTGATAATCCATCTACTTTATGGATAAAAACCTGGAAATGTATAAAGTTTATGGTATATCTATACACATCATCAAAACTATTATATAATCTGATATAAATTATTGGAAAAGAATAATTGAAAAATATAGAAACTGACTACATTGGCTTAACTGTATTTCTTTACTGACTCTTTAGATGTCATAGCATGGAATATAAGTCTATACAAAAATAAATCTATTGAACTACACCAAGCTACACTTGACTACACTAAGCTATCATTCTGCATGTATATGAATTAGGAAGAAAAGTTTATATTTATGCAATAAACCTACTTCAAATTTTATGTTTGGGTTGACTTTGTGTGCTCTGGATACAGTAGTGTGTAACCTTGCAAGAGCTTCCATATAGTCATCCTGTAAAAAGAACAGTGCACAACTGTTATGTATCTGCTGGTGCAGCATTATAAGTCACAGGTATAAAAGCACTACTTGGAGAGGTAAAATGTGCTCAAATATTGTTCTTCAGAAAAGGAATACTTTTCATGTTCCAGAAAAATTGCCATGTCATTACTAAATGACAATTTCTGCTCTTTTCTAGCAAAAAATCACAGTTCATACTATTACTTTTAAAGACAGTATGATAAAAAATGTCCAAAATGTAATTTTAACCCTCCAAGTACTACTTTCAAGGAATTAGAATGGATAGAGAGTAGAATATTGGAAGCAATCTTTCCAAAATTCGAGCCAGTATTTCCTCAAAAAAAAAGAATTACCAAATATAGAAGTTATTGTTGACAATAAGATGCAGAAATGTCTAAATTCATTAAAATTTCTTTTTTCTATTTTTGAGATTATCCTGAGATAAAGTCAGAACTCTTGGAAAATAACCGAGACATGGAAAGTGAATGCAAAATATATACATTTCTTTTATTATCTAAAGATCTTTGTAATTCATCAACCTAATTAACATCCTATTTGACATCCATCAACCTAATTAACGAATTATAAGCTCCAGTTTTCCACATTACTAACATTTCAGAATATTCCCCCTCCTCTATACTAGATTGAGACAAGTCACAGGTTTTATTTCAAGTCAAATATCTCTTGTTGCAATCATCTTGATGCAATCATTTAAGGCTGGCTGATTCCCTGTATCAATTTACCAGCCAATGTTTAATCCGCAAATATTTTCCATAGTAGGATCCCATATTCAAAGCTGTTTGGAGATTCTTACTTGATTCTAGCTAACTACATGTAGTGTGATTTGAAAATGATTAAAAAAACATAAAGCATATTTCTAAATTTGAAGCTTCTCTTAAAATTAAAATGTACTTTTTAAAATTAAATAGTATCAAAGCAGTATATGTGTATATGATGGACATCTGAAAAAGTGTTCATGCCAAAGACATATGGGAATTGGCAACATGCAAATTGGTTGGTGAAAACCAACAAAGTATGAGGTACATACAAGCCTTATAATAAGAAGCTTCCAACACATAACTGTGAACATGATGAAACAGGTACAGTGGCTGGAAAAGCATGTTGATGAGGTGATCAGAATATGACAAGTACTAGGCAAAAGAAAATACTAAACCTGATATTGAAAGCACTAAAATGTCATTTGTTGAGCAAAATATTATCAGTACTTTGTTTAAAATGCAGATTTTTTCTCAAGTTATACCATCTTTTGCCAAGTATACTTCTAAGTAAAGGGGCTTGGTATTAATTCATTTGTATATATCTGAGAATCAATGTTGTTAAGCACCATTCAAATGCTTACGTGAGGCCTGCATTACTGAAGATCGAGACCTGAGACATGAAGTACTGTCCCAGCCAATGAGTTTTTGAGAGTACCTCGCCCAGGAAGTGGGGACTTTTGAAATGCATATTCCTGATAGTAGAAAGGATGAGTCTGGGAATGAGTCTGGGTATCGACTTAGAAAATATTGAAAATTGTAATGTCTGAAAAACCAACTCAATTACACATATTATTAAACTTCAATATCTTATTCTACTTCTGAGATTACAAAAATATTAATTTGTATCACAATTGATGAAGAATATTGGCATCAAAGACAGTGCATATCACTTTGTCAGAATTGAAAAAAAAAATCAATGGCAAATATTAAATGAATTAATTATGCAAAAAGTTTGAAACTTATCTTCCAAAACATTGGTTACTTTCTTTGTATAGACATTGAATGGTATTTCTGGAAAAGTGAATTGGTGTTTATCTTGGTAATCAAGGGATTATAGTCACTCAAAGTTACTGAGCATCCAGTTTTGAGACTTCAATTGTGTTGGTGAAGTTACACATATTCCAGTCAAATTCATGCTGAGCACAACATTCTGGTTTCAATTTTATAATCTCTATACGTGACCCTGGTGATGAAGAGTCAGAATCAATCAAAAAACCTAAACCGGAAAACTGTGCTCATTGTGAAAACTAAAAATGAAGCAACTTTTTTTCTGATATTTCTCATATCAAATGGCAACCATCTTGTTTTTCCCCCTTCAAATTAAACTGGCGGGAAATTCAAAAATTTGAAAAATTTTTAATCCTTAAATATATTTTTCAAAAATATGATTTTCTCTTTAATTCTTCATGGGTCTTAAGTTATTTCTTCTTTGTATGTCATACATGTTGCCATTGGTGTTTTTTCTATGATAATGACTATTTTTTTGTTTGTTAAGATACTTATTCTGACTCTCAGTAGGGGGTTAATTATGCATCAAAACTTGTGAAAAAGTAAATATACTTATCAAATATAACTAGGTCAGTAATAAAAACCATATTTCACATACATTTGACTGAGGGACCAAAAGGGCATTTACCCAGACACATCCTTTTGACTACATTTCACCAGTCTAATTTTTATTTTGACAAAATCCCTACCCTTTCCTGAGTGGCAATCTCACGCAACAAAACCTTTGATTGGTGCATAGCGATAATAACAAGGCCCTTTAACAGATGGGATGAACATGAGATTTTGATGAATATAGGCAGTCTACAGCTAAAAAGCTGTGTATGTATCAAACCTGAGCATCTATAATAAACAGTATACAATGTTGAGCGCCATATAGATAGTCCCAGTCTATATCTGGATTGTCTGTAAAGTTTGGCTGGCCTGGAATCTCTTGCAATGTAAACTGCACAAATGAGCCATTATCTATTTCTGCAAAAACAAACAGATGAGATTTAAGAAGTACAAATTTGGTTATACACATACCTGGGCATCTATAACAAATATTAGGGCTCCACAACCTCCAAATATGGTTTCTGAGTCGAATGTTGGGTCAAAAAAGTCAATCTGTCCTGGGAAATCCCAAATTTGAAACTGCACAAATGAACTATTCGACACGTCTGAAATAACAGAAAGACATGCATAACATTTCTTCAATCATGAACACTTTAGAAAGAGTTGCTGATAATGAAATTGAAACATTACAACATTAGAGAAATGTGTTTGTCTATGATAACGATTGTTGTTTTTATACTTTTGTTTTCCTCATTTTTATGTGTACTATTCAGTACAGATTGAACCATACAATCTATAGATCTAGAAAAAATATTGCAAACAATTAGTGTATTGTACAAAGATCAAATGTATGTAGATCAAATCTAAAAAAGACTGATGACTCATACAGATTTCAAATATAGATGGCTGCATCATTACATTCTAAAACTTCTACAAACTCAGTTAATCATTTCCTAGACAGTTATTCTTGCAAAATGAATTCCACTTACCATCTTTGACTATTTTGTTTGTGCTTTCTAAAAATAATGTTTCATTTGGTGACATTTTGTGGAAGACAACTTTTTGTATTGATGATTTGCCACTCCTGAAAAAGTCAAATGATATATATGAGAAAGCTGGAACAGTGAAACCTGAACATCTCTGTAATCCAAACTCCTCTCCATTATGAAAACCTTTTCTCGGTCCTAATTTCAAACCTCCCATTCACTCCCATGTTAAAAAAAACTTGAATGTGAACACCTACTAATCCTTACACTTTTAGTCAGTTCCAGTACGATTCAGATTAGACTGATCACATTTCAACAACAGGGGAAATAACCTCACACCGTACCTGCAGTTGTACCGTCCTTTAGGCTAACTTCATGTGATTATGATTTGCTAGATTGAATTCCTCTGGGACCAGCCAAAAGTCAAATTAACCGGTGTTCACATTTCAAGTTTTTTTCAACATGTAGGTCAATGAGACCTAACAAAGTGGGACCGAAAAATATGTTCACACTGAGAGGTGTTCCGACAGAGGTGTCTGGATATACAGCGTCACCGTGTTGTAGTCTTTGACTCAATAGGCAAATAACCATCAAACTTTAACAGCAAAATCACATTGAATGAACTTAATGATTCTGAAATTTTAAGACAAAATATGCAAGATTGACCACATTAATGAACTTTTCTTTGGTTATGTTTTTTGGACATGTCTTATCTCCTCCTTTCCATTCCAACCTTCTATTATGGATTTTCATTCTTTCAAACAATCTTGTTGTATTTTACTCACTTAATGTTGAATCAGGGGTACCTCATATTGAAATAGAATTAATCAGATAAAAAGAAAAAATGATTCTGTCTAAATATGAAGAAACCAAAAAAATGAATATAAAGGGACAAGGATGAAGTGGCGATGATTACTCTTAGCTAAATGAAAGAGCAGCCCTTTCCCATAATAGGTGACTATTCCCATTTAGTGTAGGTTCAGGATGTATGAGGAATGAGGATGGGACGACTGGTCGACATATGTGACAAAGCTCATACCTTCGTAATCCCATTAAGAGAATCCTTGGCTTTGAGTCTAATGCGGTTACAATTGTGTCATGGTCTGGGTCATCTGCTCCATACCCATAATCCTTAGGGAATGAACCAACTACATAGCTACCCGTCGTGAATCCTCCGTCTCCTTCATAAGACTGCAATGAACAATCATGAAAATATATTCCATAACTGTAATAGATAACAAAACATTAACCTGCAAAATGTCACCACCTGCCATTTGTTACAGAAGCCTAACACCAACCACTGAACACCAACTGCTGAATCCCAAACACCATCCATAAGACCGTGGAGATCATAATAATATGACTTGTGTTGGGGACAATAACCAAGCTTGCCTTTTTATTCTCACATTGTAAACAAAACACCCAAACATGTATTAAGTTATTCATTGATATAATCATAATATCCAAGGGAAGACTTAATTTATTTCAAGGAAGGAAGGTTACTTGATTGACAAGATGATCAAAAAGTCAATATTAAACTAGACTCCAAATTAATTTGGAAGTTTGTTCAAAAACCAGCCTCCTGACCAATCTAAGATTACTGCTTCTGTTTTCGGTAAAAGAAGTATCTGTACATTCATGGACTTAAAACTTTTAAGTTAAAAGGTATGAAATCTTCAAACCTTAGAATCAATCTGAAATCCCTGCCCAAATTCAAATAATTTATCATAGATGGTCAAGGTCCAAGATTAACAAGATATCATCTTATTCAGTAATCCAGTAAGTCAAGTTATGCCAATTCTTTAAATATTCATTTTTTCTTGTGATAGAACATAGATCTTATGATACCAGACAGTATGACTGAAAATCTGGTGGGGAATATGTGCTCTTTATTAGGAATAGACTTTATGACTGATTAGAAGGTCAAACCTGAAATAATATACTGAAATCTAATCATAGAAAAATACATCAACTCGTGCATTTATTTATTGCCATGATTTGCGATTTTTATGTTTTTGCTATCTGAACCAAATTTTTCCAAACCTCTATCCAAAACAAACAAAATTATATATGTAATATTGTATGATAGAAGAGACAGGGATATGGGATGATGAAAATATGGGAAGTTGCATCCACTACCCTTCTCTTGAAAGCCTATGTAAATCCTTATGATTTTGTTTCAATACATACAATAGTTCTCTTGAAATCCCATGGACTAATGGAATAATCTGGGAGTGACCTTCGTTGAATCTGGGAGTGACCTTCGGCGAACTGGAGTCTCTAGCCAATTCTAGCCACTGGGATGATTTTACTTGTAAAGCAGGCCACAAGAACCCACGAAATAAGAAATAAGGCTCAGACTAGGTTTAACTACTAGGTTTATCTACTTTAAATGGGCTTGTCACCATTTGCAGATTATTAAAGTAGTTGTACAGCTTGTTGAACTACATGTAGCCTTAACCTGATTTCCCGGCCTGACTTCGTCAGTAGAACTTGAAATATAAGAGCTACCTGAAGATTAGGAGTCTTACTTACCCTCTAGAGGTTAAAACACACATTTCAATGAAACCATATCAGCTTTGTTTTGTTCATAATGAAGCATAAGCACAGTACTTGATTGAAATTTGTGTAAATGTTTTTTGGTCTTTTCCATTTTCCTCATGTTAACTTCCGGGAAGGCGTTGCCCCTATCACAAAATAATGTATTGACCTTGAACTTTTATTCTTTGACATGTCATCTAACCATTTCTGATGTGAAAATAATCAAAAAAAATAAAATATTAGGAAAGAATGTTTTGCGGTCGTTTGTGAACTATTGGTCTGAATGAAATGCTGCGCAGAAAGTATGAATGGGTCGTCTGCTGTATAAGTCTATTAATACAGTAGGACCTGTTTGTGATGCTTTATAATTTAGACAAAAGTATAGACACACATGTGTAAATTCTAAAATCGACGAAGAAACATTCAATTTTCACAAATGTTTAGTAATTTATTATATTGGAACTTCCGTAACTTACAAGGAAATCATTCATTTTCACGGTCCATATTTTACCCCTTGGATATTGCGCTAAATGCTCTATGGTTGACGCAAAAAGGTGATAAGGTTTCATTGAAATGTGTGTTCTAACCTCTAGAGGGTATGTAAGACTCCTAATCTTCAGGTAACTCTTATATTTCAATTCAGAAGTCAGGCCAGGAAATCGGGTGTACAGTACTCTCTGAAAATCTTAGAAATACAGTTTGGAACAAAAATAATGATACGTGGATTTGATGAAGTGAGGATTTCCCATGTTAAAAACTAGAAAAACAGCAACTCCACGGAGTAGCAAATCCCACCGAACAAAACATGTTTTGATAAAAAAATTGAGCCAAATTCATCCACTGGTATTTGAATTATCAAAGATTATGTCTTTATGAAACATGGTTGCCATTTTGAAATTCAGCTGTCATCTTTAGATTTCTTCTTTAGCAGAGAATGGAATTCAGCTATCGCCTTTAAAATTTCTTCTGAAGCAGATCTCCTTTTTCCCTAAACATCAGCATATAAAATTGGAACCAAATCCATTCACTAGTATTTGAGTTATCATTAATTACGTTTTTTTAGAGAAAAATCGCGGCCATTTTGAAATTCAGTGGCCATCTTGAAAATTTATTTTTGAGCAGAACATTTTTGTCTCTAGGCATCAGCATATAGAATTTGAACCAAATCAGTCAACTGGTATTTGAGTTATCAAAGGTTATGTTCTTTTATGAAAAATGGTGGCCATTTTGAAATTTAGCTACCACCTTGAAAATCCCTTCTCGAGAAGAGCTCCTATGTCCCTAGGCATCATCATGTAAAATTTGAACCAAATCCATTCAATTATAATTGAGTTATCAAAGATAATGTTTTTTTATGAAAAATGGCCGCCATTTTATAATTTAGCTGCCATCTTAAAAATCCTTTCTTGAGCAGAGCTCCTATTTCCCTAGGCATCAGCATCTAAAATCTAAACCAAATCCATTCAATGGTATTTGAGTTATCAAAGATAATGTTTTTTTACGAAAAATGGCCGCCATTTTGAAATTTAGCTGCCATCTTGAAAATCCTTTCTCGAGCAGAGCTCCTATGTCCCTAGGCATCGGCATCTAAAATTTGAACAAAATCCATTCAATGGTCTTTGAGTTATCAAAGATAACGTTTTTTTACGAAAAATGAAATTTGGTGGCCATCTTGAAATTGTCTTCTTGAGCAAGGCTCCTTTGTACCAAGGCAACAGCATATAAAATTTTAACCGAATCCATTCACAAGTATTTGAATTATTAAAGATTATATTTTTTCCGAAAAATGGCCGCCATTTTGAATTTAGCGGCCATATTGAAAATTCCTTCTCGAGCAGAGGTCCTACACCCATAAGGCATAAGCCTATAAAATTTGAATGAAATTGGTCAACCGGTATTTGAGTTATTGCCCGGACACACGAACGGACGAACGGACAGACGAACGGACGGACGAACGGACGGACGAATGGACGGACGAACGGACGGACGGACGAACGGACGGCTTTTCTATATCCCCCTCGAACTTCGTTCGGTGGGATAATAAGAGAATTTTCAAGAGGTCATACATCAGTGGAAGAGAGTATACAAAATGTAAATATACAAATTTTAAGGGATATATACAGTATCTAGACAATATTTGAGACCATAGGGCTTTCAAAACACCATGGTTTGCATATGGTGAAGAGGGGGAGAAACCCCAGGGTTCAAAGATGACATACGCTTATAATATAAATCTGTATTGAGATGACATTGTCGCTGATTGGTTAAGATTGATTGGTTAAGCGAGTCAATCGTTGATTGGTTTAAAACTAGGTCAATTTGAAAACTTTCAAAAATCAAGATGGAGGGTATAAGTACTTCCGGGAAAGGAGGTGCACGAAGGAGGAAATCTTATGCCATCAATTGAATCATGGGGTTTTCCCTCCTCTTCATATGTTGATAGAAAATCCACCTGTCATTTATTTTGTTCCAAACTCACGGATACTGGGAAGTCCTCCATCTAGGAGGTATATACACCAGGTTATGCGAATAAAAATTAAAAAATATGAAAAAAATATGGTCACCTGTCCTCTAGATTCAATTTTTGAATGAATCGTAGCATAATGTACAGATTATTTGATATCATGCTATTCTTGAAACATTTATACGCAAAAATAACTGGGTCGCTCACCTCTTATGCCTATATGTGTTCAGTAATCATCAATTCTCGTGAGTAAAATTTCTCCAGGCCATTGAAAGGTCCGCGCAGAAATTTACAATTTCTACTGCGCATGTGTGAAACACTGGACGAAATGGTATGGTAAATTTCAAGCTATTTGATTGGTCGAAAAAATCACGCGCCTTTGCGTGATTTGCTTTATTCTCGCGAGATAAGGCGCTCCGTCCCCTTTAATTTTTATTTTGAACAACCATTATGATTTGGTGCACTATCTGACCAATAAAGCAGATTTGGGGGTATGAATATTTTTTTTATTTTTCTGTTTAGTGTTTTCTACAGGCCCTATGTGTCTCAGGGTATTTGTTTAACGAAAACTAGACAAATAATTTACTTTAAAAATACATATTTTTTATTTTGGATGGAAGCTGCGCAACCTGACAAATAATATAAGAAATATATGGAGGAGTTCCCATAACCATGTCCAAACTGTACAACATTTATACTATGTCTATGTCTATGTCAATAATCTGCAAAAGGCCAATAAGCCCATATGAAGCAGATATATACACTCTGTTAAGCATGATAAAAGGCAAGAAGTTTAGTTAGAAATAAAAGAGTTATCTCATGAATGGGACCCTTACATGGCTCCTAAAAGGTAGAAGACACTAAATGGTGTGACACTATAAGCTGAATTTTGTCCACATAGAGCATGTGCACAATACTAAAGACATGTAAAATTGAACTGTCAAAATAATAGAAATTACTCACCAGCTCGCCTCTACCGGAAGTTATGATACGTTATGGTGTAACTACGGTAATTAATTTTAAAATATTGAAAAAATCAACAACATTCAATTTCTAGGGTGTACAACCATTTTCGAGCGAATTTGCCGATATAATAACAATATTTTTGAGTTCCCCTAGGCTATATATAAACTTCATCAATACACAGTATATTCAACATAGGTTTTGCTTCTCGATTTTTAAATATCACTATGCAAAGACAGGGACTCATTTTAGGTAAAATCATTGCTTCACCAATGAAAATTAAAGGGAACGTTAGCTCACAAAATAAATAAATCCATTACAATGTTAAGTATATGATTTGAAAGATTGTCTGGATTATGTGTGATCGATTGATGCATAAACAAACATATTCATTTCAACTTGCAGGCCTCCATTCTGGCTCATGTATAGGCCTAATACGCCACATTGCCTTATGTATTGTACTGCCCATGCGTGCATACTTAATGCGTGACGTCACATCGACAGAGATCAGCGATCAAGTTTGACTAAAAAATTAAAAGATCCACACTTAACAGCACAAAAATGATATCAATGATCGCCTATTTTATATCAAATAAGTGTAGGATGTAAGGTTTAACATTTTTCATGTTATTTAGTATTTACAGAAGCAGAGCTTGTAAAGAAACCAAGTTTTAAATTCCGATTTTGACTGTTGACAAAAATAAAGAAAAGAGAGAAAGAGGCGACTTGTTAGAAACAATGACATGAAATTGTGAATAAAAAAGATATTATTGTGGGTTTTATTTTTTGAGAGTTCATCAAATAAACTCATGTGTATTAATTTAATTATGTATTGTAATACCTCTCAGTTCTACCAAGGATTATAAAAACTGATCGAAATGGCTTCGTTTTTAAAGATCTAATAGCAAAGGTTTTGCAAAAATAAATCAATGTAGTATAAAACAAATGTATGTATTATGAAGAAATAAATATATAATGAAAAAAATAGATATGTGTTTGTAATATTGGTATAAACTTAAGATTAAAAAGTGTCACTATCTCTTTTATTTTTCAACAAATATAGGCTCACGTGACATGTGACGCGGGGCAGTCAATTTTGATCTATCGTAGACCATATCAGTATCAAATTACTGATATTTCAACCTCGTCTTGCGAGGCCATTTTGATTTGAAACATCTTGAATTTGGTGTCAAAATGAAGCTGGTCACGCCCACTTTCAGAGTTATCAATGAATCATTTACTACGACTACTATATTCATTTAGGAGGCGTGTAAAGTTAACCAATCAGAAAGACAATTGTTCCATATATGGCAGTTCATTAACATATTCAGTGTTTACTACTGCTTTTCACGTCATGACAACACGAGTAGTAACCAATCAAGATGCCGTATTTTATCACGTGAGTTCAGAGTGACACGCACGCGACATGTCTGGGGTGATCGCGATGTTGAACAATTTCTTCTCGGAATTTGTCCAGAGAAATCAGCGATTCTAAATTAAGGTAGGATCTGCCATTTTTTCCTGTACAAGTTATAACTTATCTCTATCGAATCCTAAAGTTTTGGAAGAAGATATGAAGCGTAGGTTTAAAAACGAAGCGATTAATTTGACGATCTGATTTTGCAATTTGCAATGGCCAATTTACTGCAAGTCCAGTGCATGTATTTGACAAGAGATAGCGCCAAGTCTGGTATCTAAATGCTTGTTAAGCCACTCAAAAACAAGATCCATATCTTCTAAATTTGATAACTTTGCAGAAAACCTGTTTTCATAATCTGTTTTCCGCGTCTAGATTCAAACTGAGTATGATAATAGGATCGCTGGAATCTTCAGTCAATGGCAACGGGTCTTCATTCCAGAACTCACATTTTTAGTTGATTCTCCGTCATAGTTCTTGTTTAAAGTCCCCATATCTGCTCTCTTACTGCCATACTTGCACACATTTCCCCTCCTTAAATTGTCTTCATTCAAATTACACCCTCTCGCCGATTTATATAGTCATTTCCCAGAACCCGGGAATCAGAATCGCTGATGTTTGCCATATTGAACATATTATATGTACTGTAATATCTGTACATTGACTGCTACGCGTAATGGTCACGTGACTAGCGCGATACAGGAAAAATGGGGAATTTCGAAACAACATTTTTTGGGCACTTTTATTGCAAATTTCAGGTATTTATAAAGTGTTTGTGGTATAAAATATAATCCACAGACATAAATGAACATCCAAACTAGATGTTTCATTAAGTTTTGGAGCCTTTTTTGCTCTTAAATCAACATCTTTAAAGTATAAAAAACACTACCCTACCCGGAAGTAGTATAACATGTATATTGAAACCATGTGTAAACTGTAAATCACGTGAATTGGCTGATGCAATCAGGATGTGACTAGTACAAAGTAACTATGATGCAATCAGGATATGACTTGTGCAAAATAATTGGTTTCACCTAGAATTCGCGATCTTTGCTCTTTAGCATAACATGAAGACATGTTTTGTGTTTAAGTAGCTAGATTCAAATACAAACTAAATGAATATAACATAAACCAACCATCATTTGTTCCAATCATGGCGAATTTTCAAGGAAATACGTGTAACTGAATGTAAATCAACAGCGGAGCTCTTCAATTATGAGGTGAGAAAAATGTAAAAATAAAAACAAAAATAAATCTCACAGAATAGAGCTATTTATACGATTCTAAGTACATTTTAAGTGCTCCATACATTAATGTAAGTATAAAAGCCATTAACCTCAACTGGGAAGCACTTTCCAACTATTTTTACGGCTTGAATTGTAAGAAAATGGCACTTATCTCAAAAAATGGAAAATTGAAAGAAGCTCAATTTATTGTGAAGATGAAGTTTATATATATCTGTATATGGGGGTGCGAATATATAGTCATAGTATGGGCTAATTCGCTTAAAAATGGCGATATATACCTCAGAACTTGTATTTTGTGATTTTTTCAATATTTTAAAATTAATTACCGTAGTTACACCATAACGTATCATAACTTCCGGAAGAGGCGAGCTGGTAAGTATATTTCAGTTCTTTTGACAATTCAATTTTACATGTCTTTAGTATTGTGCACATGCTCTATGTGGACAAAATTCAGCTTATAGTGTTACATCATTTAGTGTCTTCTACCTTTTAGGAGCTATGTAAGGGTCCCATTCATGAGATAACTCTTTTATTTCTAACTAAACTTCTTGCCTTTTATCATGCTTAACAGAGTGTAATTTAACAGTGATAGAATTTGAATAGAATAGAATTTAAAACCTTAATCTAACATTTAAAAATAGATCTATACAGTTGGGGACAAAAATAAATGACAGGTCGATTTTCGATCACCAATTCCTAATTATGGTGGTCTGAAAGCCCATAATTTCAAATATTGTCTAGATATATATCCCTTTAAATTTGTATATTTTACATTTTGTATAATCTCATCCACTGATGTATGGCCTCTTGTAAATTCTCTTATTTTTAACATGGGAAATCCTCACTTCAGCAAATCCACCTGTCATTTGTTTATGTCCCCAACTGTAGACTATAAAAGTGGTTCAAGCTTCACAAAAACTGTGTTTGTTTCATATAAATCATACTGCATTAATAAAGAAGAACCATTTGTTCTCACAAATAATATGAAATTCTTATTGCCATAGCTTTAGAAATAGCAGAGGATATATCATAAGCTGAAATATTTTCTAAAAACACCTACCGCCATCTTGGATGAAAATCATGTGACCTGCACATGAATTTGTTTCACTATGCATTCCCTGTCATAAAATAGCTATATTTTGTCAAACAATTGTATTTTGTATTGTGATACTAAATATCATATGCCAGAAATATGTGTAACTTTGAAAATTAAGGGGTTTTCTTGGTATTTCCCATGCGACATTTAAAGAAACATGTTGACTTCCTATTTCCGGTTTTAAGTGGAATAAAAATGTTCGAAGTTATCTCATAATTAAATCAGTTTGGTAAGTCAAACTTATGTTATTATCGTAAATTAAGGTACACAACTTCGTTTGATAGTGTCTTTTCTAAGTCGACAGAATTTAGGAATATATTTATCTCTGAAGCAACAAAGCAGTCCATGTCTTCTCAAAAGTGATTTTCAGCATCAAGCATGTTTTTCATTGGTTTCATTTAGATTAGACTTGCCTATCTAAGATAGATTTTTGCACATGTTAAGAAATCCTACCGGTCCGAGCCGCAATCGTCCAAATCCCATTTGTCCGATTTGTCCAATACCAATCGTCTGAATCCCAATCGCCTGAATCCCATTGGTCCGAATCCCGCCTTTAAACTTAATTTTAAGATCAAGATAAAGATGCAAGAAATGTAAGAACGTGGAATAAACCATCAAGTTGATGTGTGATTATTGTGTGAAACTTTCATTGGTCCATTGATTAAAAAAAATTCTCCCAACCTTAATCCATGTTTGTATGTATTGTCGGGGCGATAAAAGTCATACTAATATCAAGTTCCAACCCGCACAATTGAGTTAAGTCAAACATATATACATGAAATCAATCCCACGTTATATACACGAGAACTTGCTTATTGTTTCATATCGAGTCATTGAGTCTCAGCTCCCGGGAACTAAGTCAAAAAATATTTGTGAAAACGCTTTGCAGATTGTTATAAGGACCTATATTTTGATCAATTGTGGAAATATACGTGAAGAGGAGTGTCAAACAAAACTGAAATGATGTGTTCAAAATCGGACCCTGTATATTTCAATGGGGATAAAACCTGAATGTAAAAAATCTGTTCCCGTAATTTGAGCTCTTCACCACGGGAGGTGAGGATATTGATAGGAGGTGAGGATATTGTTGTCATTCTGAACTGTCGTATATAAGTCTATTATACAAGTTTTATTTTCTGCTCCCACATTGCGTCAACGTCAGGCTTTATTTCTGATTGTATACGCTCTTGTAATATTCATGCAAACATAAAATATGAGTTTGAATGAAACGCCCATTGAAGCAAAATGTTAGATAAAACCCACAATTTTTATGACTATGAAGATCTATTGATTTTTTGACGTCTAGATAGGTTGTAATAACTGTTTTTTCACCTAATCTTTATCTAATTGTTGCCCTTGAAGACCATTGTTGCTTGATTTGTAGCAAAAATACTCGCTCAATGAAAAATAAATCTTTGTTTTGCATATGAAATTGCATAGAGTATTGTAATTAAATGCAGGTTGGAATGAAATGATTGAAGCATTGAAACCTAATGTACCTTCAATATTAAAATAAAAGATGTTTAAGAATAGAACAAAGAATTTTGCATTTTGTGGCACAGAAAACTGGCATGTATGGAATTGGTTATAAGGTGCAGATCCATGATCCAGGATTCTGTGTTAATGGGGGGGGGGCGTACTTATAACTGAGAGCAAAGCGAACTGCCTGAGTGAGCGTAGCAAACAAGTTCGAGAATAGGGGGTTCTCCCCCAGATAATATTGAAAATTGAACATCATTTGTTGCATTCTGACCAATTCCAAAATTTCGAAAATTGAACATTCCTGGGTCAGATTTCAACGTATGCAATGGGTTATTGACAATCCATAACAATATATTTTGTCCAATCTATCTGTCTTTTTAGGGGGGGGAGGGGGGCTAGTGGTTATATGATTACATGCTATAATGGTCTGTCAGCCTTTTTGTGAAGGTGTGACTCATTTGAGAGCATGTTGGACTCATGTTGAGTGCCAGTTTTTAGAATATCATATATCAACTGATATCAAATATAAAGCATTCGTTCTCTTTAATGTAAGAGCTGCTAGAAAGATGGTGCTTCAAAAAACAAGTAGACATGCTTTACATCTAAGGCAGTCACTGAGATATACAGATATGTTGATAGATTACTCTTGACCATCAGGATACTTGCAAGTCATTGAAAGTACATTCAGCCTTTATCCTATAGTTTATTAATTAATGATCCTGTATGTTGAAGATGTGGACTATATGAAATAAAACTTGTATGATAAGTTCGTAAAAATTAATTACTTTGTCGAGCAAACTGTCAGTGTTGGTCGGAAATAATAAATTGATAGAAATAATTTGGATAATTGGATCTGCTGGTTAAAGAGGAAATGGTAAAATATCTGTTAATCATTATTTCATTACTGTTATTACTATTCTTCCATAATAACAGTAAGCTATAAATGTAATAAAAGTTGCAAAAATAGAGGAAGCAATCTATACCACTGACATATGCACGAAAGAGTGAACACTTAAAAATCTGTTATTTGACAAACATAGCTGTAGTTAATAGGGACTGTACTGGCAATTATTCCAGAAAGGAGTTGACTTAGATACGAGAAAGTTCTAATTAGATTGGTAGGTACTTTCTCTTCATAAATTTCAAGTTGTTTAAAAACATTATTTTATTGGGATCCTTTTTTATTTTCGTACTTTCAAGACATTTTGTAAAGGAGGGGGGGGGGGGTCTTAATGCAAGACTATGTGGCTCTGTTTAATAAACATTGTATATATCGAAGCAAGAAATAAAGGATTAACAATATTTTCAGCTAAAAATTTATATAAGATATATTTACAAGAGCTAGACTTGCTTAATATTGGTAATAGGGATAAACATAAAAGGAATGGAGATGAGTTTATAGTACGTTTCAAAAGATTGTTTCAATTTTACAGTATTTTTTGCGGTTATAATTCCATTTCATGCTCATATTCTAAGTCAAACATTTCTGACTTTATTTCAGGATTATACTATCATTTAAAGGTTACGTAAGAAAAAAATAAAATGATGACATCTCATAATATATTGGATATTTTAACTAAAACTTCTATATTTGATCAGCTTGTTCAATCAGCCTCTCTTGTATTAAAAATTGACCAGATTTCAAAAAATTATCAAACAGGAAAATAACTGCATATTTTTTATGCACAATTGCAGAAAACCCTGTCTTAGTGAACACCTCTCTCAAGTGAACACCTATGCCTAATGAACACCTCTTCTCACATATACTCTATCACATTCTGTATAAGTTGCCTCTCTAGTGAACACCTAGCTATAGTGAACACCTACCTATAGTGAACACATTTTTTGTGGCTCCATAGTTGTTCACTATACACAGGTTTTACTGTACAGTATTTGCAAAGGTAGCTATAGCTGAGTGGTCATATCATATCTAATACTTGTCCGCTTTATCTTCTACTTGTCCAAGAGATCAAATAGAACAACTTACAAGTACAAATAGCATCATCAAGTGGAGTATGTTTATACTCTATTTATCTTAAATCTCTAATTATTCAGTAATTTATAGCTCTGATTATCCTGGGAGAAGATCTAGCTTAGTCATTATCTTAATTATGAAACTTCATTATCTGCATTAACTCTGTTTACTTAAGACTTAATTGAAGACAAAAACATAGGGCTGATTCTTAAGCTGACATCAAAGGAAAATATTGGCAAATAAGTTCTATGGTGAGCCAGATCACATTTTTCATGTTTCTTTGTTTATCTTGACCCTTTGTTAATCTTGACCCTAACAAGTTTGATTTTTTTTCAATATTAGATACTTCACACTGGCGTATCTGGGGAAGGAGCCCAGGCTCCCCCCCCCCTTTGGGTAGGCCCAGAAACAAAAAATTGGGCCCACAAAATTTTGATGTTTTTTTTTAATTCAATAAAAACATTCTTCATTGATTGTCTATAGCTTTACAGTGGACATTATAATCTGTTCTCTAGTGGGGTTGTCATAGTTGTTGTTGTATACCATCACCTGTTCAGTTGGAGGTTGTTGGCACTCGTCCTTTATATCAGTAGGTTGGAGGTTTGTGAGGGGAGTGACTTATTACAATGTAGATGTTCTATTAATGTAATACTGCCCTCCAGGAGTCTAAGATTTCTGGCTTTGAAGACTAATTGAATCTCCCAAAGAGTTAATCTGGTTTTGTGATTTGTTTAAAGTTGGATTAAGCCACAGGGTTGTTATGTAAGGTAGGGGTGAGCTAATTAACTCTTGCAAAGTATATTTACTTCATTATCATAGCATAGATCAACTGCAAATTAACTATTGTGTAACAGAGTCTGATCTTCTGTGATTCTGTGAGATGGAGATTAGTGTAAGTTAATTAGAGTAGTCATGTCATGATTATGAGGATAGAATTAATGGACCCATTGGTTTAAAGATAAATTTGATGTATGAGGTGCTCGGCAAGGGACTTTACTGAAGATATGAAGATCTTTCACTGAAACTACTTGATGGATGATTTTGTCTCTATGACTTTAGGTCTTTATTTCTGGTTTCTTTTGAAAGACACTCATAATAGTCTTGTATGAATTCTTTGATTCTACTATCTACTTGTCTTCAGAGGATTTGAAGTGTATTGGGGAGTTGTATGAGGGAGTCACGACATTGTGAAACTCATCACATCTTTCTGTTTTTCCAACGAGGAATTTTAAATGAGGAACTGATGGAATGTTTTGGTCTCTCAGGCCCATAGCCAGGGGAGGCTCAAGGGTTCAAGTGAACCTGGCCTTAATTCTTTTAAAATCATGCAGTTTTTCACCATTCTGATCACTTTTCAAGTGATATTGGCCATTTTTTCCGGCAATCCCGGCCACTGGCCTGTCTCTCGCAATGAGTTACAAAGGGGTACAAGCAGGACTCAGCACACAGATTGTTGTCCATCAAAAATTTACGAAATAGAAATTGCATATCATATTAACCAATGGTCGTATCTGTTTATAAGGCCAGTCTTTATTGGTAATATACTCAATTGGGCGTAGCTCCTACTTTTACCTTGCTTTCTAGAAATCATATTTTTTCATCAAAATATCATTTTTCTTAATATACAGCTTTAACATATGAGCCAAGCAATAAGTGCCATTTTTTAATTGATTCTATAAATTTGTATATAGAACTGCGCTAAATGTTGATCAAACATTAATTGTTGTATAAAGTAATGAAATTCAAAACCTTTGCGTAATCACGTGTCAATACTTATACATAATTGAGATCGTTTTTTCAAATATTTTTTAGAAGCTTGGTCCTGAGAATATGTCAACGTGCCCTATTTGTAGGTTACAGTGTTTTGTTTTTCTACCACATCAGTATATAATATACTTTATGAAAGAGTTCCATGTTAGAGCAAAAAACAATGAACAAGTAACACCAACAACATGTTTTTGATTTTCTCTTTGTTTGTGAAACTCATAAAAATGCGATAGCTGATACTGCCATAAATGGTCCATATTGTCTGAATGAGATACATCTTAAGTTGGATAAGATTTCAAGCCATTCCTTGATTCCTCTGTTGATATGATATGATCCAGTCGAAGATAATGTCAAACTGGTACTTGTACTATATCAATATGCTCTATTTTAGTGTACTGTATACCCATTAGTTGGTTAACTTTATTTTCATAAAATAACTGCATATGTCTCAATCCTGGTGACTGGCAGGATTGAGGCAAATATCATACTTCAGGATGTTACAATTTGAAAGGGTATTCCTTTGAATTTACCTTTTGCATTCATTTGACTTTTGCTTCTTAAAAGAGATCTTCATTTGTAACTAAACTCAGTCAGTCTTGGGGTATTTTGAATTAAGACTTCACTCATATAGAAGAATAGCTTAATTGTTCATATTATAAAAGCAATATATTTCTGATAAAAATAATTTATTGTTTCCATTGTTCAACATTAACTACCCAACCTGAGTCTGATATGGTATATACTTACTGCCTTCTTTTGAAATATTTAGTAACTTTACACATCCTTTGAGAGGAGTATACTTGGAGAATTCTGCCAGACCAGAGTTGCTTTCAACAGTTGATTAGCTATTTCTTCTCAGTTTGCCTGGGGATGAAATTGACTTTAGGATTCAAACGTGAAACATAGTACTTTGTAGTATCTAGCCATTTCAAAACAACTATAGCACTTCTAAGGATTACTAAAAACAAGTAAGTGAAATACAGGAGAGTTGAGATAATTGTAATATCAGGTATAAGAGAATACAAGTAAAAATATAAGGAAATTATCAGAGATGGAGAATGAACACAAATAGAGAATTCCCAGATACAATTATCAATTATATATTAGTACATGTATAGGAAAGTATAACATATTTGTTTTTAAATTTTTCAGATTTTTTTCATGAATAAAGGAATGTACGTAGTTTGAAGTAAGTTGATGACCTGCAACAGCGCACAATTATGTCAATGCAATTTAGCCTCAGTATCTTTCTATAAAGCTTGTGGTTTGTTAGATATTTTGTCTGTCCAGATCTCCTCCGAGATAGACTTATTTAACTAACATTGGGGGAGAGGGGGGGCTAAAAGGTAAAAATTTGTCTTAAGTACCCCGCCTTATCAATATTTTAAATTGTTTATTAGAGTCATAGGGTCACCACGTGCACATTTAAAATCTAAGGTGTTCCAATTGATTTAACATTCAGTAAATGTAAATTGATTATAGAAACTGTTTCTTACGCTTGACTGGACTAGCCTAGTAGTATATATACAAATAGACAACTCAAAGCTTTTTTCTCAGTCTACCTGCTGATAAATTAAGCTTCTTGTCTACTGGTTTCCATTGACCATGAGGTAATCTTTTTTTAACGAAGCTTAACTACTTTGTTAACTGGGGATAAGTGTTTTGTTCATCATTCTCATAAAGCAGGCACTGTATTGGGAGAAATAATTGAGGATTTACAGCACTGAAAGATACTGTATCTGAAATATAGTTAAGTAAGTGCCGTTGTTCATCTTGGTTCAAAATGGGATGTTAGATTTGAACCATCTTATACAGTTTAGGAAATAGCTATTATAGTCATTCATACAAGCTTAATGACTGCTCAGGTCATGTTTTTTGCAAATGTTTTTTAGCATTTATACAGGACTTTTTCAGATTTAAAAGGATTTGATTCAGTCACTGGCTGAGAAAACTTCTATAGAGGAATTTAATCATACAGTACATGTTTTGGAAAGACAGACGAGCAAATAGACCACTTTGTTAAGTTTTTTGAGGAAACATTTTTCTTTTATATTTTCAGGGAACTAATGAGTTTGCCAAAGAAATGTAAGGAATATCAATAGGAATAAAAATGTAAGTTAACATTTATTTAAATAAATTTGGTATATTCAATCAGTCAATCATTCGGTCATCCAGTCATTTAGTGTGTCATGTTATAGCTACAACTCTGGATAACTGTCACCAAAACATCTAATCTAATCACACGACAAAGAAAAAGTTGAGCTCAGGATGTTTGGTATGAAATTAAAAGTGTATTTAGTGTATGATGTAAATATGATGTTGGGATTGTCATCTTATCAATTATTTTAAGAAATAATACTGTAGATGAATTAGTGCCATGGTGTCATTAATTTATTAATTTATGTATGATGTTATAGTTTATGTGTGAGTAAGAAATATGATTACTTTTTTCAACATATATCTCCCAGCATTAAAGCAAGTGGGTGCCGCACTCTCCTGAGATTTTAAAAACAGGCTTGCACGACTGACTTGAAAATCCATTTGCACCCACTTGAAAATGAGAAAAATCATGAAAAATGGTCATATTTTGATCAATTTTGCTCTGAACTGTGAAAATGAAAATTTTGCACACACTTGAGAAAAAATCCTGTGGAGAACACAGAATTCTGTATTCAGTATCAACTTAAGTGTCCCATCTGAAAAGTAAAACTGGTGTCTCATGTTTAACTAATTACTCTTGAGGTGTCTTGTATGAAAAATCTCCATATGTAGATCTAACGTGAAAAGCAAGTACTCATGGCCCCTATGCTCAAACAGTGAACTGTTACTTCATTAATTTTGTACAGGAAAAAACATAGTGCCACTTTTTATCCAAATTCCTTGAGTAGTTGTCAAAAGCTGTTAATTCGTAAGGAATTTTTAGAGGATACTCTTTATTATGCCCATAGCAAATTATAAACTTCATATGAATATATGGAAAATATGATCAACAATTTCTCAAACTGTGAGAGGACCAAAGAAACTGCAATTATAAGTCAATTATCTATCATTGAAAACTTGAAATGAATGCTTATGAAAAATTGTTTTCAGCCAAAAATAAATAACTAAATAACCGATCGTAATCGAGAATTTTTAATACATGTATACTGTACATTAATTTGATTGGAATCTAAAATTCATAGTGTCAAATATTTGGCTTCCTTCAACTTTAACACTATACAACATTTTTGCAGGGGATTTAAGAGTTGTGATAATATCCAGATTATCTCCGCTGACAGGATTTCTCTAGCCTAAGGTCATTCCAACTCTAGTAATCAAAATCTATGGATAATAAACTTAGAAATATTTCCGCTATCAGATAAGTGTCTGGAGTTTTGCCACTTATAAGATGTAAACTTGCAAGAAATGTATACAATCGTCTGACCACAGATATAGCTGGATTTTCAAAGAACGATTTTTTTCTGTTTGTTATTTACATACTAAATCATTCATTATAAATAATTAATCTGAACCAAGAAACCAGGGAATGTAGTTCAGTCACTCTACGATTATCTTACAATGGGAGGCTTGTAACAAATGCTATAGTGCATGTAGGATATCTTTGCATCATATTTTCAGGTAAGAGGGGTGGATATATAGAGGTTATTTAATGAGAGGGATGGAATATGAATTTTATTTCGAGGGAAAATGTGAAATATTGGACCTTGGGTCTTTGGCCCTCGGTCCAATATTTCATTGTATTGCCCTTCGAAATGACTTTATTGTACTATTGAGACTCTCGGGCTGTCACCCTTGGTCAATATGATATTTTCCTCAATATTACATTTACCCACGAGATAAAATTTATATTTTATCCCTTCCATTAAATAACCTCTATTTATTACATGATAACATCTTTTCCCAGGGAAATATACTCGGAATAGAATTGATATTTAAAAAAATCCTGTATCAGTCAAAATCCTGTAACAGATCCCATATTGGATCACGTATCAGCCAAAATCCAATATCAGAACTGTTGTGGAATCAATAGGTTATTGACGATTGTGATAGAATATGAATTTTTTCCTTGAGAAAACATGATATTGGTCTCGGAAGTTATATTGACACTCAGGCTATGACCATTTATCAATATGATACTTTCTCTCAGAATAAAATTCATATTCCATCCCTCCCATTAAATAAATAACCTCTATATTTTCTATTTGAGTTAGAAAACTTGTTATTTGGAATATTCTTTCTATTGAATAGTGGTCTGCATTAGTTTGATTAACTAATCGTGATCAATACTGCTTTCCATTGATTAGATTTTCTTGACATTATTCTCTTGAGTGATAGAGAGCACAAAGTATTCAGAAAGTGTCTCCAGAGACTCATTTCATTTCTTAAACAAGATCAGCATTTTGCTATACTTCAATCAGATACTCTCATGTCATTGATCACTCATGGATTGTTTCTTCATTCCCTACGCATTCGTTCGACTCTGTTTCTTGAAGGAGAGCTTCATTTTCATAGTTTATAGGACCAAAATTGATTGTAAGCAAGAAGTGGTCACAGGTTAAGATGACCTTTCCAGAGGAAGTAGTTTGTTATATCTCCATGAACAATATGTTTCTTTTGACAGAAGTGTTAATTTACCATATTGTCTTAATTATGACATCTGTTCTTTCTGTTCGTATTCCCCTTGCATTGATTTAATCAGGGAAATGAAGTAATCAGGCCACAATTTGAAATAATCCACTCGGAATAGCATCAGTTACCCTTTGCACTTCACTTCTTAAAAGAGGGCTTCGTCTTCATAGTTAATAACTAGACTCTGTGTACAGGGTAAACATAAGCAGAATTTGAAACCGAGAGATACATACATCCTCTGAATGCAGAGCTACAGAACTCATTCGTCCTTTTCCAAAAGAAAGTAACATTGGGTCTTGGATCCCTTTGGTCAGAAGATATATACAAAACCAGGCACTTGAGATTTGACTGAATACTCCTTCATACAAACCAAAAATCTCATACAAATCTGTATATAATCCACAAAGGCACCATTGAGGCTTGATTGCTGAGGAGAATCGGTCAGCCATAACTGAGAAGTTGTCAGTAGAAATCAACTATCAACACACAGACCTTAACACATCACTGTGATTTGTTGTTATACCTTCAAACAGAGCAGAAATGAGGAACTAACTGTTCCTTTCAAATTAGACCGGACATAAGTGTAAATAAGGTTATTTGAGTAACATTTTAAGATTAATAAAATTGATTTTGAAAATTTTGATCTTACTTCATGTAAACGGGGCTCTATACTAGTTGAAGGCATAATAAGATCAATTAATGATCTTGTGATATCTTCACAGTGAAAGTAAATGTTACAGTAAATCCAATATTGATTTTTCTAGATTTGTTTTTTGAAGTCAGAGATATGAATCCGTAAATCACAGTCACCTTTCCAATTCTATCTTTTCATTTTAAGCATCCCAGAAGATAGATTGATCTTTTTCCTGACTTTGATATATGGAAGAACATTGTGTTTAATGTTTAAACTAATTGTAAGACCTAAAAATATTGTCTTAAGACAGAAAGTTATGTTTTCCCACAGCTGGTAAATTTCTGACAGGTGGACTGTCTTGTAGAAGAAGTGTTGAAATGTTACTAATCCTGTAATCCTATAAATGAATGGCTAAAAATGTAGAAGCATCGCCAAATGTTACCATACACATCAAAAAATATTTAAATATATTACATTACAATGTTATTTTCCTTGCAATTTATGAAATTACATTTTATGAATGCCATGTTGACCTTTGTATTCCAATATCTGTATTAACATGGGATTGATTAGGATTACATAACAGACCTATAGATATGTCAAGAAGACCTCTTATATTAATTTTAGAGTTTTTATCAAGAGTTCAGGACTTTTAATAAAAGTGCTGACATTTTCTAAATAGTAAATGTCAGTATGAGATTAATGTGCGTTTTAAATGCCACACAAATGTGAGCTAATATTTCTCTTTTATATGAGAGGTTTCATCCCAAGAAAATTTCGCTCATCACACGAGGTGTGGACCTGCACGTAAACTCAGAGAGGGTCCATTATTCACCAATTGAGTGCTAGGTTACATGGGATTGATTACTCTCCCCTGTTAACATAAGCTTTAAAAATCAGAAAGATGTTCTCACTTTTGACAGTTATGTTCCTACTGGTATGACTCATTCAGACAATTTGTAAAAACATTGACATACTGAGCCCATTACTTTTTCCCATGTTTTCTTTGAAATGCAAGATATTTTCCACCATAATTGACACAGTGTGTTGGAGGCATCATTCAACTTAAAAATCAGTTACTTCATTAAGACAGTCTAGAGTTTCTTTGATTGCTTCATTTTTGTTTTTATGAGTGCCTGATTGATATCTTCATATTGTATTATTATAAGTATGGTAGATTACTTTTAAGTTATAATCTAGTGTCTTGTTTTTTGAGAATCAAATATTGAAACTAAAAACCTCGAGATATGACATATCAAATTTTGTGATGTATAATTACTGGTCCATTCAACAATGACCAGTAGATTTTTTTCATGGTCATGGACTAGCACAGGCGAAGCCATGAGGGGGGGGGAGTCAATGGGTGTGAACATACCCCCCCCCCATATTAAATAGAACCATTAGATAGAAGAAAAGAGCTTTAAAATTCAAAACAAATCTTAAAAACAATTTTTTGGTTCGTATATGCAACGATCTCACTGAAAACCGAATTTTTTTGGGTTGATCGCACCCCCCTGACTGAAAGCTGGCCATGCCCATGAATGGCAGGTCTATCTTACATTAAACTGCTCTTTTATTTAATTAGTTGTTTGGAACAGTATGACTGGGTTCCTTCAGGTGTAAGCTGATATCAGTACTATATCTGTCATTCACGTGAAAACTGATCCCACTTACATCATTTATATTAGGTTCTAGTGAGTCTGTTGAAGTGTCAGATGTATTTTAATCCTCAAATCCTGGTATATTACTTATCATCATGTACCCTGTGGCCTGCTTGATGATTTAAACAGAATAGGAATTAATCCTGTAAAATATAAATTATTTCTTTCAAAAAGATTTTATATAGCCAGGGTGAGTTAATTTATTGATATGATTCTCCCCCTCCCAAATCTCTCACAACCCCTATTGAGTTTGTGTAACCCGACTTTTCACATAGAGTGTCCAAAAATTGTATTGTATGATATTATTTTATTTGTTTCTAGTTTTTGTATAATTAATGTTTACAATGACATGGAAGAGACACATGAGATAAATGTTGAGTGTAAAGGTTTCATGTTATGAAACATGAAATATCATAGTACTGCACTATATAAAGTTTGAACAGTCAAAATAAGAAAAACACGGCAACACATTCTTCTTTCTTAGACATCTGTTTAATAACTAGGTGAGTGGTGAAACTTATTTCGGACCATTTCTGTTTTTATCTTTAACCAATAGAAATAAAAATGGTTAAACCCCCCGCATATTTCTTTTAGTAAACTAATGAAAAATCCTAAATATATAGGTTTGTCTCCTTAATGATTATCAGTTTAAAAGGCAAGAATCAAAACCTTAAATGTTCAAAAAAGATGGCTGAAATTTGATTTTTACCTGATTATCTCTTTAGAGCTTGTAAAAAAATTGGTTTAATAATGTGCTTCATCTTTCTTATATACAAATTTTAGGGACTGTGACTTAAAATTTTTTTTTTCAAAAACATAAAAAATGTTGCAGCAATGTTCTGTGTTGGTCATATAGTCCACTGCCAGTTCCATCCATAGTATCAATCCAGTGATAAACACAGATTAGTTCTAGCTTGCATTCTGATACTCATAGCATCTTTCTTTATCACATGCTCTGTAAAATTCCAGTAATCTGATTGGTTGATTACCGTGTGAGTTTTCCCGTCTCACACGGCCGTCTCACACGTTACTAGAGGCAACCAGTGATGATCAATAGCAACGATGTGACGTCACTGATTATATCACTTCTAGCTAAGGAAAACAATATGACGTCATACTATTTCACAAACAAGTACGAATACAACGGTATGACGTCATATTGTTTCAAAGCGAAATCAAAAATTATAGTAGTTACCAGAAGTACTGAACACAATCATAACTGACCAAATCAAAATGCTTCAAAATTCCTAGACATGTGATAAAATCGTCATCACACGTTTCAGCTTATGTGATACAGGAAATATTCCACTCGGGTAACAATGTATCACCACTCAAGCTTCGCTTTCGTGGATGATACAGTATTACCTTTCGTGGAATATTTCCTGTATCACATGCTTAAACGTGTGATAACTGATAGTTTCACCTGAAGCAGTGCTGAGAAGAAATGAGATGACATTGTTTATCATGATGTCTAGCTTGTGGCAAAATTAAAAGATGTGATGAGTATCAGAATGATGTTGGTCAGATATTTAACATATAACACACCAGCCAATGTTGTTTCTCTAAACAAACCTGCTTTATAAAGGACTTGCTAATTGTGCCCCTAAGAAAGTGTTATTGTTTCTGTAGAAGCAACAAATAATCTTACTGAAACACTACCTTGTTTATCTTTTATAACAACTGTTTCTGTTACACTTCTCTCCTGCTGTTATATACTTGACGGCTGTCAATATAAAAGAAAGAATTGTTTTTTGCAATTTCATTGGTAACTGGAGCAGGCCAGTGCATTCAAAGAAAACCAATAAAAAGGTAGTCTCTCATTAAGATCCTGTATTAACCCTCTACCTTCTCTAGATCTATCAAAGGCAATGGGGATACGGGGCCTCAGTGCCTTTGACCTAATACGAAATTCATGTTCCTCTATCTGCTTTATTCTGTAAAGAACTCGCTCTTCAAAATGATGGCCTCAAAAAAAGTGATAAAATATGAAAACATAGTGAACTTGGAAGATCATTTTAAGGTTTTCAGCACTTGCAGATTTTCTGAAAATGGCTGCATTTAATATCAGTTCAATGTAGGAGGTTCATATCTGCTTCAAGACAGTTAGCACTGAGTAGATTTCTCTCAAGTGACAATTAACCAGTGTGAGAACCTTTAAAAATAACATTCTAAGATAAAGAGTGTCAGAAAATCTGAAAATTCTCCAATGAATAACATGGAGATATTTGATGAATTTGAAATGTTTTGGGATGAGAGTGGTTCTGTTCATTTTAGTGTTTTCATTCCTTTCAACGTATCAGGTGATTGGCATTCTTTTTTCTTTCTTACTTATTCTACATGAAGGTTTTTTACCATTTGTGTCATACGTAGTAATGTTCTTATTTTGAATATGTGGAAATGGTTACAAATTTTAGGGATTTCCTTACCATTCCTTCAAGTATACTCATAGTAATATAGATTATGTCTATAAAAATGATATCCACTATATTGTAGCCTTGCATTAAAAGTTCCTCTCCCCCCTCATCTCTTTTACTCTGTAACAGGGGTAGGAAAGAACTAGGGGGTTGATAAGAGCATTAGTTGTTATCGCGAGCAGTTTCATTTTAAAGTCGAGATTTTTCTTTATAATAACATGACGATTTTTATACACAATGTGGCAGAATGAATTAATGCCCATGGGGTGAATATGCTGTGATTGTATTTAAACTTTAGGAATGAAACATATTCAAAATAAAAGACACTGTATTAAAAAAGGTTTCAATTCAATAAGTCACACCTTTTCTTGTGTTCTTTTTAGTGTATAGCTATTTGGTAAGCACCAATTACTAAAAATATGTTGTGGTTATATCTGCAAAAGTGTATCATAAGATTAGGTTCAGAATTAATGGAAGTTTAGTTTACTGATTTGTTGACTTATGGCTGCTTATCTCCCAGACCTATCATTCACATTTGAAGATAACAAGATATAACATAAATGTTTTCTCAGACTTACATCAACTTGAGATTTATAACTCTAAGTGCCCTTTAGCTGAGCAGTTTCTGCTAAAGGCAAGAATATATAGAACATTTGCTTGAATAGTTCTTTACGATTGGTTAATTTTATTCATTCATTCTGGTGGTAAACACTTGACTTTCTAGTGTGTTTATTTTTTTTGATTATTGATGTTATGTTATTCTTAATGTTTCATAAAAAACTTCAATATTTTGTTTTTCAGGAGATGTGTACATTATATAGAGACTGTTCTATGATGAAAAGCCATAGAAGTGCTTCATACCATCATAGCAACGGAGACTCATAGAATGTTCCAGAATCACAGGGCCATACCGCCATGGCTTTTTCCGATGAATACCACTCCCGTAAGATCAGCTTCCAGCGGTGGTTAACACATGTGAAACTCTCCAGACTGATTGGAATTCTCCTAGTGATTCTGATCATAGTTCCATTAATCGCACATTATTATATCTCAAACATTGGCTCAGATGGACTCGAAGGTGAAGGTCACAGGACGAGGTCGAAACTTGACCATATTGAAGATTCTCCGAGCCTCAAATCATCCGACTTGAAGTTTCGAATTGAGGAACTGAGACGGATAAAAGCAAGCGTGAATAATGAACTTCGCGATTTGGAAAACACGAGGCAGAAACTCAATGCTGAAATCAGTGGTTATAACTCACATATTGAGAAACTTAAGCATGAATATGAGAGTACAAACAAAGACTTGGACCAGTTGAAATTGACAATGCAGAACACACGGTTAGAACAGGAGGATGTTCTAAAGCGTAATATGCTAGAAATGCAGCTGCCACACAGGATCCTCCCATCCCTTGAGGACTCCATACACATTGATCCACCAAAGGCTCACACAGCGTGCGCCATGCATACCTGCTTTGATTACTCCAGGTGCTCAATTTCATCAGGATTTCCCGTTTATTTTTACAGTCCCCTTGACTACACCCTCACCAAGACACCTCTACATCCCTTCATCAAGTCCTCAGTAATGAATGCATTTAATTCAAATCCCCACTCCACATTTGACCCCCATATTGCCTGTATATATGTCATCCTGATTGGAGATCTCGAAAAAGACAATGAAGATTACTCTCTATTAGAGGAGAAATTAAAAAATCTGCCATATTGGCATGGCGATGGACGCAATCATTTATTATTAAATTTAGCTCATGGTCACACTTCGAGAGATATATTCGAACATGTAAACACTGGGCGAGCAATGATCGTCCAATCAACATTTATCAGTAGTCGTTTCAGAGCTGGTTTCGATGTAATTATACCGCCATCTTTAGGAATATCTCATGGTGATTCATGGGAAGGATTACCCATGCTTGTTCCTGCTAGAAGACAATATCTCCTCACATTTCTCGGGGAGTATAACCAACTGAAATCTTTCACCAATAAAGCTGAAGAATTCCAATCTCAGGGTGCTGCTGGGAAAACATCACCACGGCAACAAAGTGTGCAAAATGACTTGATCTTTAGGTTGAAAAATAATGCGGGGAATAACGACCAAAATCAACCAATTATTAACAGTAATAGAAAACTATTAAGTACAAATGAACGGACGTTAAACAATGACTTTCGGGAACTTATTAACTTAGAGAATGGAATTGTTGAAGCTTTAAAAAACATGCAATCAAAACACAGTCAAGATGGATTTTATTTTGATTTTAAATGCAATGGTGATGTAAGTGTTGGACTGAATGCTGAATGGGCACTGTGCCTCCCTGAACCTAAGCGTCATGAACTTCTGGAGAAATCCACTTTTAGTCTCATAATTGCCCCCACTAATTACAGTATTATATCTAGTGTGCTGACACAAATTAGGATATTTGAAGCAATAAAATATGGTGCAATACCTATTATACTTGGGGACTACATACAGCTCCCATTCAATGACTACCTCTTGTGGAAGGATGCAGTGGTTCAACTCCCTAAATCTCGTATAACAGAACTGCATTTTATCATACGTTCATTCATCGACAATGATATTTTAGCACTTCGTAGGCAGGGTCGAATATTTTACGACTCATTTTTCTCCTCAACAAAAAACATTATTGATACACTATTGGCTGTGTTTCGTACAAGACTACAGATACCTGCACCTCCTATCAGAGATGAACCGTCCCCCAATGTGTTCAATGCCAGTTTCGTTCCACTACGTGATGAAAATGTAGATATACAGACAGAAGCTGATGATATTCTGGGCCCTATTGAATCTCCACTGCCTTCTCTGACATATAGGCAGAACTTTACATTTAGTTACAGAGTGTTTAACCAGCCAGGGGACTATCGTCACTCCTTCCCCTTCACTCCCTTCATTCCAGTCTTACCTGCTGAGGCAAAGTTCAAAGGTTAGTGCTTCATTACAAAAGTGCTAGTGGGACTTAATCCATTGAGGCCTACAGTGCCGTTTTTTAAATAATATGTTTTTTTAAATTATTTTTTTAAGATTTATGATTTTTTTTTTACGTCATCTACATGTTTATTATTTTGATGAGGAAATTGTCATCATAATGTATTTTCATTACTAGCATATATTAATAGCTGTATTCTGATGTAAGCCAGCTGTTTTCAGTGATTCTACGTAACAACTAAATGTGGAAATGGTTGGGATAATTTCATCAAAAGATGATGAAGGAAAAGCATTCAGATAATTAAATCAGTAAGCCAGTGAAAAGGAGGAATTTGCCAAAATTGCCGAACTTGGTGATGTAAATAATGTTGCATTATCCATTGGTAGAATACTTAAACCAATTGTGACTACCTTTTAGTGACTTTTAACTCATTTTATATCTCATAAATTATAGGGTCTAGTCGAGGGTTCCGACCCATAGGCAAGGGAGCAGGTGGTGCAGGGAAGGAGTTTAATGAGGCCCTTGGAGGAAACTTTCCAAGGGAACAATTCACAAGTAAGTTTTGAATTCATCACTGTCAACCAATATATGAAGTGTGCATCACAAGGATGTCCATATATTGAGATATATTAGATCTGCATGATGTTGATTTATCTTAAGTTTCATTTCAATTTTATTTCTATAGTTACCAATAATTAATAGAATATTTCCCATATTTTACATAACATATTCACGCGGTCCTAACTTCGACCGTTAATTTGAATTTTTGACCTACCAGATGTTCGAAAATCAAGGATTCATGTCTCATACTGCACCGTTTTTCTTCAAACTTATACTATTAAAAGCAAAACAAAATTGCCTTTCTGTCGGTGCATTACTTTATTGTAAAGAGTCCCTCGTTCTAGCAGCGTTTTGGTCCCCAGCTGTTAGAAGACCTTCTTACAGCTGGGGACCAAAATGCCGCTGGAAGTAGGGACTCTGTTTAAGAGAATAATGTACCAACAGAAAGGGATTTTTGTTATGCTTTGAATGGAACAAGTTTGAAGAAAAACGGTGCAGTACGAGACTCGTAATCCTTGATTTTCAAACATCCGGTAGGTCAAAAATTCAAATTAACAGTCGAATTAGTACCGCGTGATATTGCACAATACAATCATATATCAAATATTTCGATTGACATTTTCCAAATGTTTTGTATCCACATTTCTTTGAAAGTGGTGAACTACCTTAAAGTAGTTTCTAACGCTGTATATACAGGAACTGATCCATTGTTTCAGTTGTGATGCTGACATATGAAAGAGAGGCTGTCTTGATGAATGCTATAGCAAGGCTGAAAGGTCTGCCTCATCTGAACAGAGTGGTGGTTGTGTGGAATAGTCCCAAGCCACCTGCTGAGGATCTCAGGTGGCCTATCATAGGAGTAGATGTACATGTAAGAATATATAACTTCAGATATTAAACAGCATTGCAGGTCAAACTTCTACGAACTTCTACAGATTTTCTACAAATGTTGCAAAAGACCAAGTCAGGAAAATGTTATGTAACAAACAAAACTAGGATAGTAAGTAGCATTGTTCTAACCTTCAACTGAAATGAACTTGGTTTGCCATACATTTCCATTCTTATGCTTAAATTAGCCTTCTTTGTTTGTCCAGGTGATTAGAACAGAGAAGAACAGTTTGAACAACCGTTTTCTACCATATGATGTCATAGAAACAGAGGCTATCTTGTCAATAGATGATGATGCCCATCTCAGGCACGATGAAATCATGTTTGGATTCAGGTAATGAATCTTTCCAGTCAAAATAAAAGTTGTATTGTTAACAGTAGAGAGATATCACACTTAAGAGAAATATTTATGAAACCATCAAATGAGCTCTTAAATATGCTAAATGGAGAGATACAGCATATGTTCACTGGTTAACAGCCACTTGACTCAAAGTAAAGCTGAAAGTAACATTGGTGGATCAGCCATTTGGAAAATTTGAGATTATAAGAGATGCTAACTTCTTTATACAACTGTACTAGTTTTTTCTGACCTAGCTTTTTTCATGAATGAAGCTTTGCATCAAAGTCTATTGTTGATGTGAATTGCAGGCAAATTCAAAATTCTGTTTTTCTAGATTTCTTGTTTCTAAATGTGGTTCAGATTTATAGATGTCGCATTGGTATTACAGTATATTACAAAACATTGATCCCATTTTACCATGTAATGTGTGCATGCACATTTATTTGGCCTCAGAGGCAACAGCACAACAACATGTATTTACCATACAGTATTATTTAGTTTTTATGTCACCACAAACATATGCATAATAAGTGTCATCAGTCTTATTGAAGCAAGCTGATTGTTAACAAGCTTCATTTGGCAATTTTTTCAGGGTGTGGCGTGAGAATCGTGAAAGAATCGTAGGATTCCCAGGACGCTTCCATGCTTGGGATCTTGATCATGATAGCTGGTTGTACAATTCTAACTACTCATGTGAACTCTCTATGGTACTCACTGGTGCTGCATTCTTCCACAAGGTATTAATAAAATCACCTTCCACTCTCTTAGTCAAAATGAACCCCACTGTTATTAACATGAACTATTTTTTAATGAATTTTTATTAAAGGTTTATCTTAAGAGTATAAAATGATGCCATCGTACTGTACTCTTATGATTGCCATCGTACTGTACTCTTATGATGCATATAAATTTAGTTGTAAGAACTTGAATATTTTATTTGGAGTTTCTATTTTAATGTTTTGCAGTATTATGCCTACCTATACAGCTATGTGATGCCTCAGGCAATAAGAGACAAGGTGGATGAATATGTTAACTGCGAGGACTTGGCTCTTAACTTTCTAGTCTCCCATATCACTAGACAACCTCCAATTAAGGTAACTATTTCACTCATTGATAAACACCTTCTATTAAGGTAACTATTTCACTCATTGACATACACAGTCCTATTATGGTAACTATTTCACTCATTGACATACACAGTCCTATTAAGGTAACAATTTCACTCATTGACATACAACCCTCTATCAAGGTTGCAACTTCTCTCATTGCCAGACAACTCCCTATTAGGGTAACTGTTTCAAATGGCAAATATTCATGTTGTCCACTCTATAGTAAGGGATATACAGTGTACTCTTATGGTCATTAATAACAAAACGTGTTCATCTGGCAAACACTTCTTTCTAGTGAATGACAGAACCTATTGATAGTGAACAAATTTCAGAGGAGAGTCAATTTATTTCTGTGTAAAAACCATCTGTGAGCTGAGCACTTTTTATGGTTCCATATTAGTCATTATACACAGGTTTTACTGTATAAAGAGTCAATAGAAGATGATATATACCGCATATCATTTCACTTTCTTCATGTTTGTTTCTTTTGAAGTTTTATATTATATATATTGCTCTGAACACCCAATATAGGTTCGATAAACCAGTGAGTAAACATTCTAACTCGTGTAAAACCACATTTCTCGTAGACTCTCATGGCACTTTGTTGATGCACACTTGTCCTTAGCATCAACTCATCATAGTTGTACTTTTTGCAATAGTCTATTACAAAATTAACCATCAAATCAGCTAGTCCATTGCCCCTGTAATCAGTTGCTACAACCACACGCGTAAGTTCACCTCGCTTGCCAACATCCAGTTCATTTACACCAATAGAGCCAATAAGTTTCCCCCTGTGGAAGAGCAGCCATAATTTATGGTCATGTTCTGTCCAATATTCTACAAAATTGTGATAATCGCTCAGTTTGGACAGCTCCCAAAGTAGAACACCCCATACTAACAAGAAATACAATATGGAGTATAACCCCAACAGGAATATGAGTCCGTTCATCAATGAGTGTCTCATTTGGTATAAGGTTCCAGCTGCTAGTAATGCTAATACACTGCTAACCTTTGGATGGAATAATTTGCCTTTCATCATTATTGGAACTGGTTCAGTGTATGAGGTTAAGGCCATTTTCTTCACTTCTTCCCAGTTGTCTATATTTGGGTCAAACAGGCGTATCTCAAGTTCATCTCGTTTGACTCTTATTGGTGGTTTGTTGCTCATGTTGAATAGACCTAACATTGTGCCTGTAAATATAATCATTATGTGATTCATTTTCCCTCATTTATTTTTTTAACTTTAATTTGTGGTTTGTTGCTCATGTTGAATAGACCTAACATTGTGCCTGTAAATATAATCATTATGTGATTCGTTTTCCCTCATTTATTTTTTTACTTTTATTGGTGGTTTGGTCTTGATGTTGAATAGGTCTAACATTGTGCCTGTATTAATATAATCAAGCAGATTCCCTTATTTTTGAAAATTACAGTTTTGAATATTCAATAATTATTTCTTATTCAATATTCCGATAAAGCATTAGGAATTGTTTGGAACATACAATCGCTTTGAAATCTAAATCCCAAATGTTCAGGATAACTTTCAGAAATCAGTGATCATGGTGTCATAGTGCAGTAGTTTAGTCATCATGTTATACTTACATCGAATCACTTAACCAGGTCTGCCTCCCTTCAGCATTTACTTTTTCTTTATAAATATCTGTTACTAAAAATCTTATTCATAGTCACATAGTTCACCTAGTCAAGTAGCATTCTCAACATTACAGTACATGAGAGTATACCAAGGACATGTTGACCTATCAATAGTGATTAGATGAGCATTGTACAATTGTGTCACATATGCACATAATATAACAACAGTACATAATGTCAAATGAATGATGAGCTCACAAAGTAAAACACCCCATACTAACAAGAAATACAATATGGAGTATAACCCCAACAGGAATATGAATGCTTTCATCAATGAGTGTCTCATTTGGTGTAAGATTCCAGCTGCTAGTAATGCTAATACAATGCTAACCTTTGGATGGAATAATTTGCCTTTCATCATTATTGGAACTGGTTCTGTGTATGAGGTTAAGGCCATTTTCTTTACTTCTTCCCAGTTGTCTATATTTGGGTCAAACAGGCGTACTCAAGTTCATCTCGTTTGACTTTTATTATGTCACCACCAAAAGTGGTGACATATTGTTATGGTCTCCGTTTTTATGTCACCACCAAAAGTGGTGACATATTGTTATGGTCTCCGTTTTTTTGCGACGGCGGTTGGCGTCCGGCGGTTGGCGTCCGGCGTAAGGCGGTTGGCGTCCGGCGTCTGTAACAATTTCTTACAACTTCCTATAACTTAACAAATACTGTTTAGACTGACTTCAATTTTTTTCTAAATCATCTACATGTTCTCAGAAGTTCAAATCTGACTTTAGATTTGACATTTGACCTTCAATGACCTTCTCAAGGTCAAAAAGGTCTTTTTTCAACTTGCTTAACATTGACTAAATTTTTTTCAAAATCATCTACATGTTCTCAGAAATTCAAATCTGACTTTAGATTTGACATTTGACCTTCAAATCTGACTTTAGATTTGACATTTGACCTTCAATGACCTTCTCAAGGTCAAAAAAGGTCAAAAAGGTCTGTTTTCAACTTGCTTCAAATTGACTAAATTTTTTTTTCAAAATCATCTACATGTTCTCAGAAATTCAAATCTGACTTAAGATTTGACTTAAGATTTGACCTTCAATGACCTTCTCAAGGTCAAAAAGGGTCAAAAAGGTCTGTTTTCAACTTGCTTCAAATTGACTAAAAAAAATTTTCAAAATCATCTACGTGTTCTCAGAAATTCAAATATGACTTTAGATTTGACTTAAGATTTGACATTTGACCTTCAATGACCTTCTCAAAGTCAAAAAAGGTCAAAAAGGTCTTTTTTCAACTTGCTTCAAATTGACTAAATTTTTTTTTCAAAATCATCTACATGTTCTCAGAAATTCAAATCTGACTTTAGATTTCACATTTGACCTTCAATGACCTTCTCAAGGTCAAAAAAGGTCAAAAAGGTCTTTTTTCAACTTGCTTCAAATTGACTAATTTTTTTTTTCAAAATCATCTACATGTTCTCAGAAATTCAAATCTGACTTTAGATTTGACATTTGACCTTTAATGACCTTCTCAAGGTCAAAAAAGGTCAAAAAGGTATGTTTTTAACTTGCTTCAAATTGACTAAAAAAATTTTTCAAAATCATCTACGTGTTCTCAGAAATTCAAATCTGACTTTACATTTGACTTAAGATTTGACATTTGACCTTCAATGACCTTCTCAAAGTCAAAAAAGGTCAAAAAGGTCTTTTTTCAACTTGCTTCAAATTGACTAAATTTTTTTTTCAAAATCATCTACATGTTCTCAGAAATTCAAATCTGACTTTAGATTTGACATTTGACCTTCAATGACCTTCTCAATGTCAAAAAAGGGGTATTTTTTCATCTTGCTTCAAATTGACTAAATTTTTTTTCAAAAGCATCTACATGTTCTCAGAAATTCAAATATGACTATAGATTTGACTTAAGATTTGACATTTGACCTTTAATGACCTTCTCAAGGTCAAAAAAGGTCAAAAAGGTCTGTTTTCAACTTGCTTCAAATTGACCAAATTTTTTTTTCAAAATCATCTACATCTTTTCAGAAGTTCAAATTTGACTTTACAAGTTCTCAGAAATTCAAATCTGACTTAAGTTTGAACTCATAATATTGTGAGCAACTAGGTGGTGACATTTTGTCATGTTAATGCCTTGTTTGTGGTTTGTTGCTCACGTTGAATAGACCTAACATTGTGCCTGTAAATATAATCATTATTTGATTCGTTTTCCCTCATTTATTTTTTAACTTTTATTGGTGGTTTGTTGCTCATGTTGAATAGACCTAACATTGTGCCTGTAAATATAATCATATGTGATTCGTTTTCCCTCATTTTTTTGAATATGATATTTTATCAAATATACACTTTGGTTTCTCATGAAATATGAGGAAAAAATTAAGCAGTTTGAAACTAAATAGACTGATTCCATAAAGACAATTTTTTTTTATTTTGTTGCTCAAGCTAGGATATTGTGATAGAATTATGTTTCATTGATTGCAGAATATTTGTTTCTCCTACTGATATATATTAATGTTGCTCTTTCCCAAAAAATGAGTGCAGATAGACAATGTCTGGTTGGAGTGCTACACAAGGTTCTTGTCACATGCTCACTTTGTCACGAAACATGGCATATGTGCTCTTTTTCACAGAACAAAATTTTTCAGAACGCAGTCAATTTATTTCTGTATTTATTTATTTATTGTATGTTTTACTGTATCTAAAGAGTCAATAAAAGATATATGTATTCACACCCGGTAATCGTAAGAAATGAACGGAGGGGGGAGTATCTGATTTTTGCTAGAAAATTCAACAAATCTGAAAGATTTATTTTTTCAAGAGAAAGTTTACGATTGAATTGCTAAATGAATAGGTGCAGAACTCTGGGAAGTATGTTAGGTCTTGTCGGATTTCTTTTGAACTGATGGGCTTCTAAGATATAAGACCTATTAAAAAAGGCACAGCGTCGCCAATGTGCAAATGGCAAGGTTTCTGCTATAAATCCAGCAATAAGGGTCTACACAACCTGTGATAATACTTGTTAGTGACCTTATTATCACAAAGCTATTGTCATTGTTGTTTTTTTTAAATACGTTACCATACGTTATATAAAAAATAAACAAAAATAATAGATTTTGAATGGAGGGGGGACTGAACGGAGGGGGGGGGGGGTAATGTATGTATAAGGCATGTGATAAGAGATGTAACTTGATTTTATTTTGAATAATTCCAAATGTCCCTTTTTTCACTCTTCAGAGTTGTAATATCCAGTTGTTACTGAGTCACTGCAGTTCATTTTTCAAATACACAAATTCGTGGAAATTTCTTCCACCTTAAAGTCATATTACTCCCCCCTCCCTTCACTCCCCCTCCATTCGATTTTAATTATTTTCGATTATTTTTTTATCTAACGTATGGAAATATTTTGCGATAAAAAAAAGATCTTATATCTTAGAAGCATATTGGTTCAAAAAAAATCTGAGAAGACCTAACATATTTCACCGTGTACTGCACCTACCGTATTCTCTGTAATTAGCGCCCAGGGCGTTTAGAAAATTGAAAATACATTATTTAGACCATTCTAATAAGCGCCCATGTATGAAAGAAATCAGAAATCCCGAGGAATTTCATGTATGGCAATTTTTCTTGACAAGAATGCATTTTCTTCAACATATTTTTATAATAATATGACAAGTGCTGTTATTGGAGAGAATACGGTAAAGATCGCTTAGACAATATTGACAGTGGTTGAAGACCCGTCTATGTCTAATTTATTTCCGGCACGCCCACTTTGTCATTATCGCCGATTACCTTCAATATGTCCACTAGAGACTGCTGGATATCGATCTAAAGTTATACATTATTTCTAATTTGATGAGAGATCATCATTATTCGTGCAAAAGTCGTGTAAAAGTCGAGAAACATTAAAAAGAAACCAGAAAGTTCACGACCTTGACATGCGCAGAACATCTGCGCAGTAGCTTTTGAAATTTCTGAATGCCGATAAAGAACAATTCCTTCATTCATTATGGATTATTATGATTCCTCGATGTTTCTTGAACTTTGTGAAGCGGGGTGGGCACTTATTAGAGAGTGGGCGGTAATTACAGAGAATACGGTATTCATTTAGCCATTCAATTGTTAACTTTCTTTTGAAAAATAAATCTTCCAGATTTGATGAATTTTCTAGCAAAAATCATCTGCTCCCCCTCCGTTCATTTCTTCCGATCACCGGGGGTGGTATATATCATTTGATTTTCTTCATGCTTGTTTCCTTGGAAATTTTAAAGTATATGTGTTGCTCTCAACACCGAGTATAGGTTTGATAAAGTAGTGAGTAAACATTCTTACTCGTGTAAAACCGCACTTCTCGTAGATTTTCATTGCACTTTGTTGATATATAGTCGTAAATAGTACCAACTCATTATATTTATTCTTTTCATGATAGTCTATTACAAAATTAACCATCAATTCAGCTAGTCCATTGCGCCTGTAATCAGTTGCTACAACCACACGCGTAAGTTCACCTCGCTTGCCAACATCCAGTTCATGTACACCAATAGAGCCAATAAGTTTCCCCCTGTGGAAGAGCAGCCATAATTTATGGTCATGTTCAGTCCAATATTCTACAAAATTGTGATAATCGCTCAGTTTGGACAGCTCCCAAAGTAGAACACCCCATACTAACAAGAAATACAATATGGAGTATAACCCCAACAGGAATATGAGTGCGTTCATCAATGAGTGTCTCATTTGGTATAAGGTTCCAGCTGCTAGTAATGCTAATACACTGCTAACCATTGGATGGAATAATTTGCCTTTCATCATTATTGGAACTGGTTCTGTGTATGAGGTTAAGGCCATTTTCTTCACTTCTTCCCAGTTGTTTATATTTGGGTCAAACAGGCATATCTCAAGTTCATCTCGTTTTACTTTTATTGGTGGTTTGTTGCTCATGTTGAATAGACCTAACATTGTGCCTGTAAATGTAATCATATGTGATTTGTTTTCCCTCATTTTTTTTGAATATGATATTTTATCAAATATACACTTTGGTTTCTCATGAAATATGACGAGAAAATTAAGCAGTTTGAAACTAAAATGTAAACTAAATAGACCGATTCCATAAAGACAAGTTATTTTTATTTTGTTGCTCAAGCTAGGAAATTGTGATAGAATTATGTTTCATTGATTGCAGAATATTTGTTTCTCGTACTGTTATATATTAATGTTGCCCTCTCCCCAAAATTGAGTGCAAATATACTATGTCTGTCTGATTGGAGTGGTACACAATGGCTTTGAAGTCTATATCTCAAAAGTTTAGGATAAAAGCTGTGATCACAGTATTGTTGCACAGTAACTTAATAGAAATGTTATACTTACATTTAATCACTAAACCAGGTCAGTGTCCCTTCAGGATTTACTTTTTTATAATAATCTGTTACCAAAAAGTCTTTACTTGGCGCTCATACAATGTAGAGATCTTGTAAAAATGACAATGTTTATTAAAGTGTGCTTTTGACCTATATTTTGCTGATAAACCTTGCTCAGGTTCTTGTCACATGCTCACTTTGTCATGAAACATGACATATGTGCTCCTTATCATAGAACAAAATTTTTCAGAACACAGTCAATTTATTTCTGTATAAAAACCCTTTGTGTAAATGAACACTTTTCGTGGTCCCATATTATTCATTATACACAGGTTTTAATGTATCTAAAGAGTCAATAAAAGATATATGTATATTTCTTCCGATCACCGGGCGTGGTATATATCATTTGATTTTCTCTATGCTTGTTTCCTTGGAAATTTTAAAGTATATGTGTTGCTCTCAACACCCAATATAGGTTTGATAAAGTAGTGAGTAAACATTCTAACTCGTGTAAAACCGCACTTCTCGTAGATTTTCATTGCACTTTGTTGATATATAGTCGTATATAGTACCAACTCATTATATATTTTTTTTTCATGATAGTCTATTACAAAATTAACCATCAATTCAGCTAGTCCATTTCGCCTGTAATCAGTTGCTACAACCACACGCGTAAGTTCACCTCGCTTGCCAACATCCAGTTCATTTACACCAATAGAGCCAATAAGTTTCCCCCTATGGAAGAGCAGCCATAATTTATGGTCAGGTCCTATCCAGTATTCTACGAAATTGTGATATTCACTCAGTTTGTACATCTCCCAAAGTGGAATTCCCCATATTAGTAAGAAATACAGTATGGAGTATAACCCCAACAGGAATATGAGTCCATTCATCAATGAGTGTCTCATTTGGTGTAAGATTCCAGCTGCTAGTAATGCTAATACACTGCTAACCTTTGGATTGAATAGTTGGCCTTTCATGATTATTGGAATTACCTCTGTGTAGGGGACTAAGGTCATTTTCTTTACTTCTTCCCAGTTGTCTTTGTTTGGATCAAACAGGCGTATCTCAAGTTCATCTCGTTTGACTTTTATTTGTAGTTTGTTACTCACGTTGAATAGACCTAACATTGTGCCTGTAAATAATCATTATGTGATTCGTTTTCCCTCATTTATTTTTTACTTTTATTGGTGGTTTGTTGTTGATGTTGAATAGGTCTAACATTGTGCATGTAAATATAATGAAGCAGATTTTGTAAACCTTGACTATAAGACGTGTCTGAGTATGATAAAGTATCGTGAAAAAATTATTATTAAAGTATTATCAAAAAAGCAGTGATCATGTTGTCATAGTGCAGTATTTTAGTCATCATGTTATACTTACATCAAATCACTAAATCAGGTCAGTCTCCCTTCAGCATTTACTTTTTTATTTTTTATAAATACCTGTTACTAAAAATCTTATCGTCTCTCATAAAATAAAGACTGTGTATAAATGACCTTGAATATCAGACATGTCTCAGTATTGGGACAGCTTGGCCTATATTTTGCAGATGTCTTATTTAAAATATATTTACCTCTAAGTCCCAAATGTTCAGGATGACTTTCAAAAAGCAGTGATCATGGTGTCATAGTGTCATTGTCTCTCATAAAAATAGAGATTTTGTTAAAATGACCTTGAGTATCAGACATGTCTAAGTATGATAAAGTATTGTGTCAGCTTGGTCTATTTTTTCGTAGTCACATAATTCGCCTAGTCAAGTAGCATGAGAGTATACCAAGGACATGTTGTCCTATCAATGGTGATACAATTGTGCCACATAAACAGTACATAATGTAAAATGAATTGACAAAATTCGAAACTTGACATTCTAATGAAAATGACCTTTTTGATTTTATTGATCAAATACTTAAAATGGTTTAAGAACCTGGCTGAAAATCATCTTGCCCATCAAACAAAATCTGTACAGTTATGTTGTATTCTTTGTAAAATCAATAAATTATACCTTAATCGCCTACTCCCCCCTCCATCCTTTTTGTACGATCACCGGGCGTGACAGTTGTACATGTTTATCAAAAGATGCCACACAAATTATTTGAAACTTCATATGGCTTAAGTATCATTGCTCAACATCTTGGTGATCACACAGGTAAAAAAGTATATCTGGGTCATAAAAAATGAATTGATTTTAGATCTTGAATAAAAAAAGTATTTAAAAACACCAATCGTATCATAATCAACATTGAATGAATCATTTACATTGGAATTTCTCCTTGACAACAAGTGTGACCTCATTTCATATTGTGATTCATCCCACTTCTTGATATAATGATGGAGTCATTGTGTGAAAGCTTGCCTTGATGACCTTTTCCAGTGAAATGAAATGTTTTGTTATTTTGAAATGCTTTGACCAGAATTAATGTTGTTATCAAACTGACAGATCTTTACTGAAAAATATTCAATATCAATTTTATGGTAACAGATAGTGATTTTTTAATTAAATTACTTGTAGATATTTGCTGATATATGAATGTATCTGGAATATTAGCTATATCCAGTATTTCAGTTTGAATTAAGTAGTTGTATTTTAACAGTCATCTTCCATGTGGTAAGGTTAAGGCAAAGAGAAAAACTAGAGAATGTAAAATGTAAGATTGTAATATATGATGTATATCTTATCGAGGGGGGGAGATTTCCAAAATATGACGCTTTGGTATTTGCACGTTCAATAACCAATTTTATAAACACCTCATTTGCCATTGAAATGAATCTCACAATCTTCCCTTTTTTATGAGTATTCCCTACAACTTCGAGTAACTTCAAAACTATTACTGCAGTTTTGAAATAAACACCCTATCCACAATTTCACATTTTACTTTGTGCATCCACAGCACTGAGAGAGCACATGCACATGATTGTTCATATGATCACATCCTGCAATTTGATTGGACATCATATACTGTGGGATCCCTGAATACGATAAGATATGAAAGAATTGTGGGAGCTACTCACTCCTTCTGTATCATATCAGAACTTTTTGATTTTATGCTTGCCCCGAGTCATGCATTCAAGTGCATTGAATAAAGAGGTAAATCAGAGAATGCATATAGACAATGAGTGTACATGTATATGAATTTTACATTTGTCCTTAAAATGTCAAAATGACACAAGAATTTTATGATATAAACCTAATACTATTTTTGTGTTCATCTGTTCCAGGTCACATCAAGGTGGACTTTTAGATGCCCAGGGTGTCCTAAAGCTTTATCCGTGGAAGACTCCCACTTTCACGAACGGCACAAATGTATGAACTTTTTTGTGAAGATATATGGATACATGCCTTTGCTGTATACTCAATTCAGAGTTGACTCGGTGCTCTTTAAAACAAGAATTCCCCACGACAAACAGAAATGCTTTAAGTTTATATAACATATGATCTATGGTCTGATGTGATGCTTTTGTGGCATGTTCAATAAATTAATGTATCTTTTGCAAATGATGTTGATGCAATTGATGTGTGTCTCAAACATTTTATAATGGCTAAAGAAACTGCATTTGAGGCATTTAAGTATGGGCTTTCAAAAGTATGGGCATTTGGTCTTTCAAGAGAAAAATCCATGCTTTTGAATGTCATTGGTTTATGATTAGCTTTAGTATGATGATAAGTTTATATATGTGTGTGACAAACTTATGTGTAAACTGTTAAATATTAATTTGTACAATTTAGTTTGAAAAGCCTTAAGTTAAAGGTGCTTCATCATCGGACATATTGGTTGACTCCCTCATGGCTCTATATGGCAGTAATTTCTGTTATGAGAAGTAAAAGTGAAAAAATATGTAAAAACTATTATTTTGTGATGAAAATGATTTCCCATCATTCTGTCTGTTTCCTTTGTATCATGACAATGTGTTGTCTGTCTTATGTAAAACATGTGAAATTTGTAAAAATGCTACAGAATTATTACTGTAAACTGTAATGTTTTACTAAGATTTTTTTTATTTACCCATAATATAATATAAGCCCCATATAATATGGGGTTATTTTCATATGTATATACAAATATGTAAAATAAAGCGTTTGTAATGTACACTGTTATACAAAACTGTGGTATGTTGGACATGTTTCATGAAATGTGGATCTTTGCTACTGCAATATAGTTCAGTGTTACACTCCCCTCCAAAAGTTTGGCAACTGAAAGTTACCTTTAAATATCAGATAAAAACAGATTTTAAAACTCTATTCAATAGGAAGCAACTGATAAGCTCTCTATGAAATATGAATTTGTGTTACTTTAAATATGGATATTTTTTCACTTACATATGCCAAACATGCCATGATGTACACTCTGATTTGAGAGAAAAAATGAAATCTAAGAGAAGGTAAATATTTTAAATATTTTAGTGAAAAATAGAGAAATAGAGTATAAATAGATTCATATTAGATAGTCATCTAAATAATACTTTATTACTACTGGTGTACATAGGCAAAATGGTTTAATGATACCTCCGTGTGTTTTGTGCAATATGACTATACATGTATAGTACTGTGTTACATACCTAGTGAAGCATTTGTATGGAAGTCAATGGAAAAGTGAGTGGGCTATACCACTGATATTGCCCAATTACCCCGATATAGCCTGCTTACCTCATTTTAATATTAGATTTCGTTAATAACCATGACAATGTCATGATGTCATTTTTCATTTCGATCAGATTCTACTCGCACATGTCATTCATACAAAGAAGCCATGGGAATAAAGGTATCTCAAACATCAGTTATGTCACTATAACGTGAAATATGCCTTCGTTCTTTCCCAAATATAGAGCCTTCCAAAGTAGGCCTATATTGGGAGAACTCAGGCATATTTCATGTAATAGTGACATAACCTTTCAATATATATAGGTCATTTCAATGTAGTCAATCTCAAATGAAATAATCTGGAGGTCATTAACAGAAACTTCATAAATATGTGAATTCATAAATCAATTGTTGTTACCATGGACATAGTGACGTCACAGTAAGAGAACAATGGACTTTACGAATTCTTAACTTTACGAAGTTTATGTTAATGGCCCCCTGGCTATTACACAATGTACATTTGTTGTGTTGGATGAACTAAGAAAATAATTGTTAATATATAGTTAAACCCATTAATTCAAACACCACTGGGACTGGCCAAAAGTGTCTTTTAATGTGGAAGATGGGACCAAAAAATTTCTCACATTAAGAGATGTTCAGAATAAAGTGGTGTTCAGTGTACAGGTTTTACTCTCAAGAAGTTAACTTAAAATGGTATCATGACACTGACAATTGATGGGATTTATATGGGAATTACAATTATATGTACAATTATGTAAATTAATATGTGTACTAAATGGAATATGGATTGTGTTACATGAAACATAGATATACAATAACTTACACCATGGACAATGGCACAAAGAATATAAATCCATTAGATCTGTGTTTTATGAAATATGGATTGGTGGATGTATGTTACAATAAAAGATGAATGTGTGTGAGACAGTAAATCTGGAATTTAATATAAAATGTAATTATGGATGTTAACTCTGGTCAGATGGCGTTGTTATTGTTTGCTAAATTCCTGACTATTTGGTGGTACATTCACGCATTCTGACATAACATTGCCCCACCTGTTGGACTAGGACTTTTCCTATATAACCATATTAACAATGGTCATAGGCCTATCTTATTCTCATACTTATATGTGTGTGATCACCAGTAGATTGTCATTAGACAGTTAGATTAACAATTCTATCTCTGTGTACAGATTGCAATCATGACTCTGGATCCAGAGCATGTTATAGTGGCAATAAACAACAAACATTTTCATAAATTGTCTTCGTTATGTATGTTGTGTATGTTAATAGGAGAATAGTTGTAAGTTAGGGTGAAAATATGTTGAGAATATTTTTGTAATTTTCGTTGATTATAGTTACCATTATGGTGGGTAATGTTTAAATAGGTGATATTTAAAAAAAAATTTATCTTGATATTAACACATCATTATAGAATGTATAGTTCAAAATGTTTCCTTAGAATTATGCTGAAATTATATTTTCTTACGCAAACTTTTTTAAGACAAGAAACTAATCCACAACCATATAAAAACTTGCCATGCTTCAGAATGACCAAGACTTCAAATAAGAAAAGTTCATAAACAATGAAAATGTACAAAATATAAAGCATGTTTTCATGAGTACGGTAAAACTTGTAAACTGAAACACCCATTTTGAAGTGGAACACAACACCTACTTTAAGTGGAACACTTTCCCATGCCTCATTATCTATTTAACGGAAACTGAAGCTTTTTGGAATAAATCTCCCTTTAGATATACAGTATGCCATAGGTTTCCCAGACAATCAGTGATGTCCCATTATAATTGGTTATGTAATATCCTACATACCTTAGATATTTCACAATAAATCCCCAATTCATTTCTTTACATTTACTTTGCCATTGAGCACTCATTCCCTTTTCACTTAATTCTATTAAACATTTTTCATTTCTATTCAAGAGTATTCCTTTTATACAACTTTAAACATTGTCAGAATGTGCTTTTGTGCTTTTGTATTTAAATGATGTAAAAATGTTTTATTTATAACTTGTAGTCTTGAACCATCATCTTTTATAAAAATTAAAAGACATGTAATGATATGTACATCCATCGGGTATTATGCATTATGGAGTTTTAAACTTTCATTTGTTAGTGCACCAAAAAACTTTAATCCATTAATGATTTTAAACAATTAAAGGTACATTACGCCTTAGGTTTCTCCCCGGACAATCAGTGATATCCCATTATAATCCCAGAACAACCAACTGTCAGAATTGAACAATTGAGTTTGATTGCAGCAATCAAGGGAAACCCCTGTCATTTGACACAAGCGTCACCAAACTGGGCACATGCCTTGGGCCAGGCAGCCAATCAGATTCAAAGCCGGTTTTTATTTCAATGAAAAATAATTCGAGAGGTCAGCACAATCGCAAAGCATATAAAGAGGCGGATGGGGCTTCTTCATTGGTAAGCAAATAGGTGAATATGTGGTATGGCTCAACGTGCAATGAAGTCCAGGGGACCTTCATTGTGCTTTCCTATTGCAACATTCTCATTAGGTCAATATTTTTTGGTGTCAAATATGTTTCACTTCAGTAGTTTTACTGTACATTCATGCATTTTCTTTAGCATTGCTGTAATATTGACCGCTTTGAAACTATAGTAAATGCCATGGTATAACTTTACCTCGAATGCCATTTTTTCATTAAATTTTCATGGTCACGAAGAAATAAAATCTCTTCTGACCTTATTAATATCAATGATTAGTCATTTCACTGTACATAGAGAAGATAACCTATATTTCATATATATTTCAATACAGTGTATGGTTGGAATAATGTGGTTAGCCATGCAGAAGGACAGCGTCCAAAACTAAAGCATATCTGGGGGCGACATATGTAACTGACATAAACTAATATGTGGCTTTAACTGAAAATAATTTGATTTATTGGAACAAAGTTGTTCAATGATCCATTTAACGATCAAAAATTGATATTTATGTCAAATGGTTCATTTTTCAATAAAGGATGTAACAAAATTGAGTGCGGAATTTATTTTAACATTTAAGAGTGGAGTGTTCAACACATATGGTATATAACTGTGAGATAAGCATCTATATGTGCATTCATATATTGATGGCAAACTGACACAAGGAGAATTAACAATACTAGCAAGGCTACTCCACAGTGTATGCAAGTACAGAACACCAAGTACAAATTGTTTAAATTTAAAGTATGATTTCATCTTTTGTAATTAAAATAACAGACACAATCGAAATCAGGATGTAGAACAGTAACAATGGGGTATCATTTGGTATAAATCTCAATATCACTAAAATAGAGGATTGTTGTAGAAAGAATTATATGACATCGAATACTGCAGACTCATCTTCAGTTATGAAGCCTGACGCATCAAGAAAAAGGCATTCATCATTCAGTGGACACATTATTCATGGTAAGCTTATAGAATAATCAAAGCAAGCCACATAAGTTCAAGTTAAACATTATTCATGCATTGTTTTAATATATGTATGTTATTAAATGCTATCTGGCATCTTTCATCAGTTGAACAAAGCATCAATGATTTTACATTGAATGGTACCAATGATGTAAATGTATATATAATAAACATGCTGGAATTTAGATGTACTTCAGCTCTATTTTGTCATTCTACTTAATTTGAAATGTCCATCTTTTACTTGAAAAAAAAACAAATCAAAAAATCAATCCATGATCAATAAAATCAGGAAATCCAACAACCATTACTATCATGCACTTTTAAATGTTTGATACAATGTATTTTTCTAAATGAAATTTAATGTTTCTAAACAATTAGAATATCAAAATCTTAATTAATAAAATACTATACAATAGAATTATTGGGTTATATTTATCTCACCAGATTATTTAGTATATGTACTTTCATCATTTGGACAAATGAGTTAACACTTTTAAATATACAGGGTGGCTCAAAAATCATATTTCACTTTGACATGTACTTGTATATTGAAAAACTTTGAACCACCCTGTCTGTAACTCCACTATTTGTCCACTGTGCATTATAGTAATTCATGATCATGCATTTCAGGTCATCACCATCACCGTAGCAACCTAAAGGTTGTTGGAGGCTGGTTGCTAACCATTTGTATTATCCTAAGCGTTGCTATGATCTACTTTGAACAGCTCCATCAGACAAATCTCAATGTCTATGCCAATTTAAATAATTGTGAAGAATGCAATGTAACATTGTCTTCCTCAAACTGTACATATGCTGCTCAATCCCGTCACTTTGTTGTGCTAGCAGCTCCGAGGACTGGCTCAACTCTATTGGTTCAGTTGATAAACCAGCACCCAGATCTGAAAAGTTACCAAGAGCTGCTTCATATGGATATGCATTTAAGCCCCCGAGGGTTGGATAACAGTCCAAAATACAAAGTGTTCCATTATGTAAGAGATGTCATACACAAGTGGGGTTGCTATAAATTAACTGGTTTTAAACTGTATACTCAACACTTAGAAGATGCAAAAATTGATCTAAGGACAGTGTTGGAGCTTTTAGAGTGGCCAAAAGTAATTGTCTTACATCGGGAAAATATGTTCGAGGCCTATGCTTCCTTGAGGAAAGCTTTTCAGACTCATATTTGGAACACTGAGATCCCAGAAGTGGCCAAAAGGCTCCAGGCTGTCCGGGTAAACGTGACATGGACAGAATATAAAGAGTATTTTCAAAGGCAGCGTAGATTATGGTATGCAAGTCTCAAAGATTTAGAGGGATATCCTTTCTTAATAAACTTCACATACAACGATGTTGCACATTTCCATAAGGAAGTCATGAAAAAGATTGAGAAATTTTTAGGAGTTCCTCCTTCACCCGTTCCCTATGAGCCATTACTTATCAAAATCGGCACTGGTACATTGCATCAAAAGGTGCAAAACTTTCAGGAAATAGAAGAATGGTATTTGGAGGAATTTGAAGATGATGTAAAAATTAACTTAAATGATATGAAAGAAAAGTTGCAGAATCCTGAGGAAAGAGACAAAATAGCAGCATTTTTCTTTAGATTAGCAAGACCACAAGGTGCCCTAGAAGCCCCTGCACACGAGGTTGAACAAATATATCCAGAGCTGGAGTAGTTTGTCATAATTATGAACCTAATATATATATCTATGACACAATGGCTTTGATGTTAATAATAATAATGTACATATACACTCAATCGTCAACATCAAATCTAATTTTTTATGCATCTAATTTTTTCCCTTTTTTTCCTGCATTCATAGTCAGTCTCTTTTGGTCAATATTATAATCTGCTCCTAAAGCTTGGGTATGTTCCGCATGCTTCATATTATGAAGAAAATAATGGTTCAATTAGTGAAAAAATATAAACAGTGTTAAGGAAAAATCTTAGTTACTAACTATTATAATAATAATGATTCTTGGGAGCCAAAGAAGATTGTCAAAGGCAAGACTTATTGGATGACCTATACAACCCAATGAGCTATAAATATAAAAATTGAATGATTTGTAATCAGTGATAAGAGAGATTTAGTGCCCACTAGAACAATTCGCATGATCTACTGTAAATTTGTTTAAGTTGTTGGTATTTTATTCAGCAAATGTGCCATAAACTGAACATTTTCTTTAACATATTTTTTTAAATTGTATCAGCATACCATGATTTGACATACTATGTTAAACTGGTTTTCAGCAAATTTGAATTGATGATTTTATACAAAATTGGCTATTTACCAAATCAAAGTTGGTGCCAAATTAAAGCTGTTTACTGTATTGCCAGTTCCAAGGTAAACCAATACATGTGGCCCAATCAATTATCTGAACAATAACAGTTCTAGGCCATTCAGAACATGAATTCTCAATAACTATATTGTATGATAATTTTCTAATAAACAAGCTAATAATTAAAAACTGGAATTGATTTTTTGTTTAAAGAATAGTCCTTGAGAGATGTTATTGATGAGTTTGCAGATATTGCATTCAAAAGTAAAATGAAAATCATATATCTTTTATACCACAAAAAAATCGTACATCATCTTAAATTTTGTTGTTAGAAAAAATCATCTTTTATCTCATAATTCCAAAAGTTTTTTAGCTTTAAAATTTTCTTTTCAAATCAACAGATTATTCATTGCAACAAACAATAAAGAACAATGGAAAGAAACGTTTTCAAAGATTTTTTTCAGTTTCTATACTTATTTCAACAAAACAATTTCAAATAAAATGGACTGGGCTTGTCCCATTTTTAACCATTATGTAGTTGTTGTTTTTTATGTTAAAATAACAAATTGATTTAGTTTTGCAGTATTTCGATTTACTCTTGAGTTTACAATGAGTTGCTTGAAAGATTAAAAGAATAAAGATTTAAAGAATAAATCGAAATATTGCAAAACTAAATCAATTTGTTATTCAATCATAATGCTGATTGAAATAGAATTATGGGAAACATGTCATGTAACGAAGATCAAATATTAGATGAAAAAGTTCATTCACTCTTAGATTGACGAACAGATATAATCGACGAATACCAATGACTTGACAACTGTAATGTAACGACAACATATGTTGTAACAATGGCGTTAATGTCTAGTACTGGCACTGAATAAAAATCGGACAGATCAGACAATAATTCCCTTCCCTGCCAGCCCTAGTCAATGGAAAGCCAGTGAATGTGATACTACAGTGATGCCAGGTACTGATAACAAAATCATTGTTTCAGCCTCCAAGCTGCTGTATAGACAAAATAGATATCTACATGTATGTCAATTCAATGTTATCTTTTGCAATGCAATTCAGAATTACCCTTGAAACAACTCAACCTTATTGCACTCTACATCAAAACATGTTTCTTTGATCTTGCCCATATATATCCAGACACTAAAATAAAAATGGGTGATAAATATAAATGTCCAGGTTTAACGAACAGGGTGACCCCAAAAATGAACACTCCCAAAACAAACGCCAAACTCTGAACACCATCCAAGGTGGAGATGAAGACTATAACAATATGACACCAAAGATATTTCAGACTAAATGAGCAATGCAGAAAGAAATTTCCAAACAACCCATTTATAGAAGCGTATAATTCAAAGTATTCTGTTTTACAAAAGTAGGTTCACTTTTGGATTGTCCATTGCAAGATGAAGTAGGTTCACTTTTGGATTGTCCATTGCAAGATGAATAATAATGATCATAATGGAAAACCTTTCAAAAACCTTTCAAATTATATTGTCATTCATAGAGTATAGTTTTTCTACCTTGAAAATAAAGTTGATTGCATAGATATTCAACGAATGCTATAGATAATCAAGAATTTAAGCCCTGGACTCCTTGCATTGTGTACTGAATGATGCTTCTTAAGGTGCTGTTTTCAAATCTTTGCATGATTATGCAGCGGAAATTCAAAGTTTAGGAAACAATGCCTGAGTGGAATGAATCAGCCACAATGCATCGAATCTTGGGCTTAAATCCTTTTTCACACAATGTAAAATATTTTATACTATATCACTTAAAAGATATGAAATGATATATTTTCAAGGAAACTTTTTGCAAGGGCCAAGTTGTCATTTCTATATGTGAGTCATCATCATTGATTGTCTCCTTGACAACCATACACTTACCATTTTACCTGCAGAAGTGCATAGCTTGTTATTCCCTATGATGCTATTTATATATTTTTACTCTACTATGAAATTGATCAGTTCATCGGTTTCATTAGTTTCACTAGAATCTAAAAAAAGATAATTCACACATAGCTAGGCAAGGTGTCTCCGATTCCAGCCAATTCAAACACAGTATTTCATATAACTGCAGTGCAGTATATCACCAATCACCGCATCCAAGGTCACTCCTTATGTGGTTGTCAAGGTGCCAACTTGACCCTTGAAAACAATTCTAGGCATTGTTTCTAAAAACAAAACTCGGTGCTGCATATGTTGTGTAAATTTGGGAAAGCAACACCTTCAAGGAATGGTCATTCCTTATTGCAAGTCAGAGCTTAAATCCTTAAGTGACCTTGGATGGATTGTTGGTTATATAATGCAATTATGCAGTTATATAAAATACTGTGTTCTGGTTGGCTAGAATTGGACACACCTTACCAAGCTATGTGTAAATAAACCTTTAATTGGTTCTGTTTTTTGGGTCACCCTACAATGAACTTTTTCCCAAAGCTATTAACACCACTGACCTCAAAATGATTCAAATACAAAACTTCGAATAAAGCATGAAATATGTATCTTGGTATAAATTACATTTTGTTTTAAATGCTTTTAAAAGGTTGCAGTCATAAAATCTATTGTGCTTTTTAACTAAAAGGTCAAATCAAACATTATTGATTTGTGTCTGATCCTCATTAAATCTTCCACAAAAACTCAAACCTGAACATAAAATGATATCTACTATTTAGTATTTTCTTGTATTTTCAGTTTATTGCTTCTGCACACTTTAGACCCATAACACAGGTGAGGCTTAAGATGGGTCCATGTGCATGGCCAGACTTGTGGAAGGCGAGGCAATTACCCCGGAAACCTTTTTACAGAAAAATATTAATGCAGATGTTTTTTTTGATTTAAACCAGGAAAATGAAATCTAATGATTGTGTTGAAGTTGAATTCCCCTTGATTATTTAAAGCCATGTTTTTTAAATCCTGGCTACACCCCTGTGGATCAGACTGTTATTGTCCAAAACAATAACCACTACATTTGTGTGTAAGATATAGGAAAAAGAATGAGGTCTACTTCTGCCCAGCTTATGATCTACTTTCTGAACTAAACGCAAAGTTCATCCATGATTCACTCTGACATTTGATATTTACGGCATATTGTTTGTTTACTTTTTGTTAATTATCTAATGAAACCATGTGATGCAAAAAGGGCTTGATATAAACAAGGAGATAGACATCGTTGATATAAACATGCCCACATAAAACTTTTTATGAGTATTCTTTGAAAAAATAAGTCAGATGTTTGAGCAGTTATCTTTTTTTAGAAACATTTGTCATATGTACAAAATAATATATTAAAGGTCAACCGATCAGTTTTTGATAACAATGGTCTAGCTTAATTTATGATTTGCCCTGAGCTGATATTCCAAATCTCATACCCTGAGTTCAATGAATTGTGGGTGATTTAATGCATGGATGCTGTCTTTTATACAGACTTTGAATGAGTGTAATACCCCAAATTCAAAGGCAATGATACAACACACATTGAATCAACCACAATTCATCGAGTCATGTGCTAAATTTATTTTATTTTCACACATCGCAAAAGATATTGTCCAGTTTTACTAAAAAGAATGAGATTCAACTACATAGGTAATCAAGTATTCAAGCAATGAAGCTATGAGGGAGATAGAGAATGTCTCACTCTGTCATTCCATCAGGCCAATAACTCAAATTCTGATGGGCTGATTTGTTTATATTTACTATGCATATATGCCTTATGGGATAAACAGCATATTAGCCAATGTTCATTTATTGAATAAGTTCTGTACAAAAGTCCAAAGTTTCAAAAGGGCCACAATTGTCCTATCAATTTTGTCCCATAATGTTGTTGATACTCGCACACACCTTTAAAAAACATTGAAATAATTTATTTTAGGCTGTTAAGTACAGCGACATCTAATAATGTAAAGAAACATTTTTTACCAATACCATATTTCCTACTACTGTTAATTTTACCAGTTTAAGAAAATACAGGTATATAAAGTCATAATAATAATTAACAAGGCATTAACATGACAAAATGTCACCACCTAGTTGCTCACAATATTATGAGTTCAAACTTAAGTCAGATTTGAATTTCTGAGAACTTGTAAAGTCAAATTTGAACTTCTGAAAAGATGTAGATGATTTTGAAAAAAGAATTTGGTCAATTTGAAGCAAGTTGAAAACAGACCTTTTTGACCTTTTTTTACCTTGAGAAGGTCATTAAAGGTCAAAAGTCAAATCTAAAGTCAGATTTGAATTTCTGGGAACATGTAGATGATTTTGAAAAAAAAAATTAGTCAATTTGAAGCAAGTTGAAAAAAGACCTTTTTTGACCTTGAGAAGGTCATTGAAGGTCAAATGTCAAATCTAAAGTCATATTTGAATTTCTGAGAACATGTAGATGATTTTGAAAAAAAATTTAGTCAATTTGAAGCAAGATGAAAAAATACCTTTTTGACCTTTTTTGACATTGAGAAGGTCATTGAAGGTCAAAAGTCAAATCTAAAGTCATATTTGAATTTCTGAGAACATGTAGATGATTTTGAAAAAAAAATTTAGTCAATTTGAAGCAAGTTGAAAAAAGACCTTTTTGACCTTTTTTGACCTTGAGAAGGTCATTGAAGGTCAAATGTCAAATCTTAAGTCAGATTTGAATTTCTGAGAACACGTAGATGATTTTGAAATTTTTTTTTAGCCAATTTGAAGCAAGTTGAAAACAGACCTTTTTGACCTTTTTTGACCTTGAGAAGGTCATTGAAGGTCAAATGTCAAATCTAAAGTCAGATTTGAAGGTCAAATGTCAAATCTAAAGTCAGATTTGAATTTCTGAGAACATGTAGATGATTTTGAAAAAAAATTTAGTCAATGTGAAGCAAGTTGAAAAAAGACCTTTTTGACCTTGAGAAGGTCATTGAAGGTCAAATGTCAAATCTAAAGTCAGATTTGAATTTCTGAGAACATGTAGATGATTTAGAAAAAAATTAAAGTCAGTCTAAACAGTATTTGTTAAGTTATAGGAAGTTGTAAGAAATTGTTACAGACGCCGGACGCCAACCGCCGGACGCCAACCACCAACCGCCGGACGCCGTCGCAAAAAACGGAGACCATAACAATATGTCACCACTTTTGGTGGTGACATAAAAAAACGGAGACCATAACAATATGTCACCACTTTTGGTGGTGACATAAAAACGGAGACCATAACAATATGTCGGCAGGGCTGCCCCGTTTCTGCAATTTCATTCATATTATGCTGTGAAGTTATGTCTTTGAAAATAGTTCAAAATAAAAAAATAAAGGGTATAGAAATTGATAACATAGAATATAAAATTTCACAATCAGCAGATGACACATCATTATTTATCAAAGATAAAGCATCCATAAGTGAAGCATTAAAAACTATAAAACAATTCTCGAAATATTCGGGACTTCAACTAAATTTAAGTAAAACAGAAGGAATATGGCTTGGAACCAATCGTACTTTTGAAAAAAAATTTGAAAATATTAATTTTACAGATGAACCTGTAAGATATTTAGGCATATATATAGGTCACAATGAAGATAAATGTTATGATTTAAATTGGAATGAGAAAATAAATGACCTTGAAAAAATTCTTGATTCTTGGAAAAAAAGACACCTTACCTTATTTGGAAAAATCACTGTTATAAAATCTTTAGCTATATCAAAACTTATCTACTCAGCATCAATTTTATCTTATAAAGAAGAAATTATAAAGCGAATAAACAACTTGATATTCAACTTTTTATGGAATGGCAAGAAAGACAAGATTAGGCGAACTATTATGATAAACAATATAGACAATGGGGGTCTAAATATGCTGGATTTAGAATCACAGCTAAATGCTCTTAAAGCTGTATGGATTACCCGTATATACGACAAAAACAATATGTTTAACAAAATTCCATACTTTTATTTTGACAAACTTGCTCCAAGTTTGGATATTTTGTTAAAAATGAATGTATTTTCTAAAGACAAGCTTGAGGGATTACCTATTTTCTACAAACAAGTTTTGAAAGCATTCAATAGCTGTAAAGATCTTGATGAAATAAAAAATCTGAAACACCATGAAATAGTCCAGCAAACCATATGGAATAACAGATTATTTCAATTAAAAGGCAAACCACTTTTCTTTAAATCTTGGATAGATAGTGGTATTATTTATGTCAAAGATCTTATCATTCGAAATGATTTTTTAAATGTAAACTATATTCTAGAAAAATTGAGGAATAAAATAAATTGGATTTCAGAATATTTTCAAGTCTCAATTGCAATGAAATCAATAAAAAAAATCATTAACATAGAACAAGCAAACTTCACAAATATATCAAGAAAACTCAATTTCAAAGTAAAAAATGTTCAATTAGATTTTAGAGGCCAAAAATCCAATTTCTTTTATAACATATTGAAGAATAAAAAATCTGAAAAATGGTTTGTCTCAAAAAAATGGGAAAAAGATTTCTGTATAACAAATCAATGTAAAATAGATGAAATAAATTGGCAGAATTTTTTTGTTAGCAAGATCATCAAGATTAAAGACAAAAAAGTTGCCAATTTTAATTTCAAACTAATTAATAACATACTTCCTGGGTTAACTGACTTATTTATCTATGGTATAACAAATTATTATCATTGTAGTATTTGCAATCACTTATGTGATTTGAAACATATTCTTTTTGAATGTTGTTTGTCAAAGAATATATGGAAATTTATATACAACACATGTGGTCTCAATATTTCGTATAGAAAAATAATAATTGGTTATAATGGCCAAGACTCTCAAACTAATTTTCTGAATTATTTTACAAGTATAGTTGCTTACAGCATTTACAAATCCTACATTTTAGAACTGAATAGTAAAGAACAAAGAACATTTGAAAAGATACTTTTTATGTTAAAATATGAAATTAATTGTAGAAAAAATTTGTATTATTGTTCCAAATGGAATTTATTATCCAAACTACTGCAATGAGATTATGTAAACCTGTTTTTATAAATCATGTACTGTCTATATATTTAGTAAATGAATGAAATAAAGACTATTTTAAAAGAAAAAAAAAAAAAAAAAAAAAAAAAAAAACCATAACAATATGTCACCACTTTTGGTGGTGACATAAAAAACGGAGACCATAACAATATGTCACCACTTTTGGTGGTGACATAAAAATGATATAATCTTTCTTTTTTTTTATTTGACATTTAAAATTAATTACAAATTATTACAGGTAACACCAGTCCATGCATGTGAAACCTCATAAGAATGTAAATGATATGATCAATATCATATCCTCCACATATTGGATTTCTGGAGTATATTGTAGTATTATCCTTCACTTAGTGTACTAAATGTGTAATAACATTAAAAAAAAAATATCGTAACGATATACTCCGGGTGGAGGATATCGTGACGATATACTCCGCTTGTTGATTTCCTGCCAAATTGACTCTATTTGGCATGGAATTCATTTTGCAATGATATTATTATACATTTAGTACACTCCTTGTAAGTGTAGGATAATAAGAACATCCTATGATTTTTTTCAGAATATCATTTTAATCTACTCGGTGATATTGATATATGCACTCGTTCGCTTCGCTCTCTCGTGCAGATATCAATATCACCTCGTAGATAAAAATGATATTCCTCAAAATCATAGGATATCCTATAAATATCCTCCAGTAATTCATTTTTCCAATAGATATCAAATTTATTTTTAATGTTATCATATGTTTAGTACACTAAGTGTAGGATAATGGTACATGTCTAGTAAACATAATTACACAATGCATGCATAATATGCTTATCATATATTTGTAAACTTGATCACATGACAGCTCTTGATCAATCAACTGAGTAATATTGCATTGAAACAAACTACAAATAATAATATATAACTGGTATATAATGTATATACATGCCCACCATAATTAAATACATTGTAAAGTGTTACATTTTTGGTTTGCTATATACTTTGAGCTCATCAGTGCTGGCCTAATACTACCATTTTCTCCAATTGTGAGAATAAAAACTGAAACAAGGTCTTCATGCGGGAAACATTGACCACATTTACCAATACAAATTAGTATGAAATATGATAATTACTTTGTACATTTCTATAATATCATGTTATACCCAGAATATTTTTTAAACTGGATGCAAAATTCTCATTTTCTGTTAACTGTATTCTGATCAAATTCTGCTCAAATTCTCATCATCATAGGAAAATATAAGGACTATGTACAGGGGTGTAACCAGGCCTCAGGATCTCAAATTGGTGAGGCAAATTTAATTAGGTGAGGCAAAAATTGATTTAAAGCCAATACAATAGTGTCCTGACACTGCATGTACATTGTGTTAATTGGAAAATACATTCATTATATTTTTTCGAAAAATTTTGCCTTGCCTGACTCATCCCTGGTTTACTATACCTAGTGGTACTACCTATTGTAACAGACACAAATTACATAAAGTACATGGTAAATTTGGCACATCATTTGAACAATTGTAGTTTAATATCATTACTTTGGTTCAACAGATCTTCAGTTCTATTTTGATTATACTCAATGTATAATGTCAAGAAATAATACTGTTGGTATAATTGTAAAAATAATAATAAAAAGCATACCTGCACATCTTTCACAAAAAATATTGCTCCTGATGTCTGGAGTAACACAGGTTTTCCCCAAATATTTTTTACATTCACTGTTATTTTTCTCATTCTGCAGAATCATATAATGTACAACATGCCATCATATGATTTGGTCAGGTACACAATAATCAAGGGCCTCATTGCTGAGGAGACTTGAATATTTTAAAAACATGGAGAGTATGACATATTCATTCTTACTAATTACCAGAAAACATCAGCGGGAATTATCACACAAGGTTTTATATCATGTGACATGTGTTAACCAATCACAGGATGAGAAACACAAAAGTGGGAAATAAAATGTTATATTTCACACAGTGTAAAATAGTTACACTATATTTCTTCAAGAGAATTTATGAATTAAATGCTGAATATCATGATACTAATCCATACAATACATCCCAAGTTTTCAGGTAATACCATATTGACCTTAGAATAAACCCCATATTTAATCCCTGATCACACATAAAAGAACACAGGAACACAGGTTCCTGGGTCTGCCTTCCATGTTTACATTCATTGGTGATAAACAAGATACAATACAATACATATTGGGTTGATTGTTCATCTATAGGTTGGTTCAGAAACATACATACCCTGGAAAAAAACTTTCAAATGTGTGATCCAGCCTCTCTATATTGGCTTGATTGTTCATTGATAGGGTGATCTAGAAGCATGCAGCCCCTAAAACTCATTATCTATATGTCCTAGATGTTGGTCTCATTTTCTGAATCGATTTTCTTCAATGATCGAAGTAAATCTTGATAATATATTCAATAAATAATCAAATTCAAATTGATTGATTCTTCTGATCCAGGATCAAACCATGCAAAAGATCTGATCTTACATAATGTTATTTATGCTCTGTATAACTCATCAATGATTGATTCCTTTGTTTGTACATGAGCTAGGGTTTAACTTTGCATTGTAAACAAGACCCTTTAATGTCTCAATCTGTCATGGTCACACAGGCATTTGTGGACTCCTGTCATTATCCAAATCCCGCACCTGGAAAATAGTGAAGAAATAAATATCAAATGAAAATCATGCAAACACTTTTGAAGAGAAAAGTGGATTTAAACGATCTTGATCTTCACCCTGGAATAGCCTGACAACGGTAAAGTCAGATACCGTTGTCACAAATGGCAGACATAACCATCGCTTCAATTAGATTTTCATAAACTGTATGTTTAATAGAGCACCTAGACTAAATTCCTTTGGAACAACAATCAATCAAAGTGTTTAAAAACTCATTTTTCAGTTAATAATGTACCATCGAAATAAAGTCTTTAATTTAACCGATCAAAATGAGATACGGGACAGCGGACACTGTAATTACCATATGCCGTTGTCTTTCTAAATTACTCAAATTCAGACTCTGTGTCATTGACAATATCAAAGACGCTATATTGTGGCGATTCACGACTCAATTTGATCGAAAATGGGATATGAAACATTATCACAAGAGCTTAATGCAGGCACAGAATTAGCGACGATAAAATCCCATGAAATGAGTACCAAGTGATTAAACAGTTGAAGCGACTGTTATGTCTGCCATTTGTGACAACAGTATCTGACTTTACTGTAGTCAGGCTATTCCGGTGTGATCTTGAGCTGACTGTAAAATAACTCACATCAAGTATCCAGATTGCCCGCTTGTGCCTCCAGTCTACATAACTTTTATATAATAATACTTGATTATTCTTACATATTGCATGTCCTTATCTTATACAAAGTCCCTTAAAATGTTGATATTTTAACAGTTCTTGTACTAGTTTTATTTACTTATTAACTTATAACCAGCAATATCTCTTACCTTAGGACATACACATGGTAGACAACAGCTGAGGAACTTCCGTAATAGTTGGAGTTCCCCGAAGAAAACGGTCTCGTAATATTCCATGAATGCGAGGAATATGATAAAGAGGCCAAATGAGATGAGGACAGTGAGCGTGACATGGACTGGAAACATTGCACTTCCCGGCTGAAAGTAAACAGAATATCAAAATTGAACACCAACCACCACCACAAAAAAATTGGAGACCATAACAATGTGTCGCCACTTCTGGTGGTGACATAAACATCATAACATTTGACCATTAGTAATTTAAAAAAAAATGTATTTTTTGAGGAATGACTTTTGGTGCGCAGTAATGCTGAGACTGCACTAAACTAAATAGCTGTACATTTATATGTTACATACACATACATTGAATGTGTGATTGGTACTGGGTATGACCCTGCCCCCTAGCCCCCACCCTCCCATATTCACCAGTACATACATTGTACAAAGCATACATTGAATATGCGTGGTACTTACTGGGTATGACTCTGCCCCCCTTCCCTCCCCCATATCCACCAGTACATACACTGTACAAAGCATACATTGAATATGTGTGGTACTTACTGGGTATGACCCTGCCCCCTACCCCCCATATCCACCAGTTCACACACTGTACAAAACATACATTGAATATGTGTGGTACTTACTGGGTATGACCCTGCCCCCTACCCCCCATATCCACCAGTTCACACACTGTACAAAACATACATTGAATATGTGTGGTACTTACTGGGTATGACCCTGCCCCCTACCCCCCATATCCACCAGTTCACACACTGTACACAACATACATTGAATATGTGTGGTACTTACTGGGTATGACCCTGCCCCCTACCCCCCATATCCACCAGTTCACACACTGTACAAAACATACATTGAATATGTGTGGTACTTACTGGGTATGACCCTGCCCCCTACCCCCCATATCCACCAGTTCACACACTGTACAAAACATACATTGAATATGTGTGGTACTTACTGGGTATGACCCTGCCCCCTACCCCCCATATCCACCAGTTCACACACTGTACAAAACATACATTGAATATGTGTGGTACTTACTGGGTATGACCCTGCCCCCTACCCCCCATATCCACCAGTTCACACACTGTACAAAGCATACATTGAATATGTGTGTACATACTGGGTATGACCCTGCCCCCTACCCCCCATATCCACCAGTTCACACACTGTACAAAACATACATTGAATATGTGTGGTACTTACTGGGTATGACCCTGCCCCCTACCCCCCATATCCACCAGTTCACACACTGTACAAAGCATACATTGAATATGTGTGTACATACTGGGTATGACCCTGCCCCCTACCCCCCATATCCACCAGTTCACACACTGTACAAACCATACATTTAATATGTGTGTACATACTGGGTATGACCCTTCCCCCTACCCCCCATATCCACCAGTTCACACACTGTACAAAGCATACATATATATGTGTGGTACTTACTGGGTATGCCCCCCCTGCCCTCCCCCATAAGCACCAGTACATACACCGTACAAAACATACATTGAATATGTATGGTACTTACTGGGTATGACTCTGGTAGGTTCCACTTCATGGCGTAGCCTTTGATAAAAAGAATAACTGCAGCTATGAACACAATCATGCTCAGTATCGTGAGTAGGAAAAATCTGTATACCTGAAGACAAATGATTATTTTAGATTTAATACAATCAGTTTTACTAAAACAGTTCATATGTGTGTCTTAAGGTATTTATCATAGAATTATGCACCTCATTGAAATCCTGTATTCTGAAAGCTTAAATGCATGTTACTGTACAATGACTTTTAAATTTTCAGATATTTGAGGAATTTTTTGTCTTCTATTCTAAGCATACCCCTAGGTGTCAGAGAAAAGGATGTCTAAAATCTAGAAAAGCACCTGATAAAATATCATATGTGATGCATATGGCAGAATACTTGAAATATCATGTGCGATTACCAAACACAAAAACATCATGAACGTGAGATGCAGTGCATGATGAAGAAGTGGGTTCATTTACTGTCCCATAAGTACTGTCATTTTCTATATATCTACTGTACATAATGTGCCACTGCATTAAGAAGACCAACAGAAGTGCCACCAGATCTTAATGATCTCATTTCAAACATGATTTATGTAGCATCCACCTGACCACTCATCCACTTACACAAACCATCGGTACAACACAATGACAAAATACACTTTTCAAAGTGTGATAAAAAATGGGTCTAGAAAAAGGTAGAGAAGAACTTACTGTAGACTGTCTTTTACTGATGGAAGACCTCACTGCTGTGCTTCCTGTGATGATTAACTTGAATAAACAAACACCAGAGTAAAATACATGTATAAAAATTGGAGCAAAATTGGAACATTTTACAGTATTTTGAATAAACTTTTTTTATCAAGAAACATGTACAAGGATTATGGGAATGTAAAGTCATAGATTGGATGTGGAAGGGACACATTAATAATTATGAATAACACTGTACATGTAGCCACTTAAACATTGCATTTGACTTGATTCATTTAACACTTTAAACCAAATAATGTTCATCCTCCTTGCATACATTATGAAACATGGCACTGGTATATGGAAACTTTTAATGCAATCTATTATACACTCACGATTGCACCTGTCCATAGACCAACTCCAAACAAATTAGCATGCCCTAAGTTCCAGGTATATAGACTTCCACTTGTATCATCAAATAGTGGAATGACAAACACCTCGGCAACACCTGGAATATAGAAAAAATTATGGCAATCAACTCCCTCTCTCCCTTCTGCAAATTCCCCCTTGAATATAGGATAAATCTCCCCCTTGAATATTGGATAAATCTTACTGAATTCCCTAGGAAGAGTAAGACAAATCAAATGTCAATAGGAATAGAATAAACATTTCTTACTGTAAGAGGCTGAGAATTTAGATTATCTATCCTGAAATCTGTTTTATGAAATCTTGAATCGGTTCAATGACATGGTACACTGAAACCCAGAGGATAGTTTAACTCTCCCTTACCCTTTTCAGATAAAACCTTCCCTCATAGATACATAGTCAAACTTTTGCAAAGGGATGTCAAAGGAAAGTTCATAGATACATAGTCAAACTTTTGCAAAGGGATGTCAAAGGAAAGTTCATAGATACATAGTCAAACTTTTGCAAAGGGATGTCAAAGGAAAGTTCATAGATACATAGTCAAACTTTTGCAAAGGGATGTCAAAGGAAAGTTTGATGCATTTAGTCATCTTACTGGTGATTATTTTGTTTCTTGGATTGTCAGACTTGTGGTTGGACCTCATTGTTACATATAATATGTGACCCTACAATTAATCATCATTTCTAAATAGAAAACTGTTAATCAAACTAACCTGCTAAAACAAGTAAGAATCCAGTTACAATTTGAACTATTCCTATATTGAGTGGCCATTTCTCCAGATCAGAAGCCCTTGGCCTGATGTACTGTGGTGGATTATGGAATGATGCCCCAGCATTGGGGAATGTGGTTAGTGTCCCTCTGACATTAGACGGGGTATCATCAATGCTAATTTCAACTTCATCGACCTCCTCCAGGATAGGGTTGGTGTCGACAGTTGCCATCTTGAATCAGTACACCTGGATCAATTTAGAAAAACATTCATCAATATCATCATGTAATATGGTCTGAATAAGGTTATACTTAAAGTTGTACTAAAACCAATTGAAGAAATTCTTATTATGTTGTTTTGAGCACAAATAGCATCCCTTTTGTTATTTTGGTGACAAAGCTTGAATATTTCCCCACACAACATGATTTATCAAGATAAGACTGTCAACCTCTGAAATGTTGTTATTTTTGCGCACTTTTTGAGGTTACCTGACCATGTCGTAGCGTGTGCCAAGTTATTCTGGCGCTAAATCGAAAAGTTGTTGTTGCAAACTACTATGAAGGCTGAACCTAAGTAGAAATATACATTAGTTCCACATTCACATGCATTCCAATAAAATATTTTAAATTGATTGAACTTCACAAAAAGAAATTCTTGAGGAAAGAGGACTGCAATATTATTCATTACATACACAAAGAATTGATTGAAATGATTTTCCGAAACCGTGTACCGATAACTGAAAATGTTAATCCAATAATTTTATTTTGGCCTCACAGCATTACATTCAGGTTCAAAAGTTTTAATCCCCAAACACTGGCAATGTTGCTGTTATACAGGGTGTCAAATAAGTCCTGTCCCCCCTGCTACAGCTAAGACCGTAATATTTGGTACCTAGTGTGATATACCATTGGAAAGATCGTCCAAAGTTATGTTAACTCACCAACTCTCAAGTATTTTGGATAAAATTCACCTATATTTTGATGATGTTCTTTATAGATAGTGTAGCCTGCTTAAACAGCTTTTATTACGTCAAAATGAGAAGGATATGACCTCAGAAATATGTCAAAAAGTTAACCTTTTTCGCATTCCACTTTCACCCTTGGTATACGCAGCTAACGAAAATTGACCGGTACGGGTCAAAAGCTGGACCGGTACGGGTTAACGGTTTTATTTGAATTTAAAACAGCCATAACTTGCTCAATATTGACTTCCTCGTGTCTAATTTGAAATATATGATGCCTTCCGATGCCTCTAAGTACCCCAATTTTTTACAGATTTTTAAACGGACCAAAACTCTCTAAATGCGCATTTATGCTCTTGTCTCATTTTCACGATAACTTTTATTTAGTACTTCTAACATATAAGATCTATTTTTCCCCATCAAGGTATGATGTAAATGACATGCTATTTACATCTTCTCGCAGCAAGCAGGATGAAATTCTTTGTCACAAAGTTTGGCATTTTTTATAAAATCAAACCCGCATCATTGAAACTCACAAGATGTACCTCAATTGATACAATGTAAAAATTTGTGAGATTGATTGACATGTGTCAGATATATGCCAATCAACGTAACTTTGGAAGAGCTTTCCAATGATATATCACACTTGGTACCACATATCTTGGGTTGGGCTGTTGAGGGGGGAGGGGACTTATTTGACACCCTGTATAACGTACATTCTTTCAATAGCGTTTCAGCTCGATTGATTCCGCACTCAATTGCAAGTGATATTATACCCTTTGCAAAATTGATGAGTTTAGCCTCTATCATGCAATAATTGGCTCAACATAAGAGCAAATAACTCGTTTTCGAAAGCCAGGGTTTCATTTTTATCTACAAAATCATATTTCGCAGCAAATTGTTTCAACCATACACGTCATGTCATATGACATAAAATTTCTGCTCTGAAAATGAAATCAGTTTTGCTGTGAAAACAGACACGAGCTGACTTTTTATCCCCGCTATCATGCTATAAAGAACTTTTGAAATTGTTGATGGTTCACCATCGTAAAGTATGGCAACAATACGGTAAGATAGCATGAATATATCTCAAGTAAAATGATAAATCGAGTAAAACGGTTTGAGTACAACTTTAAGAATGAGAATGGAGACTGTCTACCACTGTTCTAACTCTGTCTATGATAATTACTGTAAAACACTTTAAATTATCGGGAGCAATTTTCGCAGATTTATAGATTTGATTCTTTTCGCGTATTCATGTTTTCGCGATTTGCCACCATGATACGCGAATAATAAAGCCATTCTGTGTTGTAAAATGAATGTTAACGAAGGTTATTGTTAAATTACATTGAATTGTGATAAGAAATAAAACCTGCTTCGGAAAATATTGAGTGCAAGATATGATTGTTTGGGATTATTATTCTAGTTGGTCGTATCTCAGGGTATTATCCTGTTAATTAACTTGTCACGATTGCCACCTGTTGTTTTTCGATTGAAATAAGTTCATTTTTGAATTATCTATGTCAATTTACACGCAGGCATAGGCTTTCAACTCGAGTCTCTAGCCAATTCCATCTGGAACACCGTGAACACTCAGTGGCCATAGAATATGGTAAACGCAGGTGATCAATGTCCCATGAAATAGGAATACTATTTGTGGTGAACAGTGATTGGAACCTACCTTTCAACCAGCCATCTATATTTCTTTGAAAATGCAATCCAAACACAAATTAGGCCAGACAGGACTTATTTAGCTACCAAAATTTTCAAGAGGGGAGGGGGAATAGGAAGAATTCAAAATTTTCTCAAGGGATTTGGATTCTACAAAATAAGACGTATATGTGGCCCTTCAATGAACATATTTACCTGTATACAGAATTCAACTTCAATGTGTAAGTTCGTTCTCAACGGTGCATTGCGTTAACTTTCATAATATCTGCAATTTTTAAAAAATTGACATTTTTTTCTGGTTTTTCACCCGTCCACCATTTTGAGGGATGCCCCAGTGACGTCATTTTTGTATGTTTCGGAATTCCCCGCTTTGGTCAGCGTGCGAATCGTTGAATTTGATTTTTCGGGAATTTACAATGAAAGTTAGTCCCGATACAACTTTAAAAGTAACGCATTAGTGTTAGTTTTGTGTATTAAAGATTGGGAAACTTTTGAAATTGCCGCCAAGAAAGGTATTGTATATTTGTCACCATGCAACTCATTGACTTTATTTACCTGGCTGTTTATTTTAGAATTGTTACTCCCTATCATTACATTTTTAATTAAATTTGATTGATAAATATTTAAATATTGTCTTTGCAAATTTAAGGCATATCAATTTCTATCATTCAAAGATAAAAGGGCATATTATAAATTATACGTCGACAAAGTTTTGTTTATTGTGCATTACAATTTGAATTCAGTAAGGAGGGCCACGTTTGAGTAATGGAAGAGCAAATCTGAACTTCCTCCAAATGAAAAATTGTTAAAAATGTGATGTTTTAGATCTCTAATTTCTAACATGATTTGTGACGTTCATGTACGATGAAATTACTAGAGATTATGGCAGGGGAGATGTGATATATTTAGGATCTCAAAGTAATAATTGTCGTGTTTGAGCAGGTAAGAATTCTTCAACTGAAGTTCTATTCACTTTACAAAAATTTTTACTGTACATTTCCAATTTTCTAGCTGTCTCTTCTGGATGTATTAAAGTGATAAGTTATGGTCTCAGGCAAGGATCAAAATGTCATGATAATAATTAAGAAATTATTGGAAAAATAATACACATTAATATCATGATTTATAATCAATACCTCGATCTTGCTATTCTGGCTAGATGACATTGCAAAAAGAGCCAAAAGAGCATTGCGTGCAAATTTCCTAGAATCGGATGCGTTACGTAGTATTTTTGCTAATGGACTAATCAAATTGCGAGGCACATGCATAATAGCCAAAGAAGAAATGGAAATGAATTTTACCTTCAGAACCCACTGTTAATCAGCAGCATACAAAGATGATTATAAATGTTTATTGAATTTCATCCTTGCAGACTGGTCAGTGATTTACAATAGTTTGGGAAAAAGTTATTTGCGATTTGCGAGCTAGAAGATCAGTATAAGTTAACCTGACGAGCTTCAAAAAAGCTCTTCAGTAGCTGAAATGTTAACACCAAGTGAATACTTTAAGTTGGTTAGATCCAAAACAAACACAACTCATCGAGATACATTTCAATTCACATGCATATGGCAATATTGCGTTTGTCAGATTCATTATTGAAGTATTATTGAGTATGTTTGTGTATCTCCAGGTTGCAGAAAGATGCCTGGTCACCAAGCTGATAATCCTCGAGGTTACATTCGCTCCCAGACTCTTCCAATACCATCTGACAAAGGAATAAAAATCCAAGCAAGGACTTCTCATTTTTACAACCCAACTCTTCCAAAGAGGGAGGAGATACGTAAGAAAAATTATGACAGGCGTTATGCCCAAAGGACAGAGCAAGGGTTCAATTCTGCAAACTACAAGCCCTACCAGGGTATAGGGGATCCGTTCTTTCTTAGTGAACGCAAGCTCATCTTAAGTGCCTTAGGACAATGGTCTGATGAGGTAAGTTATTAATCATATGACCCATTCTGATTGTCTCCTGAAGGAGATACTTCCAATGCTTGTAAAACTACCCTTTTAAAATGGTTATTTAGAAGTTCTATGGATTCTGAATGAATCTTGTTTGGGAGGGGTTTAAAAGGCCATTTTAGAACTTTGAGTGCAATTAGTGAAACTGTTCAGTGAATTTACCTGGATTTTCAAGACTCAAGGCTAAATAAATGTAATGATGACTAGCAACAAGTTTAGAATAGGAATACATACATGTATGTTCACATCTTGTACAAGTTGATTATAATATGGTTTATGTAATCATGGACACTGAGGCCTAAAATATACACTGTACTTTCATATCTTGTTTTGTGTTTTATTAATGTTGACCTTCGTGCTTTCCCATTGTATTTTATTTTGTGAGACTTTTTAATTAGTGGCGGAAATTACAATTCTACTTGTTGGTTGCCAAGTAGCTATTTGTCTGAATGTCATATTTTATGTCTCTCGCTTGAAAACTGAAGTTCACATTTGTTTGATGTAAAAGCTCTGTATTGATTTGCTGTTAATGCCAGATTTATCCATTTCTAACACGCCAACAAATATTGAAAACCATATGTGGAGTAAACAGGGTAATTTAGTAAGATTAAATGCACTTCGGTCTATTAATCAATATATTTTTCTTTGAAAGGTTTAAATAGTGCAAGATATTTTTAGATATTTTGATTTAATAAACGTGAAGAATGGCACGTAACTTACTTCTATTGTTGAAAAAGAACTATATTTTTTTTATGATTTTTTGTTCATATCAAAAGAAAATATCTTTATATAAATATCCTCTTGGCTTATTTATAGAGAATTTTTAAGAGCCTTTGTTGATCTCAAAGGAACATATTTTTATTTTTATTTATTGCCTGTATCCCTGATGTCATTTTGTATTTGATTATCCCCCACGTTGGCTAACAATTCGATATACAAAAAGAAAATTTTCTTATGTTCTTATATGAAGGTTAAGGTTTGTCTTTTTTCTGAAAAAACACCCTGATAGCTCTTGGTGTTTAATGATTATCTCATTTTATTAGATCTTAAATCTTAAAGGTCAATGAGAGTTTTTAGTTCTGAAGTAAGCTATTGATCAATTCATTGTATGTTAAGTATGCTACCAGCTTAAAGGGAGTAAAAGGGATAAAGATGAGTTGAGAGTTTCAATTATCACATTTTATCACAATAATGTTTGCTTCATCGATCCAGGTCAAGTCTATTTTATAAAAAATCTAACAATTCTGACTTTTACTTTGAATAATCCTTTAATTGTCAATTAGAATTATGAGGGAAACATCGGGATGAATTTTTTTTTTAAATATCGCTTTCAACATTTTAGACTCCGTCTCTATCTCTTATAATTCCTTTAACAAGTACAATTGCTGCATGGCAGTATTAAGCTTGTTATCATTAACTGCTCTGAATGGCTCTTAGAGAAAATAATTATAAATTATTAATGAAAGGACTATAAATCAAATACTGAATTATTGATATTATATGTGTATATGGGTATAATCCAGCCAACCAGCGGTGATGGATATATACAATCTAAGAATTTATGTGAACTCGATTATTTATGTAGATGGATTCTTGGTGAATTTGTAAAATTTTTGGATTGCAAGTTACATTGTAAATCAAACAATTTATCTATCTCTTTTCTTGTTGGGTTTCCTTAAAGTTTTTAGTCACCCTTCCCTTTTGGCATTTGTGCTTATATATTCTTGAAAGGGACTCGTTATTGAATAAAATGTATCCTAGGATTGTATACTACTACTAGTATATTCATCATTAAAGAAACCATTCGCTTCAAGTGTCCTCATAGTTTCAGATGTAAGTTTGTTACTACCTTGAAACTCCTCCATGCTTTTTTTTACTATTATTTTTATATTTTTCTCTGTTATACTTTTTCTTAATTAATATAGAGAGCATTAGCTAAAAATAGTACATGTTTAGTGCTTGGCTGCAGTAGCTGAAGTGATTAGATGATCTAGACATAATTAAAAGTTCATGACCTTTGCATGAACTGCAGAACCAGATGGCAACCTCTATAATTTAAATCTATTTCAAATGAAATTAAATATAAAGATTAATCCCACAATGCACCATTAATGAATCCTTTTGGGATATTTATCTGTGCTCATTTTTGTTTTGGATCATAGAGATTCATAGCCACAGGTAATTCTTTGTATATTATATAGATTGGATCACTGTCATTTCCTCTAAAATTCTCATAAAAGATAGTAAAAGCTAAAACACAAGTACTCGATATATTCTCAATAAGGCAAGCCAAACATTTCATCAAGTGAAACAGATATACATTATACATTTGTTTATAACAGATTAAATATATGTTTATAGGAAGATGAGGAGTATAGTACTAGTTCAGAAGATGACAATACAAATGAGGAAGACCCACTTGCCAGTGACAATAATCCAAATCTGGTAAGTAAGATACAGTAAAACTTATATTTCAGAACACCTCTCTAATAGAAACATCTCTCAATATGAACACATTTTCTTGATCCCAAGTTTGTTATCTCCAATTTACTCAACATTTAAAAAACCTTAAAATGTGAACACCTGCTAATCCAAACTCTTTTGGGCAGTCCCAGTTGCGTTCTGGTAGGTTTATAAACCTACTCAGTGCTAAGAGAAAAGAAACAGGACCCAGTTGGTACCTCTTTAACTGGACAATGATGATGTGTTGCAGATTTTATCTCTAGAAACCTCGTTTTCATCTGACTGTATTTCCAAATTGCAACCCAGTGTTGGAGATGCAACAATATATTTTTAAATGATTGTCAAGATCAAGAAAAGTCAGAGAAAACCGTAATCGGGAAATTTCAGAATTTCCTCAAAATGGTTAAAATAGTCGGGAAATTTTAGAAATTCCAAAAACTACTATAAGGTTATTACAATATTATTGACCTTCATTGCCAATACTTTAATAGAAATACAGCTCTTTAATATGAATACAACCATGAAACACAATAGCTCTGATCTACTGGTCAAATATCAATATTTTCTATTTGCAGACCTGGAGAACACATTGGATGTGAATTCATTATTATTCATCTGCATTTACCTCTTAATCTATAACGAGTTCTTTAGTTTGAAAAGACGGAACAAGTTTGTCAATAAGAAACCTCTGTTGCTAGCTTTTAGCTCATAATGGTGCCTTAGTTTCTAATGAATGATATAAATATATCTATTAATAATGTTGAAATGTCTATAATTGATTTTGGTTCGTAGCACTCATATTTTACTTGAAAATATTAACGAAATTAGAGACTTGTGAAATGATGATGTTTTCCTTAAATAAGAGATATTAATGTATAAATTTTTGTGAAGATCAAGCAATGTCCATATTCCATCAACATTTAGTATGTGAAACCTGTTAAGTGAAACACTTCTAGAAGCGGAACACCTCTGTTACTAGAACAACACTGAACCTGTATAAATGGAACATTTTTTAGAAGTACCAAATATGTTCCACTTAGACAGGTTTTACTGTATATACTGTCTTTGAAAAGTTAATGTTCTATTCCAAAATGACATAAGCATCATGAGCGTCATTTAGGCCTGATGGGCCCAGTTTAGATCCAGATCCTTCTTAATACTGGTAAAGGTTGAGGATTCTGCAGAAAAGTAAATTATCTGTACATGTATCTGGTTTTGTGCAGACATTTTGCGGTTTCTTACTTATGTGGTCATATAGCCAGTTGTACACATTGGTATTTTGGATTCTAGCAAATCCCCTAATGGTATCATCTTGAAATCCAATTTTTCAAACAATTCATGTTTAAACCAGTGGTTCATGAACCCAAATAAATAGTTTACTCAAATCTTATTTAGGACTGCGGGTGGGCTTAGGTAAGACTGGGACAAGTATAGGAACTCTTTGTACTGCCCACCAGTGTGTAAGACTGTGTTTAAAATTATTTGAACCAGACCTACCTTTAAACATGGAATTAGACTTTATTGATTAGATAAAATGTTCCGATCTCACAAGCAGTTCAATAGAACCATATGGGGTATTCATTGAGTGATTTCAATAGAGTTTTACCCTTATATTGTGAGACTGCTCAGCTATGATATGCTCTGATATAAAGTCTTGAATTATTTTATTTTAGGCTTGTTCAAGATTGAATCATTGTGTTTAATAAACCAATCTATTTCAAAAATAGCCATTGGGTTGTTCAAAAAGTTTTGAATGAAAGCCTCTCAAAAGATATTTTTAGTTGTTTTCTTTTTCAAAAGTGATATTGATCACTGTGTCATCCTCTTTGTCACCATATCAACCATTAAGTGTTAATTAAGAAAAGAGTATACATGTACATGAAACCAATAGCAGTAGAAGTGAATTAGGTGGGGGCAACTACCCGACAACAAGAACAAGATTGGTTCATTATTTTAATAGCTAGAAATATTTCTGTCAAACATTTTGAATGACCCTGATATTAAATGTCCTTTGGGAAAAATAAGAAAGCAAATGCAAAAGCATTTGAAATATTATATGGATGGACGTTTTGAGTAAAACAAAGATAATCTGAAAATTGAAAAAACGACATATTTGATGTTCACAAAAACAAATGTATAGATGTATATAGCCATTATACATATAATATATATACAGTAAAACCTGTCTTTGTGAACACCTATGTCTAGTGAATACACAATAATTGAAAGTGAAAGAAGGAAAAGAAGAATAAGAAAAATAGAGAAAAAATATTTTATACTTCATTGTTTTCAGTACATCTACCTCTGCATTAAATACATGACAAAAACATTTAGAAACATATCTCCACACCATTGATTTATTTTAATGAACTCAATACCTCTAACATGTTACCTCATAGACTTTTATTCAGCTGTCATCAGATTATTTCTTATCAGATTATCTACTGAACATTTTCTTTAAAATATAATGTTCTAAATAAATATTGTTTGTAAGGAATGAAAACAAAATTCAAATTAATGAAAATCTAAGAGTAGGTCAACAAGATGGTGTTTGAAGGTTACACAATATCCTATTAATTTAATATTTTAATTCAATATTTTGCTTCAAATTAGGTACAACTTTAAATGGGTCTTATTGAAATGTCAAGAATTGTTAATATAAACCAGGGTTGAAATTGTTGTATGGATCAAGTTTGAGTATTGCTTTAAGGATTTATGCTTATGTTATGCTAAAGCTAAGATATCAATCAATTGATAGAATTGTTATAAATTGAACTTCAAGTTATTATGTTTTAAACATATTTGGTTTCATGTGATTCCCAAAATATTTATAACATGAAATCTGTCATATTTCTCCAAAATCCAGTTCTTATAAAAAATATATTTTTATTATCTCACGGTGCAGGTAGATGACACAAATTATATACCTCCAATTGACAGTCATATTGTAGTATTTTAAATGAGGCGCTACAAAAAAATTATTTATAATTGTAATAAATTATTATGTCACCACCAAAAGTGGTGACATATTGTTATGGTCTCCGTTTTTTTTATGTCACCACCAAAAGTGGTGACATATTGTTATGGTCTCCGTTTTTTTTTATGTCACCACCAAAAGTGGTGACATATTGTTATGGTCTCCGTTTTTTTGCGACGGCGGTTGGTGGTTGGTGGTTGGAGGTTGGCGTCCGGCGTCTGTAACAATTTCTTACAACTTCCTATAACTTAACAAATACTGTTTAGACTGACTTCAATTTTTTTCTAAATCATCTACATGTTCTCAGAAGTTCAAATCTGACTTTAGATTTGACATTTGACCTTCAATGACCTTCTCAAGGTCAAAAAGGTCTTTTTTCAACTTGCTTCACATTGACTAAATTTTTTTTCAAAATCATCTACATGTTCTCAGAAATTCAAATCTGACTTTAGATTTGACTTTAGATTTGACATTTGACCTTCAAATCTGACTTTAGATTTGACATTTGACCTTCAATGACCTTCTCAAGGTCAAAAAAGGTCTGTTTTCAACTTGCTTCAAATTGACTAAATTTTTTTTTTAAAATCATCTACGTGTTCTCAGAAATTCAAATCTGACTTAAGATTTGACATTTGACCTCCAATGACCTTCTCAAGGTCAAAAAGGTATTTTTTCAACTTGCTTCACATTGACTAAATTTTTTTTCAAAATCATCTACATGTTCTCAGAAATTCAAATTTGACTTTAGATTTGACTTTAGATTTGACATTTGACCTTCAAATCTGACTTTAGATTTGACATTTGACCTTCAATGACCTTCTCAAGGTCAAAAAAGGTCAAAAAGGTCTGTTTTCAACTTGCTTCAAATTGACTAAATTTTTTTTTCAAAATCATCTACGTGTTCTCAGAAATTCAAATCTGACTTAAGATTTGACATTTGACCTTCAATGACCTTCTCAAGGTCAAAAAAAAGGTCTGTTTTCAACTTGCTTCAGATTGACTACATTTTTTTTCAAAATCATCTATGTGTTCTCAGAAATTCAAATCTGACTTTAGATTTGACTTAAGATTTGACATTTGACCTTCAATGACCTTCTCAAAGTCAAAAAAGGTCAAAAAGGTCTTTTTTCAACTTGCTTCAAATTGACTAAATTTTTTTCAAAATCATCTACATGTTCTCAGAAATTCAAATCTGACTTTAGATTTGACATTTGACCTTCAATGACCTTCTCAATGTCAAAAAAGGTCAAAAAGGTATTTTTTCATCTTGCTTCAAATTGACTCAATTTTTTTTTCAAAATCATCTACATGTTCTCAGAAATTCAAATATGACTTTAGATTTGACATTTGACCTTCAATGACCTTCTCAAGGTCAAAAGGTCAAAAAGGTCTTTTTTCAACTTGCTTCAAATTGACTAATTTTTTTTTTCAAAATCATCTACATGTTCTCAGAAATTCAAATCTGACTTTAGATTTGACATTTGACCTTTAATGACCTTCTCAAGGTCAAAAAAGGTCAAAAAGGTCTGTTTTCAACTTGCTTCAAATTGACCAAATTTTTTTTTCAAAATCATCTACATCTTTTCAGAAGTTCAAATTTGACTTTACAAGTTCTCAGAAGTTCAAATTTGACTTTACAAGTTCTCAGAAGTTCAAATCTGACTTAAGATTTTTTTAACTTGCTTCAGATTGAACAATTTCTTTTTTCAAAATCATCTACAAGATCCCAGAAGCTCAAATCTTCAAAAACCTTCTTAAGGTCAAAAGGTATTTCCCAACTTGCTTTAAATTGACCAAATTGTTTTAGGTGGTGACATTTTGTCATGTTAATGCCTTGTTATTAATTTGTAGGCTACAGCTAAGTTTCTTCTGCGTCGCACCAAGAAGAAGCTCAATACACTTCCAAAGGAAATGGCTCATGGCAGGTAATACATGCATATTTCGTAAAAATAGGTCTGAAATTGAAAGAGACCATTCTTTGTAAAAGTCACAGTAATAGATCCATATAGCTTCAGAAAGTCTTGCAATTCAAATGATCCCAGCTTTATTTTAATTTCTATTTTTGTTCTACATTTTGTCCCTAATTGCATTTGTCTTGTATGTACTAATTACATTTGTATTAATTATTCATGAAATATAAATCGATTTGAAAAAAAATGTTTTGTTATAGCTGGAGCAAGGAATACAGAAAAGATATTGTTATTGATATATTAAAACTGATTTTTTTGCAGGAGCATGATGAAAAATGTGCGACTGGGACATGGTCTGTTCTACATGATCAACAAAGAGAGACATGACAAGGTAGAATATCATTATTTAGGAGCCCTTTGTTATTTTTTATGACCCATTGGGTAGCATTATTTATAAGCTTTATTTTACTAAAAAAGATTATCTATTTGTGATCACTGATTAGTATCATTATTTGTGAGTCCTTTGGTAGCATTCGTGACCCAGGGGTTCAGATCTTAATAAAAAGAACTCTGAATATAAGAGATAAGGCTCAGTATATTAATTATATTAATTATTATTTTTCTACAAGATATAATGAAGATCATTGAGAGTGAATTACATTTATACCAATGCAGCTAAAACTTGTTGAATGAAATGGAGTCATAATTGAAGATTCTTCTTGGCATTACTTCAAACTTACCTTGTCACATTCTTTTGATGATTAAACTCTAACTTTCATAAACATGAATTTAAAGATATATAATAGTCATATTCAAAAAAACTCTACATTCAAATTATTTGAACTCTATGGCATATCAGGTTAAATTAATGCCAAATATGGAGGTCAATGTTCTCTTGGTCTTTAAGGTCATAGCTGACTTATATGATAATGAAAATGTGAGTTTTTGTTTTGAAAATGTGAGTTTTTGTTTTGTTTTATTACTAAAATTTATAATCAATAGATTAGGCACTAAGTTCAGAACATACCATGAAAACAGGAGAGGGGGACTTTGAGTTTTCAATCTCAAAACAATTGAACAGATTATTTTGTCTTACAATATTCAAAACATGTGCTAATTTAATCCTATAAGCACAGAGTGTTGTCTATACACAAATGTACATATATTGTGTGTATTCTAGGAGCAGGTAAACATTACAGATTAGAATCCTCCTTATCTGAATGCAACCTTTTATCAAATTATTGGCTTGAGTTGGCCATTCAGACCTTAGAACTTAACTGACACTGAATTGCATCCTAAAATTTCAAAATTGCAATGTTTTGCAGACAGAGATTAACTAATATTAAGAATCTTTTCACAGGAATTTCTTTATTAAATGGAGTTTGAGTGTCATGGTTTCCCTTGCAATCTTGATTATATTTGTTAAAAAACAATTTTGATATCTGATCAAGTATTGATAAATGAAGGTCAACAGAATGTCAAATCTAACATTGAGGTCAGATATGAAATCCCTGCTTCCTTCTGTTGATTGTTTTTAAAACATTTGCTCAGTATGAAGCAAGTTGAAAACTGATTTTTCAATTTCTTATATGTCAAAATCTGGACATCTTAGAACAGAATTAACTTTAATTGCTATAGGCCTACAACTAAAACAGCATAGGGAATTGTAAGTGACCTATACATTATGCTGGAAATATTTCAAATGTTCTCAGTGATAATTAGGAACTTTCTCTAGTTTTATCGTAATACTTTTATAGATTATTGCAATAGAGAAAGAACGTAGGCGCTTAGATGATATCGCCAGAGCATCGTGGCAGGCTCCACGTTACGACTCATCTAGTGATGAAACAGATGAAGACTTGGCTGAGAGTGTGGATTTACGCAGGTAGATATAAAATGCTATGTGATACAAATGTTCATCGAATTAACTTATTGTTATTTTATACAAGATGAAGATATAGTAAAATTGTAAGTTTATTTTGAATTATTTTCACATATTTTGTTTGAGATTTTATTCAAATCAAAAAAAAGATATATCTGATTGAAAATGTTAGTAACAGCTTGATGTAGTCTGATAAAAAAATTATAACGAATAACTGAAATAAAATTGAATTGAAATGAAAAACATTTATTTGTTTTGCAATCATCATTGGCTGATTGATGTTGTTAGACCAATGTCTTTACAATGAATAGAAATAACAGTTGTATATTGTATATTATTGTGTGAATTGTAAGAACGACAAGAGATTTTTTCTGTTGAGGTAAACATTTTTCATTTCATTTTTAGTTTCTTCAAAACAGAAGTCAGGTGCAGAAAAGATATTCCTACATGTCTTCATAATTATGTTCTTTTACTGTTTAGATGATTCTTATAGATAGAAACCCCATATATAAGAGTTTAGACATTGTATGAACCAAATTCAAATTTTGAACTCTATTGACAAAATGTATTTATTAAATTATGAGATTTAATCAAATATTCACAAATATCACATATAAGGTATTTCACAATTTATGTACCATTTGTGATGCTTGTGAAAATACATAACATGTTTTAGAGTGATAACAAAGGCCCCTCATTATCTACTGTGTAAATCAACCAATAGAATGCTATGTTATACTATCTATTCAATCTCTAGTATATAGGTCAACTTCCCACTTGATTTGATTTTACAGGAATTTTTTTCATATATGAATTTACTTTAGTCTTATTTGTTTATGGTTTCCCTAATTCTGCAGCAGATTCTCTCCTTCATAAAATAGTTGAGTAGGCTAGCTATTATTTAACATTGCTATTTATGACTTAGTTTATAAAAGGTTTCTCAAATGATTTGATGCCATGTAGTTTTGCCCTTTCACTTCATTTCCTCATCTCATTTTACATTAGATTGATTTCTCTAAAAATAAAAATTCTTGGGCAAAGCTGAATGTTGCATGATAACACCATCTTGATTTATAGGGTCATGGTCGATTTTGATTTTGGGCTTTAAAAAATGAGATCAGGATTCTTTGTCACTTCCATGACCCTATAAATGGCAGTCTTGCATAAAATCCCAGATACATCCCCTGAGTAATCTCCCCACAATAATATGTTGGAGAATTAAGACTACAAAGGGAAAAACCTGAGACTTGATGCAAGACTACCATTTGTACTTATAATCATGATTTGTCTTAATCTGCATGGTGAATGGTGTCTTCCTGATCTATTTCTAGTTATATGGTGACTCCGTTCGATGATCGAACACTAGACTCTCCCTCTCCTCCCCCTTATAGTAACCACAGCCCTGATAAACACAGTAGGGTTAATTTCTCTGGGTACGTAAGATCTAAGGCTTTATAGATGTGAATCTGGTATTTAATTATTAAAGAGCCACCTACTGATCCCTGAATTAGATCCAATATTGAAGGTTAATTAAAATCAGCATGTGGCTCTTTTATAGTAGTTACACTTATACTGAACAGTAAAACTTGTTGCACAAATGAACAAGCACACAAGTATCATCACATTCTTGTGATGACAATATATGTGTCCACTGAGACAGGTTTTACTGTACATGTATTTGTATATATAGTGCAAGTCTGTCTTATTCGTGTAGTCTAGATGATTTAGTGTTAAATTGATCTTTAAGTTGATGAGGGACTAGAAGAAGTCCATAATGAGACTCAATTGTACCGATGATGTCATAATCCAGCATCTCATCAAACACAGTATATGTGCATAAATTACCTATTTGGGATTAGTTCTAAACACAGACTTGCACAACATTATATTATATGCATGCCAAACATTTCATAAGAAAAATAAATGTCATAAAATGTCATGTATCTAATTTGTAACAAAACAATTATTTTAACTATGTCAGAATTAAAACTATTGTAACTCACTATAATACTAGATTAGCAGTGAAAGTAATACCTTAACCTTAACAAAATTTTTTATTTGGAATGTGGGGTTTAATACAATGCCTTATAAGAAATTTAGTGTTTAACACTATGCCTTATTAGGAAAATGTGGGGGCTAAAACAATTCCTTATTAGGAATGTTAGGTTAACACAATACCTTTGTGCACTAAAAATTATAAAAATCAATATATAATCTTTTTCCTCAATGCATCATTTAGACTTGATGGTCCGTCGCGTGGTGTGAGTGCTGCAGTTAGTGGAAGATCAGGACATAGTAGTAAGAAGAAGAAGCAATTGAACCCATCAAGGCCATATACCCCACAACACAACCTTATAGGCACTGAAACTGAGGAATCACCTGCTAAGTGAGTAATGAGAATTTATTGCAAATATGCTATGTTTTCTGCTTGAGTTGAAAAAATGTATATAATCAATTGAAAAATCTTTAAATCATTATTGTATGGATTTCTAGTTTGAGCCAGAGTTTGTGATGTCATGCCATTTGCACGCACTTCAGCATGTAAATATACAATGAAAACACAAGCCACATGGTTGAATATACTGTCTTGTATTGTACATTACATAAATCAGTCTTAAGTTAATTAATGAACGATAAAAACTAATTGTAAATTAAACTTTTCTTTGTTTATCAAGACATTTTACAATATTATTAATACATTTTACCTAGTGTGCCAAAATACAGTATGGGCCAAAAGCATTGTACATTATATTGTTCAAGTAATAATCTGTGTGCCATTTGTATGCTTTAGGGAACCTCTGTTCAGACAGTTGTGTATACTGAATTGGCTACTGGAGGCTATGCAGACAGAGCCACCTATTGCCATGGGGCCAATCTCCAGGAGCTGGAATCTAAAGTAAAGCATATATTCCTTTAATCAAATGAAAAAGCTTCATAGCATTAATTCTTATATTCATACACTCAAAAGCGTACTGTAGATGAATATACAGAAGACTGAATCTACATACTAACTAAATTTCCCGATCATAGACAGTTTTACCAAAAACAAAACAAAATAATTTTATTTTTCAAACAAGTCAGAGACCACTTTGAAATTATGCACTTTTATTGTTTTAATGACATAATTTTATTCAACAACAATAATTGATTCTAGGGAGATTGGTGGCACTAAAACTACAGTAAAAAGGCTTCAAAAAGAAAAGTCCAATGAAACCAAATGGGAGGCATGGGTCAATAATCAAAGCATTGGAAAGGTATGTCTTTGTATTTTTTTCTCATTGTTTAGAAAACTGTAATGCAAAGGACAGTAATGGTTTAGATAATAGTAGTTATTTAGGTTAAGTTTTACAGATTGGTAGGCCTATACTAAACAGCTAATGCATTTTGCACTTATTTATGCACTTTTTTATGCATTGCATTTGTTTTGTTCACAATGCTTGTGACACTAGGATGTATGTTTGCTTTTTGTTGCATTTTTGAAAGAAAGGTGTCGTTTTTTGAGTGCAAATATTTTGGAAATGTTTTTATTTTAGGATGAAGCACCAGCACGTTTGTCCAAAGCAAAGAAAAAGGTTTTCTGCATGTTTTTTGTTATAGCATGTTTTTACATTTGTTTCATAAACCATTTTTATTTCATCTAACATGTTTAAAATAAGTATATGTGTTCCCATAATATACCAATTTATGTAAAATAACAGCCGTCTTACCCATATTTCATTTTTTCGTCCATCATATACATGTATGTTTTCCCTTTTCTGTTACACTCATTGATTTCAAAGTAAAGTAGAAATAAGTCAATTTTGGATTTTAATGTGGCGTTTTAGATTTTCGACTTTGCTAATGATACAACTACATTTTAGTGTGAAAAGATCGTCATCCTCATTGCTTCTATTAGAAATGTAAAGTTTAATATTTTATCCAGAGCATGCAAAACCTCCCAATTAAATTGTGTCAGCTATTGCAATTCCATACAAACACACATTAAGGCTGATGATATGCATATCAATATCATTGAATCCATTAATTCCTTAAGATATAAAAGAATTAAAATTACTATTTGAATACTGGATAGGATATTTGATATAAACATAACGTGAAATGTTAATATGTGACTGTATTTTTGCAAAAGTTGACACTTTTTGAAGCTTTTTCCCCCAAATAGGTGTTATTTCTTTTTGGATGATAATTTCTATGTTACTTGAATTGTGTATTTCCTGTATCAACCCCCACTTTTGCATGAGTGTGCACAAGTAAGCTTGTTTCATTGTGTTAACATATTTACTTATACAACCACGAGTACATGTACTCACTGTTTTAATATACCAGCGCACATATTAATGTTTGATTTTGATTAAGTCACATCTTAAAACCATAAATAACAGAAAATCAAAGAAATAAGTCATTTTTAAGATAGCTTTCTATATATACTGCTCCTTTGACCACTTGATGCTCTTCATAACACTGTCTAGATACAATATACAGGCTACTCCATTCTGAGGTAGATCAATATGTCTATATATGTAAAACAGTGTTCAGTTTTTATTCAATTGTAGTGAGGATATTGCCCGTAGTTAATACATATTATATATTTTCAATTCAATTCAATTTATTTATTTCATAATATTTATTTCATAATATTTCTATACAAAAACCCAATCAGAAGTTTCAATTTTGAGTGACAGTGAATACTAATTCTCAAACCTCAGAACATATTTTCATAATATATAAGTTAATGACTAAATACCTTGCTTGTTGTATGGTAGAAAGCAGAGGCTGCCAGGATGATGTTAAATAGTCTCGTGGCAGGGGTGAGGTCTTCCACTACTGCAGCTCTTGTAAGTCATCCACTTGGGGTTCATCACTGCAGTGTGCCAATCCTGCACCAGTGTCACCATGTAACGGTTGTCTTGGGTTGAATATGCCTCTCACATGTTTTGAATGTGTTTATATGTCACATATACCTATAACACTGGTGTCGCAATTGTTTGGTTTTGAATATGTCTGGCACAGTTGTATTGAGTGGGTGTATACATCACACATACCTTAATCACAGGTGTCACATTTTGATGTGTTACAGTTGTCATGAATTTGTCTATCTGTCTCTCTACATCCTCCTAAGCAGGTGTCCAGAAGCCGTACCTCCTTCTTCCCCCTGCTATAACCAATTTGGAACCGCCCGATTTAACTGAATCACGTGATCTAATTATGCGCAATGACTTACACATGATTTCTGTCGCAGTGTTGCGACAGCCAATCAGATTACGAGTTCTTAATCGGGGAAATGGTAACTGCTTATCGCAGGGGGTAAAAAGAAAGACTATATTCTGGATTTAGAAGCCCTGTGATCGGAGGATGGTCTCTCTAATTCCACAGTTGTTTTGAATGTGCTTCAATAGGACATTTATGTGATGATGCAATATTTCACGTTTTAACTTTTGCACTACTTATTGCATTGACCAGTCAGAATTGGCTGGCTCAATTTCTGTTGCAGTTTCTTGTCTCGTTTCGTGTGTATATGTATATGTCACATATACCTATGACATTAGTGTTGCTGATTTTAAAATGTCTGGCTCGTTTTGAATGTGTCTTTCTGTGTTTGTCACAATTGTTTTGAATGTTTATTTAACTCACATATCTTCTGGTTTCACAGTTGTCAAAATAAGTATCTTATACTGGTTCCACAATTATCTTAATGTTTGAATTGTCTTTGAAGTGTATGTCAATTGTGCCACACTTGTTTTGTTATACTGGTTCCACAATTATCTTAATGTTTGAATTGTCTTTGATTTGTATGTCAATTGTGTCACACTTGTTTTGTTATACTGGTTCCACAATTATCTTAATGTTTGAATTGTCTTTGAAGTGTATGTCAATTGTGCCACACTTGTTTTGTTATACTGGTTCCACAATTATCTTAATGTTTGAATTGTCTTTGATGTGTATGTCAATTGTGTCACACTTGTTTTGTTATACTGGTTCCACAATTATCTTAATGTTTGAATTGTCTTTGATGTGTATGTCAATTGTGTCACACTTGTTTTGTTGACTGTACTGATACACAAATGTTCTAGAATATTTGATGACTGATACCAGAGATGATGAAGTATACGTTTCCATAATCTAAATATCATCTGGTAACATAATTGTCAATATGTGGGTGAATTGAATACCAAAATACACACTTTTTTTCTTTAAAGATGCATTATACCATAGGTTTCTCCCCAAGACAATCAATGATGTCCTATTGTTATTGGTCATATAATATCTCACATACCATGGATATATCTTGAGAATAACTTTTGGGTATATTATTGTCAAAATATTGAAATAATCAACAGAACAACCAAACTCCAGAATTAAACAAAATCGATTCCTCGGCTAGTGAGTCACACAAGCACCCACAAGCGCCTTGAACCAGGCAGCCAAGCAGGTTCATGATAAACAAATTCAACGACTAATCAGATAACAGGAGGACTTTCCCGGTATATTCAAACTTCAGATTGAATTAATTTCTTAGAAAATAATTAGTTCGGCCAGCACAATCGCAAAATTAACACTGAAAGAGGGGGATTTAGAACTGCATCTTTGGTAAGTAGATGGGTGAATATGTGGTGAAACTCAATATGCAAAAAAGTCCAGAGCGGTCTTGATTGTGCTATCCTATATGGCATAGGGCCTCTTTAAGTATCACTTGAAAATGTGTGTGATATGACTCCTAAATATGTGTTTAAGCTGGAAAATTGGTTATGGAGTATAAGTAAAATGTTTAACACAAATGAATCTACTCTCTTGTGCATAATTGTAAATTATTCCATCTGGCTGATTTTTCATTTATCATATACAACCTTTATGCATGCATGTTTTATATTATCTTATTGTTATATTATATATTGAATTTTTGCACGCTTTCTGTAGCGCACTGTTCGTCGCACATTGCTTGGCTTGAGGGTAGGGGACCTTGACTGTTAATGTTTGTTTTTGTTTGACTAGGCCTTGTTTGGACAAAGGCCTGGTCAAGACCTGTTAGTCAAGACCTGTTTTGACAAGGCATGTTGTCTGATGGTATTCCTGATATCACTTTACTATGCATGTTATTTAGATTTAACCAACAAATTCTTGTTATACTTGTATGTATCATCTTCGTTCACTCGGCTCCCGTCGGTTGGATGAACGCAGTGAAGACCGAGCGTGCGAAGATGTGTAGATATGACTATATTTATGTATGCATGTTTACGATCTGTCAGTAATTGTGCATTGTTTTCTTGTGTTTTTTATCACCATCTGTTGTCTAGCAATTTGTCGCACAATGTGTACAACAAAAGGTTGTATCAGTTTGCGCAGTCTAAAAACTGCACAATCTTGCGTCCCAATCAAATTTTTGCACCACAAGATAGAACAAACTGTCAATACAAGTACAAACATATGAAGTTTGAAGTTTTGGTTTTAGGGGCCCAAAATTTTTTTTCACGCAAACACTGAGATTTTTTTCCTGACTCGAAATCTGAGCCCCGCCCTTGTTAGCTTCTGGATCCACCAGTGAGTTTTAGTGTAAAACTTTAAATTAAAACTTGTGGTGCATTCATTGATTGTGTTCATCTTTCACTGTGGTTCTTTAAATGGAGCTCTGAGCTCTTGTTGTATTTATATTTACTCTCTTACTATTATAGCCTCTTGTATCAGAAGGCATTCTATGGAATTATATTATATGAACTTTTATTTAGTCTTTGTTATAGATTAATATATTCTACTAAAACAAACATAAGCAATATGCCTCCAGTGAAGTCTGGTCTAAATTCACTTTGAAGTTCAAAAACAATTTTAGGCCTCAATATGTTGATTTATTTGATGTTTACATCCTTTTGATATTTCAGATTAGTAAGAGATTTTCTAAGACGTCACCACACAAATTAAAAAAGGCGCCATCTAATCTCCACGCACGTCAGGGCTCAGTAACGACCTCTACCTCTAACAGTCCTCATGGCAGTATGAGTCAACTCAGTATGAGTAGGGCTGCATCAAACCAGGTTGGAATTCAGAAATATTTTAATCTTTTTTATTTAACAAGAAGAGGCAGGGGGTGCTATTATGCAGTAGTAGGAGAAATGCTACTGGATCTTTATATGCCTTTAGCTATACATGCTTTCACGATTCACATGAAGTGACTTAAAATTAGATTATTATTCATTGTTAGTACATCCATTCTATAACAGTTTGGCCACCTTGTATTAACCTCTTGAATACCAGCCTCTAAAAAGGATTTGAAACCAGACCATTTTTAATTTTTCGCCAGTTTTCGGGATATTTACATCTAAACACAATATTTTGTGTTTGATTTCATAAGAATAGTAAACATAGACCCATGACATACATTTTAAAACACAATTTGTGAAGATTGGATAAAAATTGCCAAAGTTTTAGTGAAAGCAGTTTTAGCGAAAAATTCTGTGACAGTCGCTCTGGGTTCCCAATGGATTTTATTTGTGACAGATATATCCGTCATTCTGAGTATCCAAGAGGTTTAAATAAACAGTTCAAGCTCTATTATTGTCTATATTTTCAGAGTCTGATGCAAGCCCCTTCATCACCTGGTATTAATAATAAACAACATGAGATTACAGACATTCCTGAACATGGTGAGGTGTCCAGAGATGTTACTATTGAGAAACAGCCAGTAGAGGAGGAGGAAGTTGGAGGGGGTGGCTATGCTAAAGGTAAGAGTTAATTCTAGTTAATGAACAAAATTGATATATGGTTATCTGGTTAAAATGACATTATTTTGAAGCTATTAAGCTAGGTGTCCTACGATTCATCAAAATCATGTTCTACATTTCCAAAAAATCATCTTATCAACTTAACTACATATACATGTACTTGTAAATTTGAATGTCTTAACTCAGAATTAAATAGGGACTTACACTAGTAGTTAAGTGCAGCTATGAAATCTCTTCTATTTTCAACTATCTCAATTTTTCAGGATTTTGTCTTGATCAAGAAACAAAGAATTTAGTGAATTTTTTGCACACCCAATGTATTATTTGGATTTGAAAATTTTGAAATAATTCTTTGCCTTTTTAATTTCTTTTAGGTTTATTTAAATTTCTGGATGACTACTATGCAACAATGAGATTAGAAGAGTCTAAAGCTAAAGGTGGCGCCGATATAACCGAGGACAGCCAATCACTGACAATACATGACAATACAACAATTTCTCACGATGGTGCCAATTCTCCAAAGAAAAAGAAACATAGGATACGAGCCAAATCAGAAAATAAAAAGACTGCAGACAATACATTCCATGTGAGTCTCATTATGTTAATTGGACTTTCTTTTGATTAATACAAAAATTGAAACAAAGCAATCAAATGATTTTAGTACAGAAATTTTACATTTATATCAATATTTATGGTACGTTGAATTAGGGGAAAGTGAGATATTGTTTTTGTATCTATTTTTCTTTTGATAAGAGTTATCAACTTCATGAATAATTGCATGTGATATTGTGGCTTGCTTTATTCACCAATCCTGTTCCATCTTTAGCTTGAAGATGCTGCAGAAGAAAGGATGCGGAGGATAATGGAACGGTCCATCAAAGAGGACACAATGTCAGTGAACAATCTAAGAGCTTCCAGGTTTATAAGACCGAAGAGGTGTGTAAATACTAAATATTATGGTTTGTTTTGGGATATTTTAGCAATCTTTTGTATATTTTTTTGATGTTTTTGCATGGTGTTGGTTTTGATTTTTGTTTTTTTTATAAGATTTATAGTGATTTGGGTGTGATTGAGTTATTTAAAGATTCTGTTAGATGCAACTTATGCCAATGGGCATCCAGCGGCATGATTTCATAGTGTATGTTATGCAAGAAATTATGAAATAAATTGAATTGAAAAAATGCCTTGGCATATCTTACTCTTGTCTTTAAAAAGAATTACAATATTTGCTCCACATAGATATAGTTCTGAATCTGGAAATATTAATATCAAGAATATCAAACAACCAGACAAGATAAGCAGAGTGAAATACAATTCAGCTAATGATAAACACTGTTTTAATTTCAGTTCTCCAGCTTTAGTTGAGTTCCAGAATAATGCCCTTAGTAACAAGTATGGTTCAATGGCTCTGAACATGAGACAACAGTTCTCTGAGGTTCATGAAGAGAAAGCCGTTGTGCTGCATGATGAATTGGAACACAGGGAGAGGTAGGTTTGATGTACTGATGGCTGTCTGTATTCTTGCTAATGACAGAGTGTTCCTAGAACTAGGCCCATTTCATAATGATATACATACAATGGAAAAGATTTTACCATACAAATCAGACTCCAAATTTTTGAGAGTAATTCCAGGTTTTATTCTTTGACACAAAAGAAGGAGTAAAATACTAGTTGTCCCACATCAGCATTCAATCAGGTCCAACATGTTAATAATGTTAATAGAATCAGGTCCAATATGTTAATGATGTTAACAGAATCAGGGCCAACATGTTATTGATGTTAACAGAATCAGGTCCAACGTGTACATGATGTTAATAGAATCAGGTCCAACATGTTAATGATGTTAACATAATTCAGGTCCAACATGTTAAAATGCTGGTAACATGTTAACAATAGTTATCACGTCAATTTCTTGAATGGAAAACAACCCTTTATTCATTTTTGTGTGAGTAATATACATGTGCATGTGAATTTCAGACAAAGACTGAAGGTGTGTCAGAACAAATATGTGTCACTGAGCAGTAAAGGTTTAGGTCTCCACCGTATGTTGGAAGATATGAGGGCCAGGAGTGCAACACTCATGGAAAGACCTGATGAGAAGAAAAATAAGAAACGCAGCGATCACCAAGCCTGGTATGTATATGTTATACACTGCATACCCCATACGTTTCACAATGAATTCTACACATCGTCCATTCTTTTAAACACTCAGCAATTTTGTGAAAGATAATTTTGTACTTATATCACTTTTTATCGGCAAAATATGATCTGATTATCAATTGTTGCTATATGTTCATAATAATCCAAATTACTCACATGTACTGTCCATAATAATCCAAATTACTTACAGGTACTGTCCATAATTATCCAAATTACTCACATGTACTGTCCATAATTATCCAAATTACTTACATAAATCACCCATTTTTAGGATGTTGCTTCCTCTTCATAATAATCAAAATTACTTTAAACATAAACCATCTATTTTCAGGTATGTTGACCTCCAACTACATATGCCAGAAGATGCCAATCAGTATTGGTATTTCCACAAAATAATGGAAAAACTTGCTAAATTTGCAGCAGTAAGTGACTATTATATGTCCCATATTATGTTGGAACCAAATTGCATCAAAATAATTCCGTCTTATGATTTATTGATTGATTGACCAAATAAATAATATTTATGTCCTGAATCTACATGTGATTTTGTAATTTGTGCCACAATCATAAAAATCAAGCACATTTCCTTTTGAGATTTCCTTAATGTTGCACCATATCAATTCTGTGAATAGTTTTTGCAAACCCGAAGTGTAACAATCTACTTGAAACAATTTGGGTTTGCAGGTTGAGAGTTTGTGATGTTTTGCATTGAGTGATCCATTTGTATTGAAAAAATATGTATTCATTTCTAATCTAACAGAAAATGGCGGAGAAAGGCTCAGAAGAGGTATTCATAACCCCTTAATCATTAATGTTTTGAAAATGTTTTAATCATTTATTTTAATAAATTATTTTCTTCTATATTTCGATTATTGCACTTTTTACATGTTTTAATTTTGCCCATTTTCCTTGGTTTTGGGAATTTACGAATTTATTATTCTGCATAATCTTTTATAGGTCTTTACTATTTCTGATAAATATTTTTATTATAAGCAATTACATTCCTGGTATACTCTATACATTTTATTTCTCAGTTTTGAAATGCATGTACATTTTGTCAGGCACAATTTCAAGTCAAGAGCTATGCACATTTCTGCTTCGTGTAGGTTGTCGTCGGTGAAACTTTTATTTAATTGATTTGTATTACATAGTTTTAAGTGACTGTATCCTTGTATGCAATCTAAAGTCAGAAACTGGAACTATCTGAGAGATTGACAACAAATTCAAATATTCAAAATTACATATCTGATTTATACTTGATGATAAACATAACATAGCAAACATCATATTTAATTTAAATTCATTTTCTCTCTTATGCTGTTATACTCCTATACTGTACTGTGTGTGCACAATGCACATAACTTTGTCAGTTTTGCATCAAGTTCTCGCTCATATATCCTTTTTCACAATGATTATGATTAAAACACCATTGACTGATTTCAAACAGGGTACAAAAGTAGGAAATCATGTAGGGGTATACAAGAGGATGGGAAATCATGTAGGGGTATACAAGAGGTTGGGAAATCATGTAGGGGTATACAAAAAGGGTAGGAGATTGTGTAGGTGTATATAAAAGAACATGTGTGGTTACTCTGCAATGAAAAAGGGGTAGCTCTAGAGCAAAGACTTGATGCAATACTGCTATACCTGTGTGTGTACATGCACTGTGATTGATTATCTTAACATGTTGTTCTGTTGTTAACACCTAACAGTTGCCCTCTGAGGAAGAGCAGGAGTTAAGAGAGGCTGAGGCTCAGGTAAGACTATTGTCTTCTTTGCCTTGATTTGATTTGATTTGATTTGATTTGAAAACTATATTTATTCTGGGTAGCTCTATCAGTGCAAAAAACTGGTCTTCCTAGAGGCCCAGTAATAATTTACAATTATTTACAATGTGTACACCTTCAGGTAATATATGACATAAATATGTGAACCCTTTTTTAATATGTGAATATGGGCTCCCCCTTTACTTTTGGTCATGCCTTCTTGTGAAAAAGTACACTAAAACCTTTCAGATTGAACAGTACGCTAGAATGAATGTTTCTGTAATGAACACTTTTTCATGTTTTTTTCTCCAGATTTCCATGTAAAAGTGACCTTTCTAAATCCTGTCTGACCCCCAAACCAAAAATGTTCTTTGTCTTAGAGTGTTCACTTTAAAGGGGTTTTACTGTACATTTTCATTTGTTTTAACCCTTTTACAATGATTGTAACCTGTAAGTGACCATAATACCTGATTACTAGATGTTATCTACTTGAAGAATGATTCCCAGGATATTGTGTTGAGTATAGTGCATATTCTGTAACAAGCACTGTATATGTTTTTTAGAGAATTTGAAATTAAATGTTATTCTATGATTGCATGAACTATGCACAAGTATTCTTAAAGCACATACACATTACACAAATATGAATTAAGCTATCTTTATGGCAATTCATATAAGGGGTCCCATATTCACTGGTGATCCACTCAATTACGCTGGTTACCAAAACGGTTCGTTTTGGTAACAAAATGTTGGAACGTCGAATGTACGATTTTTCTTTTTTCCTTATTTCACGCGTTGTAGGCAGAATCCCCACGAAGTTTTTGGTAAACGGTTAGGGTTAAAAGTGCAGATCTTAACTGTTTTTCGAAAAACCTTTAATGTAGCTTAAGTGAGGAATTAAATCGACGATTCTGTTGTCTTCTGAACTATTTGTAGGCAAATATGTACATTTTCTTAAACATGTGATACTGATACACGTTTGTGTTAAAAATGTCACTTGAAATAAGGAAAAAAGAAAAATCGTACCTTCCATGTTCCGACATTTTGTTACCAAAATGAACCGTTTCGGTAACCAGTGTAATCGAATTGATCACCAGTGATATTGTTTCCACATCAAACTTCTGTAATATCTTTAAAACTTTCAAGTACTCAATTTTTAATGTTCAGTCTTTGGATACTATTTATGACACTAACATGGCACAAACATTGCCTTGACATTTTTTTTACTTTTTCAGCTGGAATCTGGAAGCCAACAAGGCACCTACAAGTTCCTCAAGGTATTAGCCGCCTTAAGACATTGGGAAATATTAAATCCAGATATTTCGGCAGCAATTGAATTTTGCAGAGAAAAAATCATCCAAATGCCAATTGAGGAATACGAGGAATGGTTTAGGTCACAATTTCCCACAATTGAACGACCCCAAACAGCACCACCTAGTATAAAAGGAGACACTAAACAGCGTGAACATTCCCATCAACGGGAAAAGTCAGCTCGGTGATATTTATAAACATGGAGGTAGTTCATATTAGGGGTCATCTCAAAAGTCTTGCATTAAATTCCACTAGATTAGTTTATCAGGTCTGTTTAAGTGTTAGATCAAGATCACCCCCACCCTAATTTTTATGAAACACAATTTTGAATTGTGAAAAAAGTACTTTCACATTTTTCAATTTATCAAAACCACATTTTAATACCTACTATAAAAAGCGACATGTAGAATTTAGCGTAAAACATATGTGATGGTGCCCTAATCTGATAATTGTGCACTCAAATGAAATGCAGTAAAACTATTATTAAATAGTATTTAATAACATTTTAAACAAATAATGTTAGCAGTGATACAGACTGTGATTAAAGCCAAATGAGATTATAATTTTTATTATTGACTGTAAAACGTGTGAACATTTTAGTCAATTTTACATAATAGAACCTGATTGGAAATGTTGATGTCAATCATCTAAGATGCAAAAATTGTGTAAAGATTGATTGAATGTATATTCAACTTCGAGCCAATCAGTTTGTCGGACTATGAAATATTGATTTTTTTCATCTAAAAAACTGTGTTCACTCTTAAATTGTCTGTAGCAAATCGTGAGTAAGATTGTATTTTGTAACGATTTTATTAAAATAAAGTACATGTAGAACCTGTTTAAGTGGAACACCATTGGGACCAAAAAGTGTTCCACTTGCAAGTTGTTCCACTCACAGAAAAGTTTCACTTATCAGTTTCTAGGTGTATATGGGATTCATGAAAATGGCTTAATCTCTGAAACAGGGTGTTTATTCAAATGAATTTTTTCTTAGATTTATCTCGTACAGTATTCATTATCAACTTCACAAATGAATGCAATACATAGGGCTTTTATAGGTTATTGTTATATACCCCTAAACTTGTGGTACCATATCTAAAAAAGTATTGAAAACTTTTACTGATAACATGCATTGTTTCAGTTTACCACTAGTCACTATAGTCCACCTTTTGAGTGTGTGTGTAACTATGGTGATGTAATCAAACTTTGTTCATTCTTTACATTCAGTTTTTCAGCACTTGATCTAATAATCTGATAATAAGTAGGGGTTTAGCGAAGAAATAGTCCAATTCATAATGCTGGGATGTTTTGATATGTCAAAATAAATTAGTTTGTCATAATAATTAATTGAGAACATTTTTGGTAACATTTTACATGTACAGTGAAGCCTGTATAAACAAACACCTGGCTAATCCGAACACCTTCCAATCAGAATGATTTTAGCCAATCAAAATTGTGTTCGGATTAGATAGGTCTTACTGTACATAAAATCCCATTCAAACGGAACTGTAGAATATGACTACTGATTCTATTTAATAGACTTGCTATTCTGGTGAGAACCACTCCATATGAAGGAAATATAATATATTTTCTCAATATTCATACTTTGACTGTTATACACTGTATTATGACTTCAATATACATTCCATGTTATACACTCAATATACCAAAAAATATGTCACCACTTTGGCAAGTCATGAATATAACCAACCATGACTTTGTTAAAAGATGAAACAATAAGAATAAAATGTATTTATTAAATAATAAAACATGATTTATTTTGTCGATACATATTATATACTAGTATATGTTTGCACATATTACAAAACATTAAAACAGTATCTTTTATAGAATTCTTTAAAACAATGTTTAGATATAAATGATTTATTATACCTTTTAAATACAAAACTTCCTGTCACTGGTTGAAATTTGGCAGCCATTTTGAAAAATGGCTACCTATTAGCCAAATTGTATCATGCTATGAGAATCCACATATCAAATATAAAAAAAATCCACTACTCCCTGTTACACCAAAAATCAGTAGGAATTTAGAAATTTGGCTTTCAAGCATAACTTGTATTCACATAGGCCATATACATATCAAATATAAACAATATTGGACCAACAGTATTTGAGTTATTACTACACACAAAATTACAGGTAAATCTAAAGCCTGGATTTTCTAGATTCAGCTTTTCAGCACTGAGCAATATCATGTATATGTAGTACAATAATAATATCATCGGTATATTCTGGCATGGACAATTGTAAATTATATTTTAAATGTGATTTACTATTTACCACTTTGGCACAGTACAGGAGTCAGAAGTATTATTTTTTCCCAAAATGCAAAAACCTTCAGTTAACAGAAGAAGTAAAACAAAGTTTAATAAGAAGTTCATACATATTCTATCAACTGTTTTTATTAAGAAGTAATTTATTATATCATGATGTTAAATTATAAATACTATTTAACTTAAACTCTTTATACCAAGCACATAAAAGAAAGATCAATATTTTAAGGAGGGCAGAGTAGGATGACATAACCTTGAACATGCTCACCCTGAGCCAAATAGCCCATACACATAAATATTTCCCTAGTGCTCCTAATTCATGCACATGTTAAATTCTATCACAAAAAAGCCTTTAAAAATAATAGGCATTAACATGCAAAATGTCACCACCTGCCATTTGTTACAGATGCAGAATGCCAACCGCCGTACGGTATCACAAAAAAAGTTAAGAGACCATTACACTTGTAGTGGTGATATACAAATTGCATTTATTCACATTTACTCGAGTCTCTAGCCAAATCACTTAGCTAGAAGACATGGCATGTGGACCACGGTGCACTAGTGAAAACATTGATTCTGGAGTAGGATTTTTTTAGATGTTATTCTAAAAATTGTAATGAGAATATTTCATTAAATAGAATGTAAACGAATACTACCCTTTCTGAGATATTGCATGCTTTCGTCTAAACTTAAAATCATTTGGTCTGCCATTTATAAAAACATCTGTTGAGGTTGATCTTTATCTCGCTTTAGCGAAAAACAAAATGGCCACTTTTACCGAAGGATTTTTTTCAAAAGATTGCTCTTAGAAAAGACTAAATAAAAGCCAATGTAGATGGTCATATGAACAAAGACTACATACTATGTTCAGTGAAGGTATGTTTATTACATTTGAGTTAATTTATAGCAACAGACCACACGGGATAGCGAAAAAGCGATAAAACAAACAGGGTTTAATGATAGCGTAAGGCCACACTGTGGCCAAAGAATAAGGTAAATTCACATCATCTAAACAATTTCAACAATTCTGTTGCAAACTGTAATACATTGCACTGAATATAAAAGGGGACAGTTTAGTGTAAACATTTATTTGCCAGAAAACTCATCATACTCTGCCTACCTTAAGTTAATATACTTGAGTTAGAGGCTTTTAAGCAGAGAAAGTAGTCTAGCTACAAGCTCTTGTGACCTCGCCCGCCACTACAAGTAAGAAGGTGTGTAGTCTGGGGGTCACAGAGGCTTGTTGCAAGACTACATAGAGAGCATATTTTGTTTAAGTAAGCCCAGAAAGATATCATGCAGCACTCAAGTGTCAGTTAGTTTGCATTCAAACACCCTTATGTGTACCTTATAGAAGATGCAAAGCATAATTAGACATTTCCAATAAATCCTGACACCTTTTGGTGAACCCAAGAAACTATGATATATTGTCTCGATTAATGATGTCATACTTTTACAGGTAGCAATATTTGCAAAATTGTATGACATTTTGGTAAGCAAAAGGTTAATCCTTCTTCTGTGCTGAAACTGCATGAATGACCTTAAAACTAACTAAAAGGTGCCACGATTTATTGAATTGGTCTATTGCCATTATATGGAGTATTGTTACCATGTACCATGTTAATATTTCATAGAAAGCAGCAGACTATAGACTTATGTTATTGATAGTTCATATAAGAATAGAAGTGCAGGTCAGCTGTGGTTAGACTCAGGCAGCATGTCTTGCATTTGCTGCAAAACAAATAGGAGAAATACATGAAAATTCAGCAATCATAGGGTGCTTTAAATGCTGCTTTCAGAGACTTTTGTATGAATAGCTTTGCAAGATCATCCATTCTTGATGAGCTTTGATAATTTTTTTCTTTATTGAGTTGAAGATAGGATCAAAGCGCATTGAAAATAGACAAATGAATGCAAGAAAATTATTTCACAAATGCCTAGATTATGTCCGATTTTCAACTTTTAGCACAAATCTGAGTAAGAATTTTCCTTTTTTCACTTATTAAAGGTCTATTATGTTTTTTGATTAAAGTAAAGAATATATATTAAAATCCCTGAATCTGAGATATGAGAAAACATGTTACATGTACTGCACTTTCCGCCACTAACATCTGTAACCCACCAAATCTGTGACACTTCAATCAAAGATATTCTGTAACACCCTTCTGATCAATCCTTCAGTGTCAGCAATCATTTACATTAACAGAGCACGTGCAGACACGTGAAGTGCCTAATCTTTTACTATGATGCACTATAATTTTATATTTTGTCATTATAATACATTTGATTTTGTTGAGGAATCTTACAAGGATATTCCTCCTTTTCCTCCCCGACAACATATCCATGGTTTACCTCCATCTTAACGTGATTCTCGTCTTCAGCATATTTCTCAATAGCCCATGGTTGGACCACACCACGTGCCAGTATTAGAAAGGCAATCATCCCAAACACTCCAATGGCAACTGCTATAAGATATGTGACCTGCCACTCTTCACGAGTTCCCTGGAACACAGAGACAATCACATTGCAATTCATGAAAAATCCAGCAGGCACAGTTATTCAAATTGCAATTTTACATAGAAACATGCCATTCTCTTGAAATTAGGAATGTGAAAATTGCATTTCAATAAAAAACACAAGACATAAAAGGGTACCCATAAAAGACATAATTAGTTTCTAGCTTGACAAACTGTATGCAGTGAAACAATGTGAGTTCTTACATCAGGCATTAGCATTTGAATGTATGAGTACTTACATCAACTGTGAGCATTTGAATGTACTGTACAAGTATTTACATCAGGCTTAGGCATTTAATGAACAAGTATTCATATTAGGTGTGAGCATTTGAATGTACAAGTACTAACATTAGGTGTGAGCATTTGAAAGTACAAGTACTTACATTAGGTGTGAGCATTTAAAGACCAAGTACTCATATTAGGTGTGAGCATTTGAATGTACAAGTACTTACATTAGGTGTGAGCATTTAAAGAACAAGTTCTCATATTAGGTGTGAGCATTTGAATGTACAAGTACTAACATTAGGTGTTAGCATTTGAATGTACAAGTACTTTCATTAGGTGTTAGCATTTGAATGTACTAGTACTTACATTAGTTGTGAGCATTTAAAGAACAAGTACTCATATTAGGTGTGAGCATTTGAATGTACAAGTACTTACATTAGGTGTTAGCATTTGAATGTACAAGTACTTACATTAGGTGTGAGCATTTAAAGAACAAGTACTCACATTAGGTGTGAGCATTTGAATGTACAAGTACTTACATTAGGTGTGAGCATTTAAAGAACAAGTTCTCATATTAGGTGTGAGCATTTAAAGAACAAGTACTCACATTAGGTGTGAGCATTTGAATGTACAAGTACTTACATTAGGTGTGAGCATTTAAAGAACAAGTACTCATATTAGGTGTGAGCATTTGAATGTACAAGTACTTACATTAGGTGTTAGCATTTGAATGTACAAGTACTTACATTAGGTGTGAGCATTTAAAGAACAAGTACTCACATTAGGTGTGAGCATTTGAATGTACAAGTACTTACATTAGGTGTGAGCATTTAAAGAACAAGTTCTCATATTAGGTGTGAGCATTTAAAGAACAAGTACTCACATTAGGTGTGAGCATTTGAATGTACAAGTACTTACATTAGGTGTGAGCATTTAAAGAACAAGTACTCATATTAGGTGTGAGCATTTGAATGTACAAGTACTTACATTAGTTGTGAGCATTTAAAGAACAAGTACTCACATTAGGTGTGAGCATTTGAATGTACAAGTACTTACATTAAGTGTGAGAATTTAAAGAACAAGTACTCACATTAGGTGTGAGCATTTAAAGAACAAGTACTCACATTAGGTGTGAGCATTTGAATGTACAAGTACTTACATTAAGTGTGAGAATTTAAAGAACAAGTTCTCATATTAGGTGTGAGCATTTGAATGTACAAGTACTTACATTAGGTGTGAGCATTTGAATGTACAAGTACTTACATTAAGTGTGAGCATTTAAAGAACAAGTTCTCATATTAGGTGTGAGCATTTGAATGTACAAGTACTTACATTAGGTGTGAGCATTTGAATATAAAAGTACTTACATTAGGTGTGAGCATTGTAATGACTACAGGAGCCACCATACCAGGGATTGTACCTATAGTATTTGTAATCCCAAATAACAGCCCTGCATATCTGTAATATAGTAAATAAATAAATGAGAGTACATCAGATTTCAAGTTTTACATTGGCCTATCTGCCTATACAGTATTATTTTCATCAATCTTGGATAAAATTTAGTAAAAGAAGCCTATGTTCTTCGTTTCCTTATCAAATAATATTTCTAAAACAAAATTAGCATTACATTAGGACACCCTGTTAGACTGTAAAAAAATATTTTTGATTTTCCACAGCACATTTTTTTTTACCTTGGTGCAATGTCGACATGGTTGACCTGATAGCCAGATTTCTGTGGTCCTGTACATATTCCAATTAGTGCAAGTAGTACTAAGGCTTGTATCCTTAGATCACAATCAAGGAAACTCACCCAGACAGTCAGTATAGCAGGCAATACTATACCTGAAAAAGATGATATATTAGATCTTGTATTTATAGAACATTATATTTATTTAATTTCTTGTACCAACAGAGTTTTTTATAACATACTGTCCTGGGTTACTGCACACACCTTGCTAAAGACTTCAGGAAGATAAGTCAGGTCCTGAGCCAGATATAAGACGTTTTGTAGCATTGTACCGAAACACATAAAGCCTTTATTATGTACACTAGGCTTTACATTGTGCTTGCAGTATTTAATTTTTATGAATGCGTACAAGAGAAGTTCCTGGAAACATTTTTTCAATTTTAAAGTCCAATGATGGCACTTCATGAATTTACAGCCAATAGAATAATGGTTTTCAGTCAATAATTCATATAATTTTTCAATCTTCTTTACAATAATTTCCCAAGGTTGTATTTGTCTAGTCTGGAAGGGGTTGCCTCAAATAACATAACATGCAGCTTCTAGAGTGGCAATAATGACAGTACCTACAAACTGGAATAACTTCCTGACTGCGACTGTGGACAACCATTTCTTCGAACGAATGACATCTGCAAGTTTGGCAAATGCGACCACAGACACTATACCAATCACCATGACAATAGCTGACAAGACACCATTCTAAACAAAACACAAATACATTTGTTTCATACATTTTGATTTCATATGATTTATATGGGCGCTTGTTTGTCTGACAAGTCTTTTCTCTAAATTTATACATAGATGGCTTTTGAAAACAAAAACAATATGGGTACATGAAATGCCAGAAGGCGATTTGCCCTAACCCTGTTTATTCACTGTATGCTTGTATTTGTTAAATACACCTATTGATTAAAAAAAGTATAGTAAAAAAGAGCAATACATACCTCTGCTGGATCGAAGTTTAGCACTTCTTTCATGTACATAGGACCAGTGGAGACAGTAGCATGTACTGCCCAGTTAGCACATAGATGAGCTATTATGATTGCCCACACTGCAGGTGACCTGAGAATTGATGGCCAGGGTACACTCAGATTCTAAAATACATGTGGCATAGTAGGCAAAAATTCAGTTTCTGTTATACAGGGTGAGCCAAAAAAGATTACCCAAACTGATCTTAATAACTAGCTCATCATAGTCATCTGGTATAGGTTTTAAATCATATTTGGCACAATTGAACCTTGTTCAATCTTCTTTCATTCCACCAAATTTAATTCTAAGCTACCTTTTTGGATCACCCTGTAGATCAAAATACAGTTGAACTATGATCGTTTTAATAAAAGTGTGCCTAATTAAAAATTGTATTCTTGTAAATGCAGGCTACATTAAGATCTTAAGTATAAATTGTAACATAATAACGTCATGGAAATATCATACAATGTATAAACATACATAGTTCTAACATACCCTTTTTACTTGGGGTATCCCATCCTCTATGTGTTTCATTTCTTCAGGAGAGATCCTTGGATGTTGTTGGGGGCTGTCATATATGAAGAATACCCAGCATAATAGCCATAGAAATGATAATCCACCTAGTATATAACATATATGACTTGGGTATCGCTATCAGATATCAGATGTAGGTTATATTCTGAGGGAATATATCATATTAGTATTCACTGTCATATTCCTCATTCTCTGATTGGTCTATGTCCTGTCTATGTCCTATATTTTATATAGGAATATTAACAGGGAATAATAAAACAAAAATGTCATTCTATTTCCGAACGAATACCTAGGCCTCCGGGGTTTGGGGATTATTGCTTATAATATGCACAGGTTTTCACCTCAATAGATTGAAATATTTGTATAATATTGACTGTAGGGACAACTTGTTTAATTTCCTATGTGGGATGGATACTGGAAATATCTTGGATTGACATCTCATTTAATACTACATTTTCTTAACAAGTATGTCTAAAGATTCATCAAAGGATAGCGTAAGAAATTAGAATATCTTACATTGTAAGTTCTGTTAGTACAGTGTAGTAATGAATACATAAATATAGCAGTTTCTATTCTTCATCATTTCTAAATATTTCTGATGACTGTTTTGTGCTTTTGTAATGTTGCCCCTTGTGATGTGTCATATACAGTAATTAAGCATTCACAATTTAAAGGCCCACTAGCCTATACTTAATTAAAAATCATCATTGAAACATACATGTATTACTCACACACTTGCTCAAATATGAAACAAAGTTTAATTTGCTTAATATTGAACTAAGAAAAAAATAACTCACTTAGAATGACATTGATAAAAACTTGATATATAAAGCTTGACAGATCAAAAATATTTTTTGATTGATTATTGTAAACTTTGATGTGGTTCGTTTGAGCTGTTGTTGGTGTCAAATGAAAGATAGGGTTCTTATCAATACATTGGAAATTCTATAGAATTCAAATAAAAGTCTTTATTTTGCCCAGAAACATTGAAAATACGCAAAGTGAGCCTTTAAAAGTGAACATTTTTACATGTGAATACCCTTTTCTCCATTAATTTTCCTATAATTTCAAAACCAATTTATGTAAACATCGATAGTGAACACCAATCTAAGAAGCATTCATTTAAATGATGTTTACAGTATAAACATATAGTAATAAAAATATACCATAAATGTAAAATATAGATGGCCATCCACCATCAAATCCATACTGGCAAAGGAGGCCTGATGTTCCCATGACAATCAGGCTCCCCAATCCTGCACCTGAGGTAGAGAAGAGGATGAGGAAGGACCTTTCATAGAGAGGAGCCCAGCGACTCCAGAATGCATGGAACACTGGGAAGGCAACTCCCTTGATATGAAATAAAATAATATTGCTTTACAAACATGAAAAGTAAACTCTGCATGGAAGTACAATAATATACATTTCAAAAGAGTTCTAATTATACCATGGTATATTATGGTATCATGGTAAATATGATCTTTAAATTAGATGGAACCTATATCTGATCAGAATGATATGATCTGTAGATGTATTCAGCTTTACATCCAATCTGCAAAATTATCAGCAATATTCAGAGGGTAGTTGGTGAGCCGATGAAAAGGGTATAATATTTCGCCAACACTGCCATTAAAATCATACATTGTGCTTTCACAGTTGATATGTGTACATATGGACTGAACAACATGAGTAAAAGGCTCCTCTCTACCATATGCAGGCCTGTCAACTGTCCCGCAATTTGCGTATTTGTCACGCATTTGCTGAAGAATTTGAAGTCACGCCAGTTATTTTTGCGTGACAGAAAATGTCACGCAAATACACATTTTACCTGGTAATTGTCAAGCAAAAATATTTCTGTAGAAAAATTTCTAAAAAAGATCGTCTACACAGCAAAAATTTGAACGCCGGAAAAAATTGTACGCATTTCGATCGGACTTTTCACGCGAATTACGTATATGTCATGCATTCCGTTCGAAATTTTTGGTACCTACCCCCAAGGTGTTCAGGTTTGGACCAAGGTGTCCACATTTTGAGGGGAGGTGTTCAACATTTCCAAGTCACTCATGTTAGGTGTTCCCAAGTTGACAGGCCTGCATATGTTTACTTTTTTTCTTCACAAATATTCAACTTACCTGCGCCATACCAAGTATGACTCGCAGGATGATAACAGCGATTACACCACCCTTTCTCGCTCCAATAGGTGTCAGTAGTGTGGAAAGCATATTGACGAACATTGCAACACCGAAAACCTTCTTAGGCCCAAGGGAATCTGATAGCCAACCCCCTAAGATCTGAGTCGATATGTAGCCATAGTAGAATGAACTCAGGACCCAGCCTTGCAGTTCCTTTGGCCACTCAAATTCACCAGCCTATAAAATTTCAGTTTCTATCTGAAATATTTTATCCTTGGAATTTCTACACATTTATTACATATGAATAGAACTTATGTCATATACCAAACTAACCAGACTCCATAAAAATATTCCAAATATATGAGCAAAAGTGTAGTATTATTTGAAATAAATTAGGGGCCACCTTCTTGGTCACCCAGTACATCCGGTTTTTGAATTATAAAATGAAAACATATACACTTCAACTTTTATTAATTGTGGATAAGGATGTTTATACACAGGTCCTTGTTTATTTAGTAAACCTCTCAATCTCTATCTCAAAGTAAATAATGGGAATAACACATTTTGTTTACATTAAAACCCTTAATCCTCATCTACCCAAATCAGAAAACATCTGAAACTGATAACTTCCCAGAATGCCCCTGGTCACTTTAGAACCGTCATTTAGCCTACAGTATCACGTTGCTTCATAGCTCATAATAAAATCAGCTCCCCAATGTGATCCTGGCTGATCTGCTTTTGGGTAGAGTCCTTTTGATAAATCAAATCTGCTTACATAACCTGCTTTCTTTCCTCCTAGTCCTCTGACACAAGGATCGTCATCATCATGTGTTTGGTTGATTTCCGATGTTAAGTTGGCCAGGGTCTGGTTGCTTGTCTCCCTAGTTTGCTTCACCATACATACAATGCTCATGCTCATGTTAACACGCAGCCCATACACGAAGAAGAAGCCAAAGAATGCGATATATGCCTGAACCATGCGACATGATGTCCAAAATGACCCTAAAAGAAATCATGCAAACATATCATACACAATTCATTTATTAAGGACAGATATTTAAACTTATTAATAATTGACTCTTACTATGTTGCCATTGTAGGAATATAAAAAAAACCTTTACTCCAAGTGTTATTGGACTTCAACTAGAATAAAATGTAATCTGCAAATCCTTGTACTTTACCCATTTGCACAGAGCAGGTTATTTTTTCTGTATTACAAAACATATGTGTAAGTTGTGAGTTGTTTGTAGAATGAATCATCAAGAGAGTTTTTTCATGCATTTCGCTTGTGTTTTTCATCTAAAAACATCAGTTCACTTTAAAACATTTTTTTTACTATAAGATTGCAACATATATAATCCCAAAAAATATTTCTCGTTTTCAAGGGTTATCTATGGATTAACACCCAGGTATTTTTATTTTTCATACTTCAGAGGGCTGGGAATAAAAAATACCTCGTTGTTAATCCATAGATAATCCTTGAAAATAAGAAATATTTTTTTGGGATTATATGGTGCAATCTTATAGTCAATAAAATGTTTTAAAGTGTATTGATGACTTTTAGATGAAAAACACAATCGAAATGCATGAAGAAACTCCCCCAATTAATTCTACAAAAAACTCGCGGTCCTTTGAATAAATTGTAAAATTTTATTATTATATATCATGAAAAATAGCAAGATCTACATGTCAGACAAATCTTCTTATCCCACTCCATGAATATATCAAATGGAAATCAACAATACTACATTTTGTTTTGATTTAAAAATATATACTCACAGAAACTTGTTTTTTGACTCTTTTCCATGTCTGGGAGATGAATAGTGCTATCTATACATTGATATACATTCAAAAACGTTATTTATGTCACCTAATGTAAATAGGTCACCTGTTGTGAACAGTTAACAAGGTTTAGGTGATACTGGTAGGTGATAAAGGGACACTTAATATATCAACAACATAAGACATTATCATACAATAGCCTTGTTGAATTAAGATACACACGCTTTTTGAATGTCATCTAATATAAGGCTGGTTACAAGTTCAAATATTGTCTCTCTGGTATTTTTTATAATGTTTAATCAAGATTCTTTTTTAAAAAATGTTGAATAAAATAACATCTAGTATCTACTGCAAACATAAAAATGCATAAAAAACTAGGAAAGATAAAAGTTGGTAGAGGCATTCAACTTATTGCCAAAATGTCAGCCAATTTAAATTCGTGTGATAGTTTTGAATAAAGTGCTCACTGATTTAGAAAAAGTGTCAGATTGACTTTCAACATGTATAAACACCCTATGCAGACAGAGCCTGTGGGAAATATTGGGTGCGGAGCAAATGAGTGGAGGGTGCGGAGCTAACGGTCATTTTTGAATTTAAATTTGGGATATTTCTGAAATTAAGCCGTTTTGGGACTTCAAATATACCAAGATATGTGTATTTGACACCCACCAAATATCAATACAATTGTGAAAATAGTAGCACAATTCATTCTATAGCGACGCAGTGTGCCTTAAACCTTTCCCAGACCTATATATTTTGAAATTATCCTTTTAATACTGAGTCCCCAGCATTCATAAAAAATGGTGTTCAAGGTACACTATCTATACAAATTATTTTTGCATCGAAGCCAGGCAGTATCTGTGTGATTTTATAAAAATTCGGAAATGTTTTTCAGATAGAGCCCCCTCTAAATATTGGGTGCGGAGGAGCTCCATGAACGTACCTCCGCACTACTATTTTCACAATTTTATTGATCATTGGTGTCAAATACACATATCTTGGTATATTTGAAGTCCCAAAACGGCTTAGTTTCAGAAATATCCCAATTTTAAATTCAAAAATGACCGTTAGCTCCGCACCCTCCGCTCATTTGCGCCCCACCCAATATTTCCCACAGGCTCTGTCTGCATAGGGTGATAAGCATAATATTTTAAAATATGTATACTGTACATCCATTGAACAAGTTAAAGCAAAACATCATATTATGACATAAAGGTAGTCATTTCCAATGTTGAAACCATTTTTACAAAACATGGTGGCCATTTTAAATTGGGAAACTATGGTACTGAAAATCTCTTTGTGAAAAGGTCTTTATGCCCATAGGCCTACAGTATTACCGTATAAATAACCAAGAACCAGTATTTGAATTATCAAAAAATTAATCTTGAAAATTTCTTTTTGAGCAATAATCCTATGTCTCTAGGCAGTACCATATAAAAAACCAAACCGTTGACTGGTATTTGAGCTATCAAAGATTGAATTCTTTACAAAAATGGTGGCCATTTTGAATTGAGCAGCCATATTGAAAATTCCTCGTTGAGCAGATGTCCTACACCCATAAGGCATAAGTCTATTATAAAATTTGAACCAAATCCTATTACCGGTATTTGGTTTATTGCCTGAACAAATGAACGAACTAACGAACAACAAACAGTTGTCTTCTCTATATCCCTACAAACTTTGTTCGGTGGGATAATAAACAAATCTACAAAGTGAACAGACAAACGAATGGACAACTTCTCTATATCTCTCCTGAACTTTGTTAGATGGGATAAATAGGTACATGCTATCAAAAGTACAAAAGTAAACAGATTACAAATTATATTGTAAATTATAGACAAGTCACTCTGTGATGTTAGTGCACTTGAAGGGCAAAATGATAACTGGTCATAAAATAAGATTATGCCATTAATGTATGATTATCACACCCATAAAATAGATAAAATGAATGGAGTGGGAAGCTTGACCTTTTTATATAGATCTCATACATTCAAAAAACATCAGAGGAGATTTTACCATACCATGTGCATGATTAATTAGTAAACTTTCTCATGAAAACTTTTTTACATATTTTTGGGGATTTTCTCATAAAAATCCTACTGTCCCCTAAATTCATTTTGTCCATTTAACAGGTGTGATTATACAGCTGAAATTGATGGATCTGAATTCGATTAGACAGAGAAAAACCAGGTAAAATTGTGGGTAACTGAAATGCATCTACATCATCCTCAGTAAAATACCAACAAAACAATTTCAAAAACAAATCAAATTGTATTTTAAAAATTACCTTCATATAGTTTATGATAATTGTTATATTGTGTTAACAAACTCATGATTTAAAAATACCTCCTACTGTAAAATATATCCCTTATAAATAAACCAAAAGGAGACACCGGACCTCTATCTTATAACAATGTCACTTGATTACTTTGAAACACTATGCACTCATGTTACAAATAACTTGTAAATTCTCACTGGTATAAAAATTATGCATTCAAGAATTTTTGTAATAATGTATACAAAAAATCTAAGAACTGAATAAAGAAAACCAGTTTTATTAGTCAGTCCTGTGTATTTAAATTGAGCCTGAGCCCAATGTTGAATTTCTCCTTTCCCCATTGTGATGAAGAATATGGTCCCTAGTAGATTAATAGCAGTGTTCATGAAGGCTACCGACTGCCACTCATCTCTAGTGCCCTGCAATCACATCCATTAGATTGTTTAGACTATGTCAGTGGCGTAGCAAGGAAGGAAAAGGTGACGAGGCCACATGACTACAAACGTATATTATATGCAAAGTTATACGGAATAAACACCATTAAATGTGAACAAAGTTCGAGGATGGCAAAAGAAGAACACAATGATAACCTTAATTGATGAGATTGTGCACAATTAAATGAAAAATCAAAAAATGATGACTTAAGATTAAAAATTAATAAAATATATATACAATTAATTTATCTATATCAAAAATATCAAAAGGTGATGAAGCAAGCTCTTTGTCTTGCCTCATCTGCCACATCCTCCTTAGCAGGCTTCCAGAATCGTACCTCCTTCTTACAAAAATGAAGAATAGATTCTGGATTTTGAAACCCTGCGTACGGAGGATGCATCTGCCAATGCTTCAGTATGTGTATGTGTTTATTATATTCTCCATGGCATGTTCTTAGGAAGGAAAAGGCAATGATGTAAAAATGCCATGTTCTTAGGAAGGAAAAGGCAATGATGTAAAAATGCCATATCACTTGAAATCATGATCTTATTGAACCCAGGTGGAACTCTACTATACCTAGCCCCTAGAAATGCAGAAGATACTCTGTTTGTCTAAATGTATTGTTTAGTATATTTTTGAAAGTACCTTAGGAAAATGCTATGTTCTTAGGAAGGAAAGGGTAATGATGTAAAAATGCCATTCATAGGTTTATATCACTTGAAATCATGACCTTCCAGGTGCAAGTTGCACTAATTGCTCCCCATATTGTAAGTATTACATTCAAATGTTGTATTATTGATTTCATTTATTAAAGATGGCACCATCATCAAGTCTCATATATGTATCTCATATCAGTTGTACACCCCTCAAAGTTAACAATGCAAATTCAAATTGTAGTTCTAAAATATTCTTGCCTTAGTCACACAATATGTACTTATATTTTAGCATCTAATAATTAAATGGGTCCTTTATTTTAGTATTACCAAAATTGATTCTCTGTTGATGATAAATTTTTGTCAAGGATTTATTTCACCACAGGATTCCACAGAATAGTGAGACACCCTGTATAAGTGACCGTCTTATTTTATTTCCTAATCTCTCATATGAATTGATATAATGTTCTTACATTTTTTGTCATTCTGCCTATTAAGATTGGAGCGACCATGCCTGGGATTGTTGCTATGGTGTTTGTTATTCCAAACAATGTTCCGGCAAACCTGAAAAATATTTCTTGTATTAAAAGAATGTATTGACATTGTTCTACCTATATGGTGGAATTTGAAATGATTTGATAAGGGTTCATACTTTGAAGAGGCATTCATGATCCAAAAGAGCTTTAAAATAGAATATTAATAATATACAGTGAAGCTTGTCTTATTGTAGCTAAGTAAGTGTTTACATTGAAAGGTGTTCAGATTAGAGAATTGTTCGGATATACAGGTTTTATTGTTTTGACCTTAGATTTCTTATGATCTTTAAATATGACCTTGACCTTCTCTGCCCAAATATGGTCATATATAGGTCAAATGTCAATATAGTTCAGTCATGAAGAAGTACATACAAAACCATAGAAATGGTGATATACTGTAGTAAGGACATAAAAATGCAGTTACCACCATTTTAAATAGCTTAATTTTCCCTCTTTAAAAAAGAGAGGATACACAATACACATGTATGGATACACATATACACGTACTGTACTAGGTTCTGACCCTAAAGGTAAGTAAACACTGACCTTGGAGCAATGTCAACATGGTTCACTTGGTATCCTGATCGCACTGGTCCAGTGAACAGTGTAGCAAACATCATCAGAAACATGGCCAGGTAAAAGTTGTTGTAATCTAGGAAACTTAACCAGATTGTGAAAACTGATGGTAACAATGTCCCTATAAATAAAAGATGTACATGTACATACTGTCATGACTAGGCTTCTCAAAATAGTAATAAATAAGAAGCATTGGAAAATCACAAGATTATTATTTGAATTGGTTCTATAAATTTGATAACTTACCCATGACCTTATAGTATTTACTGATAATTTTGCATTTCTAAAGAAATAATATTTATATGTCAAAGCATATACTAGTAACTAGTATAATAAATAGTCTGATAGTTTACCGAAAATCTGGAATAATTTCCGTACTCCTGATGTAGACCAGGTGCCACTCTGCCTTAAGGAATCAGCCAATTGCCCAGATATGACCGTACTAGATATACCAACCACCACACCAACACCCGATATCAAACCATTCTGAAATCATAGCAGTTATAAGTGGACAGGACTCCTTGATACATTAAGAAGGGCCAGTTAACTTGCAAAGAATCTTTGTTGTGTACCAGCATATTTATGTACGAGGGGTGATCCAAAAGTCTTGGACGCCCCGCTCTAACTTTGCTATTTTCTAATATAATTACATGAAACTTTCAGATAATAAGGATCAACATCTTAACAACTTTGTGTATAAGTTTCAACAGAAAATAATATAATTTAGCTACTTTTCTAAATAGTTTTTGATACCGGGTCCCTGCCACTGTTTTAATATGGCAAATACTTGAAGTGCAGATGTAAAACCTAACACCAGTCATGATATGAGAGAATTTCCGATTTTCAGTCTGAGTGTCATCTGCTATCATCATCTTCACATATTAAAACCTACTTTTTTTTTTTTTTCCACGAATTTGAACACATTATTCATACCGCTTTACCAAGGAATGAAAGTCATTTATGAAACCGTCATTGCTTATGTGATACAAATGCTGCTGGAGTGCCACTCTAAACCTCATCCAATGAGTAAAAACATTTTCTTTCAACCCTCCTTTCAACTAGGAGAAAAAGAAGAAAATCACATGGAGCCATATCTAGACTGTATCGTGCATATGGTAGCTGCTCAAGGTCAATAATAGTGAAACTTTAATGTCGTATTCTTTGTTCCACTTTGATTTCTTTCATGTTCTGACTTTCAGCAGCCATCTTGGAGAAAAAATGATACCAGAATGAGGGTTGATTTTCTGATGACAATTTTTTAGAACTTGACATATACGGCCATTGTTATATGTGATATTATAATAAAAACACAATTAATTGGTTGCCTGATAACAAAGAGAGTAAACTAATATGGTTTAACATTCAAAATTTAAGGAAAGATAGTGGTCAAGACTTGCAAACCGAGTCAAATAGCGGCAACATTTAAGGCTAAAAGTTGCCATGTGCGAATACCGTTCCGGGTGGCAGGGTCACTATATTAATAACTATTGAGAAAACTACATAAAATATATCATTTCACCATGAAATTAATACACAAAGTAGTTAGGTTGTTGGTCTGTATTATTGGAAAGTTTAAAGATATTTTATCAAAAACCAACAAAATTAGAGCAGGGCGTCCAAGACTTTTGGATCACCCCTCGTATGAATGCACATAAAATAACACAGCACTTCTTCAAGGTCTTCCATGATTAAGTGCAAAAATAAAACCATAATATGGGATATATAAGTACTACCCAAGATTTATTGCTCACCTTCGATGGTGGTTAACAGCAATGAACAACAATAAACAATGGAACACAATAAGAAGCAATGGGTAGATGTACATGTATGAATATTTTACATCTTAATCACTCGAAAGGAATATCTCTGCATCGAGTTATTTACAAGTTCAGTCAGAATTTTATCAACGCTACATATAAATGGTGATTTCTCATCACCTGTTTGTGAAAATATGATTTCCATGTTTGTAGATTCTCCAGAGAGCCCATGTTTGAGACAGTATCAAACCATTGAGAAAAAAAATTTGGCCAAAATCTAATTTCATTTTGGTTTGTATCCCATACCATAGTATTACAGTAACATGTAACAATGGAGAATTTATCCTTGCACGATAAAAAGCAATTTTTCAGTTTTGTCTTATTTTATAAGAAAGAGTCGCAGTGAAGGAGACAAAGAGTTACTCACTGCGCCAGGCTCAACTTTGAAGACATCTTTGGAGTATGTAGGTCCGCTTGTTGTCATGGCATGAACGACCCAGTTAGCACAGACATGGCAGAGTAAGAGTCCCCATAATGCTTGCGATTGGAGGATATCTACCCATGGTACTGTTAATGTCTGCAATGTAGATAATATGTTCATATAGGGCTAAGTAGTGTAGACATAACAAATAAAGAGAGTCCATAATGTTTGGAAAAAGCAATGAAAATATGTATGCTTAACCACAAATTATAATAGGATTCAATATTCAAAAACTATAACATGTGATATTTGCCAAGAAATGTGTGTTTTGCATTCTGAAAATATTTTGCTATCAAAGAGAATATCAAATTACAAGTTGGCTACACCTTAATAAATGAAAAGTTTGAACAGTACTCATGCAAATATTTATTGTGAAATGTCATTTCATGGCTGGACCAAATAAACAAGGCATTAACATGCAAAATGTCACCACCTGCCATTTGTTACAGATGCGGAATACTGCGCACCAACCACCAAATTACAACAACTGAACCCAGTCCACAAAAAGGTTGGAGACTATAACTTGTGGTGGTAACATCAGGAAACATTATGTACCAAGATATGTACCTCTGTTTTCTTGCTTGTGACTCCAGCTTTGATGTGTTTAAGTTCTTGCTGTGATATAGTGGGATGTTCATCTGGGGAGTCATATACATTCTGGTACCAAAGGTACAACCAAAAGAATGTCAACCCACCTGAAAAAAATAGGCAAAATTTTATCTTTATAACACATGTGAAATAGTTCTGATCAATTCATAGAGCAATTATTCAAGGCTGTTGTACAAATCTGTCAATTTATTGTGCTAAAAGATTAAAACAAAAAACAAAATATCTAGATTCAAGACAAAACTGGATTTGAACTCATGCCGTTTTATTAACTACCTCCAAAACATTGATATTCAATATTCATCTAATCTGATAATATATTACAGAATAGTATTACAGAATAATTTATTTCAAAATGATGAATCAAAAAACATATTCTAAAGAGAATGAAGAGGAGGGAGTGGACTATAATACAGGATCAAGGTAAATGGCAGGGGTGGTATTGAATTGGGATCTCCTTCAGGAGACAATGGGATACTGTTGCTGTTGCTACTTAAATGGGGCTTCACCTAAACAAACCAACCAACCATACTAATTTGTTAGCCATAGTGTTCCATATGTATACCTGGCATATAGAAGGTAAGGGGCCATAGGCTGCTGTCTATCTGGCAAAGTGCCCCTGATACTGTCAGTCCAAGCAGTGCACCAAGACCTCCCCCTGAAATTAGAGATGTCCTCCCTGTAGTTTTGCTCATGTAAAGTTAGACAGTGTACAAGACAATCAACTCCCGCAACAGTTCCTTTGTTAGTAAAATTTTGTTTGATTCATCATGAACAAGTTTTATCATGATGACATGGCATTTTCTTCCTTTTAAATGTTTCTTCAGTGTTAACATTTCTGCCTACTCCAGATAAAAACTATAATAGATAACAGAAGGCATGATATCGACAAACATAATGGTAATAACAATTGCAAATAAAAAAGTACCTGAATTTGTGAAAAGAATCAACTTGGTTCTTTCATACACTGGTGCCCAGCGACCCCAGAATGAGTGAAAAGCGGGAAATGAACAACCCTGAAAAAGAAGTTCATACAGAGGGGGCCAACTATGTCTCTAGGCTTTCAAAATAAATATAATGTATTAATGATTATATTATGCAAAAAAGGCATTAACTTGCCATTTGTTATAGACACCGAATGCAACCACCAAGCTCCAAACACTGTCCAGAAAAAAGTTGAAGACTATAACAATATCTTGGTGGCAATATAATAAAACTTTAACTTAACAAAAAAGCTCCTGCAGATCCAGAAACTCACTTAATTTGGATCATCAAAATGGTAATACATAATATGAGTTCAAAATATTATCAGTAATTGACTTTTTTAAACACAATAGATGCTCACTGCCCATTGAATCACGGAGGATAAGCAAAACGAGGGTGAAGCCACGGACTGCGACTCGCGTAACTTTACACCGCAGCCCAGCGCCAAAATGGAGGGACATCCGGCAGTGCCTTCTGCTTCTTCCGACAAAATAGAGAAATCCAGGTATTTTAAATGCTATCGTAGTGTCTAATCGGTGACCAAAATATTACTCTGTATCTACTGTTGGTCTGTAGATAAGAAAATAAGCAGTTGTCCAGATCAAGCTAAAACAGTAGCAAAGTTCTGATTTTACCTGTTAAATATGTGCATATTATTTAATTTACTATACATTTGAAAGGAATTTTAACACGTTTCTGATATCTAAAGGTTAGTTGAGGCTCCGAGTATAATTCGTGAAAATGATTTGATCAATAGAATGTGTTCATGAGGAGAAAATTAGATTCAAACTGCGCATTCATAGTGGACGCAGTCCAGTAAACAAAGCTATTTCAACAACGCAACACAGCCTCCATTGATATTCTAAGTAACGCAGTCCAGCCGCGAACACGAAATAAATAAGATAGTGTAAACTATATTCCTACGCTATTATTGTTTCAGGAAAAGAAAGTCAGCATCCAGATTATCATTCAAAGTTACGTTGATTAACATATATCTATTACCTGAATCAATGTCCCAAATTGCTATATTGTATCGTTTAAGACCTAGAAATATGGCAATTCAATGCGTATTTGGCAGAACAGTCGAGCGCAAGATGACAACGTAATATGTTTATTACAAACTAATTTGTGGATAGGGTTAAATATATAGATAATTGGATAGTGGTGAGACTTTTTATAAGAAGTAGAAATGCGAAACAATTAACTTTTTGATGATGCAATAAAAGCTGTTTGGGAAGGGTACATTAACTAGTATTTAAGATATCAGGGAAATATCAAATAATTGGAGAGTTGGTGAGTTAATGTAATTTTGGATGATCTTTCCAACAGTCCATCAATATTGCTAGCTACCATAAATTCATGATTTCAGCTGTATTGGACAGCTTGCATATATTTGCAGAATGGATTGAGACACGATGTAGGTCTATTAAAATAGCCCTTTATATTCAATTTTGTCCAAAGTTGCTCCATTTCAGCCACACCTGTACACACATTGTGCTATCTACCTTTGGCTGTAATTGCGTTCAGCTTCAGATATAAAGCAACACTGAGTCGCGGACTGCGTTGGGCAGATGGATGGACTGCGACTATTATAAATTCCAATTTTCTATGTAATTGTACGTTTTCCGCTTACCAAATATCACACGAAGATGTAATTGTAACAACAGAACATAAATAATTATATTAATTGGATGTCATTTCTGATTCCTTTGTTTAAATCGGTATATTAGGGACAAATATTGACAAAATTACATTTTTTTGTGGCAGATTTCGAATTCATTTGTGTTCATGCTAAACTATTGGACAGCCGAGCACCAAGAATGCCATTGCAGGTGGAGTGTGAATATGTTGATCACCGACTGGAACATACTAGCTATTCTGTAGAATATCCAAACCAATAATCTACCCCAAATCCTAACATGCCTTCCAAATTAAGTTTGGACTTACCGCCATTGTTCAGCTATAATGCGTTGTAACCTCATTTTGAATTACGCGAGTCGCAGTCCGTGGCTTCGCCCTAGTTTTGCTTATCCCCCGTGTGATTTATATTTCTCCTATGATCATTCAAGTGAACTAAAATAATGTTCTCTTCTATATCTTACTGTGGAGAGTCCAACGATAAACCGCAGCACCATGACCATATAAGGTCCCCCTAGGCGAGCACCCATGGGAGTCATCACTGTAGCTATTGCACAAACAAACAATGAACAGCCAAATATGCGCTTTGTGCCAACTTTATCTGAAAGCCAGCCACCTGGGATCTGAGTTATTATGTAGCCATAAAAGTACGCCCCAAGAATCCAGCCTTGTGTTTCCTTGTCCCAGTCAAATTCACCATTCTAAAAAACAAGTACAATACATTAGAAAATACGTAGAAAATACATAGAAAATACAGATCATAAAATCTGGTGGGAATATTTTCACCTTTACTGGATTATCACTATCAATTAGGGTAATAATCTAAATGACTTAACTATAAATAATTAAAAATGAAATGGATAACACATCTCAGTGCATATTTACATACTTTTGTAAACTACTTAGTTCAAAATCAATTTATTTCAATGAAATTAACATGTCTTATGATTTTAGGTCTCTGAGAGAAATGATAAATTGCGAAGACCTTTGATTTCCTAAATATATTGTAAACAAACTATGATAAGTAATCATAATCTTGCGAATTACAAGTATCTCAGTGGGAACAAGACATCGTAACATACAAAATGTCACCACCTGCCATTTGTTACAGATACTGAGTGCCAACTGGCAGACACCAAACACTGTCCACAAAAAGTTGGAGACTATAACAATATGTCAACACTCGTGATGGCGACATATGATTGGAGAAACCTTACATAGCAGAGCTGCAAAATATTAAACCATTCAGATCTGATTCCATACCTGACCCTCCTTACTGTTGACCATACATATGATAGACATGCTGATATTCACTCTCATAGCAATCATCACAAGGAAGCCTATGAAGCCCATATAGGCCTGCATCATACGACATGATCTCCAGATGTTCTCTAAAACATAAGAAGGATATGGTCAGTCTTTCTCTTGAAAATGTCCTTACTCCAATGGGTGGAGGGGAGCCTTTAACATTTACATAACATCTCAAAGGTTGAAGTTGGAGGAAATGCAGAACCAAAAATTAATAAAGGACTACTATACAATACCATTTATAATATACCCTTGAAATGACCAGGCAATCTGGTTGTATTACATGACGGACAGTTGCTAAAAGTACTATATAACTGAGTTCCTATAAGATATACCTTCCCATTGAATCTTAAAAGTTGCTTACTCATTATGACATGACCATTTCACATACATACCTGGTTTGTCAAGTGACTTCATTGTCTTTCAGTATGTATGGGTCAGTCAGGTGTCCTTTGGCTGTGTGGTTGTGTGGAGGTGGTACATGTAGACTGGATGAGCCTGTTGCAATCAACATATGAGCTGGGCCTCTCTCAGTGGCACTGGAACCAACAGCCTGGAATTATCCTTAGAAGTATAAATTTACTACAGGTACATGTGGGTATAAAAAAAAACAGGCTAAGAAGTACTTGAATTTTGGCAGCTTTGCATAAATCCTGATTTTATCTCATACATAACTTCAGCAAGAAATTGTAAAATGTCCTTGTGTTGTTAATTTGTTATATAGTTTTTTTCCATTTTATATCCAATGTCATTTTGCAAGTCACTGTCAGTTTTAAGGTAGTTCAACACTCTCAACAAACAAATCAAAAAAGAACTTGTGAAAATGACATTGAACATGATATATGTTGTCATTGATCTAGATTTTCTATAATAATATGTGAATATCCACATAAAATTTTGAAAGTAATACTCATTTCATTAAGTACTGTATGTTACGAACTGAAGTAAGTTAAGTAACTGTAATCATTAAAATCACATGTAAATACTCAAATGACTCTAAATGTACCTTTTATCTGTATGTACTGATATATGCAGTACTGATTCTCCAATATCTAGTACTATGTAGACTAGAAATAATATGATGTCAGAAGTGAATCATTAATAAAATATTAACAAAATACATCTACATGTATGTATAAGTTAATATAAGTGACAGTAAACTGCTTAACACTTTACTTACCATTTTAATGGTGGAAATATTTAACCCTGGATATTCAATTAAGTGTAGTGGTCTAGTTCATTTGTGTTTGTGTTATATTTCTTGTAAGGACTGCTGCATGTATGCCAACATAAGGATAAAAACTAAACATTTACTACAACTTACAGACTCTTTACTACTTCACACTCTTTACAGCAACAATATCATGTATTTACATTTTCATAGGACAACATATTTTAAGTCTGGAAGCTAAGCATCATATCATGCAAAGTCCTGAGTTACAAGAATTGATTCACTCACAGGGTAATTCATAAGGACATTGAGTGGTTTTAAAAAGGTTTATGAACCTAACCGTTTATACTTTTAGCTTTTTTGACGTTCACTTTATGCAAAACAAACTCAGAAAAGCCACTTGTGGATGTGTGAATGTACAGTAAAACCTGTTTAATCTGAATGTTATTGGGACCAGCTAAAAGCAATCAGACTTGGTGGTGTTGACATTTTGAGCGTTCTTTATTCACAAGATTCTGGATTTTGAAAAAATGTGTACATATTCTCAATAGATATTTATAGTCTATTGACCACATAGTTTTATGGGATTTCAAAAAATTGAAAATCTGATTCAAATGAATTTATTAGTAATTTTCGTAAGAAAATTTTGACTGAGACTATTCAAATAAAGTTTTTTTCAAAAGTTGGGATAAAAACAGTGATTAACAGTGGCGTAGCCAGGAAGGAAAAAGCGACGAGGCAGCTGCCTCATTTGCCTCAACGTAGCTATGACTTGATTAATAGGAAATATTTCAGCAATTTTGTACGAAAAGTGAGATATTTTATGAACAGTGTTCATATTAGACAGGTTGATCTTTCAAATATAACTGTTCACTGTTCAAATTAGAACAATGTGTTAAGATTTAAAGGAAAAGGGGACTGAAAATAAGTGTTCAAATTGGGATTAGGTGTTCAAATATACAGGTTTACTGTATTATTAGTTATAGAAGTACAGGTTTAATTGAACATTAGTTAATTCTTTCTCAAATAAATAAAATTGGCTCATTTTTTCAAAATCATTACGCATTACTTATTATACATTTATTTCAGGAAAAATTGAAATTCTTATTTTCTTTAAAGATTCTACAAAGACTGAGAGTAAATTACAGATAATAACAACAAACCCACATAGTAGTTATGCCTACAATCTTTCAGAGGAAGACTGACTCTGCTAAATTAATCAAAACAGATGTACAGAACAGAACAGAAAAGAACATTTTCCTTCATCTTATTTACAATTAATGCTTAAACATAAAACATTCATTTTCTCTTGTTTATATCTACAAAATAGTAATGACATCTTGTTGTCATTTTTTGCATTTTAAACCTGACTAAAACATGGAATGTGTTACATTGAGTATGTTACATTATTTGAAAAAATGTATTTTTTAAAATACTGATAGGAAACATGAACAAACTATGGAAATATAAATAAATATATAAAAACATGAAAATGTACAATATAAATGAATAAAACAAATATCAATGTCCAGCTCAAATAGGATTAACCTCTTGAATCCCAGGCACTGAAATCGGTTGAAACCAGAGAATTTTTCAGTTTTGCCACCTTTTGACATTTTGCTCCATACCTATACAACTTTAGATGCTCAGAAAATCATGTCAGTGATCATTTCTACACATTTCAAAACAATTTTTGTGTAAATTGGATGAAAATTGTTCAAATAAGAGCAATTTTAGTGAAAAATTTTCTGACAGATTTTCTTGTCACTCTTGGTTTCAGGGTCATTTCTGAAGTCACTCCAGGTAGTCAAGAGGTTAACAAACTTAAAAATCATTTTTACAAGAAAGTCACAAAATCCATTAAATATAAATAATATTTAAATTGTAAGAAGGTATCATTATCAGTGTTCATTGTCAAATCATTGTCCCGTTCTCTAAATGAAATTTCACATGGGTGTAAAATATATCAATAACTATAATAGTAATCAATAAAAGCAAATCATTATGCCCTATCCTACCAAACTATGAACTCGACATAATAAAGTACATGTACAGAGTGTGCCAAAAAACACCCATCACTATCTCTAATTTTGCTATAACATTTTTGAAATTGTATGGATTTCAATAATATTATTGCAGGGGATTCAGCAATTGCTGCTTATAATACATAATTGATCCTGAAATGATTTCATTAAATTGTATATCTGAAGCAGTGTTTTTGAATGAAAAAGGTTAACATACAATATGTGAATGCAATCACAAGGTTTCAAGGTAATATTAAGCAAATATTTAATTCTATTGAGGGGAATGGCTGTGCATCTTTCAAAAGTGATATTCCATGATACCCTGAAGGGTCTAAAAGGCTTGACCAAGTCATGACTGGTGAATACCATTTGTTATAACATACCTATGATGATGTATGGTGCAAAGTGTACACAAGACAGCGGGGCAATATAAGTTTTGAAAAGCCCGTGCCCGCTAATTTTCTGATTGGTCAAGGCGCTGACGTCATAACCAATCAATCGAAAATAAAACTGCTCGAGCAATTTTTCTTAACTCATTTCAATCATTTTCAAACCATTTGTTTGTCAATTCTATAAGAAAACGGTACTCTCTGACCAGTCTACATCATCATAGGTATGTTATAAATCGTTTATGTCACTATCGTGGCACATATGCCCTCGGTTCTCAGAGATCAATGTCCCTCCCAAGGTCGGGCCATATATCACTGAGACCTCGGGCATATATGCCACGATAGTGACATAACCTCTAATTATTATATCACTGTCATATTCCTCGCTCTGATTGCTCCATGTCCTTTACGTAACTAAAAATAACACGTGATATTCAAAGGAAGTCATGTGACATCCGTTGAAGACTATAACGGTATGTGCCACCACTTGTGTGGGTGACATAAAAAAGAACTGATAGGCAAAGTTAAGGACATTTATGGAAATTTTTGGCCCACCCTGTTCATACAAAAGTATACAGTACAGTTTATATGCATTCTTTATTCATCATCCTGTACCCTCAAAAAATCTTTGAATATTGGGCGTATGAATGTATCTACCATAGTTCCTATTATAGAACTTCTGCGTCTCTTTTTATCCTTGCGGGGAGATGTATTTCCTGAAGTGGGACTTGCTAGATTCTGTAGTTTCATGTTCTCCTGTATTTCCTCTTGTTCAATGATATGCCTATCAGGAGGATTGTGCTCCACCTCTCTGTGTGATGAACCAGGACTGGTGAATACACCATCAAATAAATTGACATCTCCTGGACTGGGACCACCTGTCTTGACTGACTGTTGATGGTGCAGCCTCTTTCGTCTCTTGGTCAGACCAGAGTTAATAACTGGAAGTAAATATAAATCTCCGATTGATCTGTTTTTCATTTTGCGGAAATGGTAGTGCCCTGACATGACAGATTCATGGAATCACGAAATAATCAGTTTAACTTAATGTCTCCAAAGCTATATAATAAGGGGTATTTTGTTCTTTTTAAATAAATATACGTTAATTCACCTTCCGACTTATAATGTTAAACAAAGTCGGCTTTTGAAAATTTTCTTTTAATATATACTATTGTATTGAATAAAAAAACATGATAAATAAAAAAATCTATATAAGGGGTTGTAGGTGACTGCGCTTTAAAGCGCATCTGGGAGGATAAGGGTTAACTTTTTCTATGAAAAAAGTTCATGCATGGCATGGAATATTATTAAAACTTTTCTTACCACTTGTTTTCTTGGATCTGGTGAAGTATCTCTCACTCCTCTCTGGTGCTCTAGTTATGAGCCTCCTCACTGGTCTGCTGATTGATGTTGCAGATTGGGGAATGGCACCATTTTCACTAGATTGTCCAACTGTATTTGCATTATTATTTGAAGTGTTAAGATCTGACAGTGATTCTTCATATTCAGTCCTTGAGATTACAGTGAGAATGTGAACATAAGGATTGTGCTTCACAGTTTTGCCCCCTTTCTTGAATTTCAGCTTTTTACCAGCTTTCCAGGGTAACTTATCGCAGTTTATGAAGAAATGTTTGGTTTTTATTGGAAATTGGTCCCCCTTTGTACACAGTAAAGCTTGTATAACTCTCTGTACTTCACTGTTCAGTTCAGTCCGCGAGCATGGTAACTTTATGTTTTGTATGTCCCTTGAGCGGTATTGGATCTTGAGCTTATACAGCATCCCCCTGTGCTGAATCAGACGAGTATCAACATTCTCTGGGATGGTGAACATTTTCAAAGACATCTTGTTTCACTGAAAAATAAAACAACAGTTGATTTGAAGACAGAATTCTATGCCAAGGGGTGATGTGAGGAAGTCAATCCACTTAAATTGAAAATTCCTTCTCAATTTGGTAAACCTATGAAATTTGAATCAAATCAGTCAACCAGTATTTGAGTTATCACCAGGACAAAGGAGTGGATGGACAGCTTCTCTATATCCCTACTAAAATCTTTGTTCAGTGGGATAATTTACAAAGAAGCTCTAAGTAAAAAGTCAACTTACTATAGTCAACAATCAATTACAATTAGATACAGTATACATTTAATGGTGTCTCCTAAGCCGATGCCGGCTGATGTTTTTTTTTAAAAAAGTACTTATTATACGTAATGAAATGTAGTTTTAACCTGCGACACTAAAATAAAATATTTGAAACTTTAAACTAAAACTAACAAACAATCACAGACATTACAGAAGCCCTTCTTTGCTATCTCAAGAACACAAAAGATTCTAATGACTAAATAACTAAACAAAAAATAACTAAAGATAATAATTATAGGATATCCTATGATATTGAGGAATATCATTTTTATCTACGAGGTGATATTGATATCTGCACGAGAGAGCAAAGCGAACGAGTGCATATATCAATATCACCGAGTAGATTAAAATGATATTCTGAAAAAATCATAGGATGTTCTTATTATCCTACACTTACAAGGATTGTACTAAATGTATAATATCATTGCAAAATGAATCTCATGCCAAATAGAGTCATTTTGGCGGGAAATCGACAAGCGGAGTATATCGTCACAATATCCTCCGCATATTGGGTTTTCCGGAGTATATCGTCACGATATCCTCCGCCCGGAGTATATCGTAACGATATCCTCCGGTTATTCATTTTGCCAATAAATATCAAATTTATTTTTTAATGTTATTATACATTTAGTACACTAAGTGTAGGATAATTACTCGGTAAAAGCATGATTAGAGCCATACTGGTAACAAGCAGGAGATGGTGCCACAACATAATTTCACAGTATTAAAATACCTGAAACAAATATATAAATCTTTCAAGAGCTCTGATGAAAATGGAATCTGCTATCAACATGTTGAAGGCCAAGATTGACAACAGTATCAATTTGTCAGAATGTGTTACATAACTCAAAAAAATCAATATTTCAAAACTCTAACCTAACTTCCAATAAAAAAAGATAAAAAAATTGTCAACCCTAAGCAATCCCTCATATTGTTGTTTACAGTTTTGTAATAAGCTGATAAGATTCATTTAAAAATAATTTTTAACACAATTGTAATTCTTATCAAAATAGGGCAATAAAATCAATACTTGTATAATCAAATTAAATAACTTACCATTTTTGAATCTGAAATCTTCAGATGTGCTCCCACCAATACTTCATTCAGATGTAAAAGGAGATAACATAAGAATACTAAATGAGGGAAAAGCTGATAAAAAATATGTGTCTATACCACAAGTGATAATTATGAGTGAAATTTAGTACCTAGATGAAAACTTAAGTACACAGCATTCAGACTCAATTATCAGAAGCAAATTGATGACGATTGATCGAATAAATTCAAAAATTTCAAAAGAAATATAAGCTTCTTAAACTAACCATTTGATGCATTATTATGCTCCAAACCGGGAATGTTTTACAAAATTTGGATAAACTAAAATAAGGCTGAACCGGTACTTCCAGTTTTGATTGGCAGAAAAATCTAAATTAAACATTTTAACAAAGATACTGCTATAAATAAAGAAAATGTATTACATGTATTTGTGAAAGAAGTGAGCTGAAGTCCGACTCAAGTCAAAATCAGAATTGACAACTCAAAACAAATGAGTATTCGAGTTGGCGATGTATCGTACCACCACTATTATCTCGCTCATGGTGAAGCTGATGAGGCTGATTTTTCAAATCACCCCCAGGCCCCACAACTATTTGTGCATTGAAATCTTGGGGTTTAAAACGTTGCAAGTAGTTTACTAGAAACTGAATTTTATCTAAATAACCATTAATCCAACTTTTTTTCAACCCCACAATTTCAACACACAAGTAGCTGTGGGGGTGATTTGAAAAATCAGCTCCATATATATGGGGTAGGAATGAACTTCTGCAAGATACCTCTTCTTGGTGTCTAGGCTCAATGAATATACTCAAGGACAAGACACAAAATCTTCGGAAAAATATTTCCTTGATTTTGGAGTCAGTTTATCAATAAATATCACATGTCATACCTCAAACGATGCATACTGTTGTTAGCTTCATCTCCAATCACTAAAGCCACACATTCAAGAAAGCGTCTGTTGATAAAAGCATCAAATGTCTTTCTGAGAATGTGACGATACTCCGGATGACGTCACATCAGAGATTACAGAGAAATACGTTTCTTAAACTCCTGTAGAAACAATAACAACAGTTTGTAACACGATCCTTTATTTTCATTGGCTGTTTGTTGCGATGTTACGTAATTTGAGAAACGAACAACATCGGACAATGCCAAAAATTACTCCATTATATTTACGCTCTGAAAATTTGAAGTAATTCTCCTGGGAAAACTTGATTTACAGCTCCAATAATTGATATCATGTAACCATTCAAACTAGAGTCCATTTCACTGCTTCATTTCGTCAGTAGAATGGCAAAAATAAGAAATTGGGAGACCATTGTGCAATAGTATATGGAAAAGTATATTCACAATGTACATAAATGACATTTGTATATCTTGGATTGCTTCTAGTTTGGCTTATAAAGTGCGTGGCCTCTTATATTTGGATGTTTCTCTGCCATGTTATTTTCAATAAGATTAACATGGCTGAAATTCTTCAAATTACAAGACGGCACAGGCTTATTGCACAAAAAACTAAAAAATCTGAAATATACAAATGTCATTCATGTACATTATGAATATACTTTTCCATATATTATTGCACAATGGTCTCCCAATTTCTTATTTTTGCCGTTCTACTGACGAAATGAAGCAGTGAAATGGACTCTAATACACGAGGTAAATATAAGAGGTAAATATTGATCATGTTTCATATTTTTTGGTAGTCATTTTTTGGATGTACCATTTTTGGTTTGTGTCCAATCTTCATATTTATTCATTGAGCCTACTTCAAATAGGGGCTGGGTGTGACTCCGGATCTGTGGGGGGATGAACTTCAAGTTGAATTGAAGTTCAAAAATAAAAAAAAATCCGGAAACGTAATTTCTTTATCTTCATTTCTTTGAACCTCAAACACAAATAATTGAAACAAAAGATATGTACCTGAGATTAGTTTCTATTTTGGAGTACGAATCTCGTGTCTATGATGTATTTTTAGCCAAATATGAACGTTTTAGTACAAATTTGTCATTTTTAAATTTCCGCAAAAAGTTGCTTATAGTCTCGCAGCATATCGTAATTTTTGAATCGAAAAAATCAGATCTGAGAAAAAGCATACAAAGATCACATCCTTATAATAACCTATAGTTCTAATAATAAAATGAAAAAATTAAGTATACCCAGAGAATGCATATGATAATTAAATATTTAAAAGTTCATCGAGACTAAGTAGTCTAATAGTGTCGCCATCTATCATAAGTGAGCGATAATAAAGTTAAAAATATTGTTCCTTGTCTAATGTTCAACCTTATTGTGGATTAATCGTGTGTTACTTTAAGTTGCATATGTCATGTGATGTAGTAAGTATATACATTGGCTTATAGTCCAGAATATGACAGAATTTTAGTTGTATGTCGCCAAAATAGATAAAGATATAAGAGAACAAAAGTTGAAAAGTAAAGATAATTTTTCATTTTTTCAATGCCACCAATGCAATGTTATGGCTTATTTTTCACTTACAAGATCACAGAGGCTGAGATAATCTAATATGAAAAATTAGTCATGTTACTTTCATCTGTAGAGCTCTGATTGTTTCAAAATTTCATAGTTCAGTTTTTGTTTTTAAGGTTCAGCTGGAAAGTAACATTTTGGTAATAAATTGCTATACCTGCCCATGTTATTTTCTGGTACAAAATTAAGTATGAAGGCATGTGTGTATTGCCTTGGTTTTTTCAGGAAAGCATCATTACACTGTCTTCTTTTAGAATATCTAGAAACAGGTCAATGGTAGCTCCTGTGTTGTCTGGAAACTTTGAAAGAAAATATGGAAAAATAGAAAGTGTGAAATATCAGAATTTCCTGTAGTTCCCATTAAACGCCTACCAGATATTCTAAAATAAGACAATGTAATGATACTTTCCTGAAAAAAGCAAGGAAATTGACACGTGCCTTCATACTTTATTTTGTACCAGAAAATAACATGTGCAGGTATAGCAATTTTTTACCAAAATGTTACTTTCCAGCTGTACCTTAACATTTGCGTTCTATTTCACACGGGATGTCATCGCCTGATTTGGTCAATGTTAGGGAGCAGGTCGTTTTTACAATAAATTTCAATATTTTCACACAAAATATTTTTTTACTGAAAAACTGCTCATTCGCAGAGAAAATGTACTAGCACATGCAATGACAATGTCAATCACGCTTCTGTACTAAATTCGGCGGAAGTCTTTTATAATCTAATACGAAGTTACTAAAAAAGGCGCGAACGCCCTACACTCAAAATGATCGTTTTTCCATTATAACTTTTTAACGTAATTTAACGAAGGCTTCTAATTATTATCCAAGATAGTCTAAATACCGATTAAAATATTTCTTACTTCAAACAGATACGCCGTCTTTTATTCAATTTTTTAAAAAATAATAAAAAATAACTCTTGTCAATGTTAGGGAGCAGTCAATGTTAGGGAGCAAAATGATTTTATCAGAATATTAAAAATGTAGCAAATGGCCATTTAAAATATGTATGGCATTTATAAACTGAACAATTTTGTTTGTATGATTATTTGATACCCTTTGGGGAGGAAAGCGTTAAAATTGTAAGAAAATCATTGAAAAGGTTATTTTGCATTTTTTATTTTCAGCTAAATCCTGTTTACGTTCGTTTTAGAAATATTTAGATGCGAACCATTCCTTCTTTATTCGTTGACCTCTAACTGTAAATGAATGGATGTATCGTTATATACACTTTTTGATGATGTCATCAGTTCACAATCCTAAATTGTGGATGATAAATTATCTGAACTGATATATAGGCTTGAGAAATCTCCGACATCCTTCAGTTCTATGATTTGATATTTTCCTAGTATTAAAGTAAGAGAGTTAGTCTCGCACTTATCTTTACGACCGGGTATCACCTGATAGCTGGCACAAACGCTATGAAGGGCTCATTGCGCAGTTACATGTATGATAGTAGATTTTTACACGTATACTTCAATTTGTCAATACTCAGACAATGCAGTATATAACCGATCTCTGTTATATGTGTACCACTTGCTAATGATACTCTAAAGCCCGGTATACACCAATGGGACAAGTTGGGAAGAAGGGGATACAAAGAACAAACCTTCAAAATGCCTCAACCAAGAGGAGTAGCCCCTGGACAAAGACCGACAAAGACCGATTCGTACACACTATAAAACTGATTTCTCGAAAATAAAGGATTCAGTGAAAATTGGACTTGACATTTCAGATTAATTTGCAAATTAGTAATTGGTGAAAAAATAACACTTTGGAAAGAATTTTTAGTTGTTCAAGAGAAGTGACGGTATTTTTTCCTAATATTCAATTTTTGTGCTGCTTGCTGAGCTATACTTGAAAGACAATCAGCTCAATTTATGTCTATATTTGGGTTAAAATGTGTGAAGTCCCAAAATGTTTTATTATTCTAACATTTCTAAAATATGATTGGACAAAGTTTTAGACTTTCTTTAAGTGTTACCGGTCTATTTCAAAACAATAATTTATATACAAAGATGAGCTCATTTATTTAAATACAATATCATGAATAAAGGGAGATGTCATGTAATTATTGTATCTGGTTAAATTGTGTATATTGTGCTGAGCAATACTGTATGCTTGTAAGGTTTATACCAAGGGGTATAAAACAATCATACAATCTTGTCTAGTTTATAAATGACATACATGTTTGTAAAGGCCAATTACTCTGATATTCTGATAAAACCATTTCGCCCCACTGCATTGTTTGCTCCGCCACATTGATCATACTTATTTTTTATTATTTAAAAAAAATTAAAGAAAGGTGTACCTGTTTGAAGTAAGAAATATTTCAATATGTACTGAGATTATCCATGATAATAATTAACTTTCCTTCGTCAAAAATCTTTGAGAGTCCATTTTCTGAAGATAACAAAAATGCAAAACAATTTTTTTTATCGATTTTGTTAAATTTTGTTAAGGCAAGGGGTTTAAAATAATCATTCAAACAATATTGTTCAGTTTATAAATGCCATACATATTTTAAATGGCCATTTGCTACATTTTTAATATTCTGATAAAATCATTTTGCTCCCTAACATTGACTGCTCCCTAACATTGACAAGAGTTATTTTTTATTATTTTTTAAAAAATTGAATAAAAGACGGCGTATCTGTTTGAAGTAAGAAATATTTTAATCGGTATTTAGACTATCTTGGATAATAATTAGAAGCCTTCGTTAAATTATGTTAAAAAGTTATAATGGAAAAACGATCATTTTGAGTGTAGGGCGTTCGCGCCTTTTTTAGTAACTTCGTATTAGATTATAAAAGACTTCCGCCGAATTTCGTACAGAAGCGTGATTGACATTGTCATTGCATGTGCTAGTACATTTTCTCTGCGAATGAGCAGTTTTTCAGTAAAAAAATATTTTGTGTGAAAATATTGAAATTTATTGTAAAAACGACCTGCTCCCTAACATTGACCAAATCAGGCGATGACATCCCGTGTTTCAGTTGTTTTTCTGTTTTCGTCGCCCATCATTTATAACATGTAAACATTTTAACAAACAACAATATTTTCCTGAATTAAAAAGCCGACCAGAACAGATTTTAAACTGAATCGTAACGTCCGAGGCTAAAGAACCAAACTGCACCATGTTCATTGTGAACTGTCCAAGATTCATCATTTGGTTATACAAATTTTTATTTTTATTGAGAATTAGTCTTTACATGAATTAAATATTACTCAAAAATCTGTTAGCTAATTATAATTTGAATCTTAAACAGTAAAGAGAGAAAGATTAAACATTAATGTCAGATGTTCATGAATTTCAAATGCAGTATGTGATGAGAGGACAAGAAGGCAATGTTCTCAATCTAAATAATTGCTGGCTCTTTAGCACAGCCAGAGACAATGAGACATTGTTTGACAATTACCTATATGGACAACATTGTCTCCCTATACCAGAATTTTATAGTGATTACCTTGTCATATTAGCCATCATTTTTGCCCTCTTAGTTCAGCAATCTTGAACATATCCAAAACAAATTTCTTAATTTAGATGTTTTGCCTCTGTCTTTTATCACACTTTTTCAATGTTGTATTGTCATTATTTTGTGCTGATGGGCATGCATCTGATGGGGTGAGTGTTTGAGCGGGCTTCACAAAACTCTGTATGTAAATTTCAGGCAAACTGCTTTTTCTGTTCAACTTGAAATTTTTATAACATTTTAAATGAAATACTTATTATAGCAGTGTTGCTATATGAAGGTTAACAAAAGTTTTGTATAACAAAGCTGTAAAATTAAAGTTTAAGTAAAATCATAGTATGCCCATGGTAAAATTAATATTGTCCAGTTATTGTAATTACACCAGCATCACCAGTGGTTGGATTTTGATAAGTTCATAGATAAAAAGTAATGTATGAACCTAACAGATGATTTGATATGATTAAGGTGTGAATAGATGGCATTTTAAAAGCAATAATATAGTCCAGTTATTGTAATTACATGGAGGTTATACCCAAGAGCAGTATCTAGACAAAATAGACTAATCTCATGAGTTGGACATTTTTACAAATGAGAGATTTTTAATAGTTTTTTTTTCATTACTGGCTGATCTATTCTTCTGCTAGATCTTGTAGTCATCAAAATATAAACAGTTGTTCAGTTTTTTTAATTAAGATTCTTCTCATAGAGTAGACTAGGTTAAGCATTGTTTAGCCATCATGTCTGTACCAGAGCCTTTTAGTTCACTCTTAGTATGATTTTTGCAAGGTGAGATAGTCTCAGTCAGAATGTAATTTCTATTGTTTCATCTTATTAATAGGAAAAATAATTAGATAACATGAAAAATAATATTTTGCATAAAATGATCACTCTTGGGTAATAAAAATGTCAAATAGTTAGATAGAGTGAGTCCATATTTATAAGTACAGTGAGTGAATAATGATTATATTCATGAAACAAAAGAAGGTTTATCAAAAAAATCTACTGAAATAACATCCTCTAGCTACATAAGACTTAGGACTCATGTTTCATTCTTCTTGGAGTCCAAGGCTACTTATGTCTCTCATAATGTATAAACATTAATGGTATCTTTGTATTAGAAAACAACTACTGGTATGCCCAAAATGTAAGATGCGAATACCACAATCTGACCAATATTCTGCAAATATAGCGTGACTAGCTATGAAACACTTACAATATTTTGCACCAAAACAAGTCTATTCTTTTCACTATTTCTCATTGTAGAGTTTTGAAGAGCTTTTCGGTACCAAATAAACCTAGATAATCAACTTATTTTAATCTATACAAGCAGTCACTTTGTTCCGAACCATTCCTAAATTGTTCCTTTCCGAAGCAAAATATTCTGAATCAAACCGTTCCAATTTTTTTGTTGTTCCGTGACTCCTCTATTATGTACTATAGAAAAATGCTTGGGTGGGTACTACGTATATATTTAGGGAGAGCAGGGTTCTGTTTAACAGGTTTAAGAGATGAAGAGATGATACATGTATGAACATTGATGCTCTTGCAAGACTACCATCTTCCAAAATAACTGTTTTTGGAACCAAATATAAAGCTCAAAAGTTTCAAAAGAATCAGCGTGTACTTTTCATTTTGGTCAAAGCATTAACCTTCATTTATTTCCACCATTATAAAAAGCACTAACTGCAGTCACTGTCAACTGTAGTCAGACGTACATGTACAGTGATTGTGCCAGGAACCATAATGTAATTCTTGTATGTTTTCTCTATGGTTTATGATAATACCAAAACCTATTTTGTATATTTGATCTACCATAAATAGAGAACAATGGAAGGTATTGGCTTTGTTAACTCCATAATCCCATATACTTGAAGTCATTCTTCAAATATTCAACAACCAACAAAGTTTGTAAGTATTTTTGTTACATTGTTCTTCCGCTTGTTGTTAATATAGTTATCATCTTGAAATAAATAAATTGTTTATTTTAATGGTGCTTTGATTGATAAAGTTAAACAAGTCAACAATGGCTTGTTTACACAGGCCTAAGTAAGATAAAAAATTGAATTTGAATTCATGTAGTGTCTCATTTCCAGTCATTGAATTGAATTCAAATATTTGCAAACGTTTGTTACATTTTTGTTACATTTTATATAAATCAATAAAAAATGAATCTGCCAAAATATTCAAATGTAGTTTAATCAATATATAATAAATAAGATATTGACTATAGGTAATAATCAATAAACATATGGTGAAAATGGCAGATGGTAAAGGCTTGAATCTCTCTAAGTATTCATCAAGTATTCTGCCTTGCTATATACACCATTGTTTTTATTACCCTTTGCATTGGTTCTTTATCCTATATCGGTTTGACTTAAAAATAGAGCTTTGTCTGTATGTTAGTTTGTGCTCTATGCTCAGGGTATATAACTTTGGACCAGTCATGGAGAAATGTAAAAAAATCATGAAATTCCTCAATAATAAATCAACTACTGGGTAATTATACATTAGAGGGTGTGGTTAGTTGGGTAGTCCTCTGTGGTAGTTTTCAATGGACTTTGTGACTTATATAGATAACCTGCAAAAAGCAGCTCGTCTCAATAACCCAGTTGCATACATTTCTTGCGTGTTAATTTATTGCTCAAATATATTTTGGTGGTCAAACTGAAATTGATCAAATTCTATGATTAACCCTTGAGTTGGATTAGTACTGTTACCAAACCTACATACATGTACGTTGACTGTTCATTCCATAGGGTTGAAAGGTTATCTTTTTAGATTCAAATTAAAGTTTTTCTATAACAGGTAAACATACTTTATATGCAACTTGACTTAACAAGTGTATTTAATGCACTTTTCAGCGATTTTGGGCACAATAAGAAAATGTGATATACTGTATCCCCATAGACTGTGAGGGTTGCATTTTTCATAAAGAATGATATTGGCAAATATACTGTTTTGATATAGTCTGGGTGCGTAGGAGGAAAACTGACATTACATGCTTGCATTGATTGCATTGAAAAGGTTTGTTTTGAAACAAAGAAGTCACTTTATGACTTGCGCTCTAAACAGTCTATAGGTCAATAAAATAGAAAATAGCCCTGAAAGAAGAGCCTTGTCAAACCAATCAAATTAGAGTATTCTCCTCAGATGCCTGGGGATATATGAAGTGATAATCCAATGTTCTTTAATTACTGTTTTATTTTCCTATGATTACAGATGATTGCATCTGCTTAAGGCTTAGAATCGGGGATTGCAGTTTCGGCCAGAAAATTCATAAAGTATTTGGTAAGTGGTTTTAACTTATATTTTTATTGCATGTTAAAACACAATAATCTCTTACTGAATGTATCCTAAAAGTATGTATATTAACTTGTTTTCTTATCTTCATACATTTTAGCTAGGGTTTGAACCAGGATCTTTGTAGTGCACTAATGGATCTTTTTCACAAAGTCCAAACTTGTTATTCAATTCCTCTGTGTTATTTATTTGACAGTTTGATATGACAGAGGCTGTCAGGCTTTACTTACTACTAGAGCAAATTCAGCATAGCTTTTTTTATAATTAAAGAAATGGTCCATATGTGCTATTATTCCCATTGTACATTTGCCAAACATTGTTTTCTTAACAGTTCAATTGGGTTCAAATTTCTATACCAATTATACAATTCAGCAAAAGTATATGAATTCACTATGGAAATGAGACAAACTTGACGAAGCAATGATTCTGAGTGAATGTAGAAAAAAGTTGTTATCTCCAGTTTATTAACGTGTTATGATAAGTGCTGCCATCTTTATTGAGGATCAAGTAACTTCTCTGCATCTATAATGTCAAGTATGCACAGTATATGTATGGCCATGTATGTAACAGTGGAAGATGTTATCAGGTTTTGAATTGACAGAAAAAGTCTTGCTTTTTAAATGGTTAAGATAGTGATTTGAGATATGTCCAGCTGCCAGGAATGCTAGTTAAAATCAATTGTTCACAATCTGTTTTCTAATCATTTTCTAAACATTTATTATACCCTATATATAGAAAAAATATCTATTAAACATTTATGTTGTTAAGTATGATATGAAATTGACCAAATATGTCAAATAACAAGATGAATACATTAGTTGATAACATAAATGAAAGAGAAATGTATTTATCCATGTTTTCAGTGTTAATAATATTTTTAGATTTAGATTTACTGAGAAAAATAGAGAGATGGGAGAGGGAGGAAGGTTTGAGGAAAAAACAAGGACAATAAGGGCCCTCTAAACTCCACCCAATTTCATTATATTGTTTCATTATAAATGGGTTATGGTCATCGGGTATCATCTATAAGATAATTATTTATGATACTTGATGCAAATTGATTTTTTCACCCATAATGAGATTGGACCCATGATCGAACACTAATGATGCAATAGAATAAGCAATATCAATTCCCTCATCGACAAAAATTGTTTGATGTTGTAAATCTTGTTATCAATCTAATGAAGTACTAAATAACCAAATGCAGGAATATGAGTTTTATCAATAAGGTAAGTGTGACCTTATTGAATTGTTAAATCAGAGCCTAATGCTTCTCAGTAATGTTGTCAGTCTTGGCTAAAAAATGGAACTATATGTACTCCCTTATTTTAAACTTAGATCAGATCAGATATTATTACCTTAACCTCTTGAATCCCAGGCTGTAAAATAGGTTGAAACGAGAGAATTTTTCATTTTTTGACATTTTACTACATATCTATACAACTTTAGACGCTCAACTTAGTAAAATTAGACAGAGATCATTTCTACACATTTTAAAACAATTTTGTGTAAATAAGATGAAAATTGTTTAAATGAGAGAAATTTTAGTGAAAATTTTGTGACAGATTTTCTCGTCACTCTGGTTTTCAAGGTTATTTCTGAGGTGATGAGAAATCTCGTCACTCCAGGTAGTCAAGAGGTAAAAGACTTTGCTAGAGTATTTGAAAATCCTTCTAGCTCATTTGTTATCACACCTTTTTAAAAAATGTACTTGTCTAGGGTTACAAGTTGATATGCCCATAGTGCATGTTCTGTATGTTATGTCACACTGGTTTGGGCTATGCATTTGTATGGTTTGTATTATGGGTTTACCATTGGGACTGCGTTTCTTATGGTGAGTACTTCAGTCTTATGTCAGGTACCCTGAATAGCATCCCTTGTTTTCCTAATTTCCTGAAAAAAAATCTGAAAGAGTCATTCTTCCTTTCATCTTTTGTCTGATAAGTCTCTCCTGCAAAGATAGGAAATTCATGAAGGGAAATTTCTTTTGATATTTTCTCTTACAAATATGACAGTTTCTTTAATACCAGGACATTGAAAGCTTAAGACTAGTGAGAATTTACATCAATTTCATGCTCCAACACCATTTCACGCAGGCTGATCAATAGTCGAGACGCGTTGGATTGTGGCATAATTTCATTAACCAATCATGAGGGATTGCTTTGCCTATCTTCTGTAGAATTGTATTCACTTATTGTTTACTTGTGACTTTCTTGTTTTGTTCTTGATGGATACTACCTTTGAATATCACTGGAAGACAGACCCAGAAACCCTTCTCAAAGGAGCTAAGTGTGTTCTTTTATGTGCATGTAGACATACAAGCACATACCTCAACCCTTTGTATGAGTTGTGGACCACTCAGTCAGACACCCTGGATCACTTATGCACCAAGCAAAGTGTCTTACTTGAACCAGAGATGGGGTCTAGGGCCACTGGATGATTGGTGAACCTTTACTACTTCAAGCTATTTGGGCAGATCCGGATGAAACAGTTGTGCTGTGCCCAAATAATCAAATGTGATCACATAATTTCCTGAAATCACCAAGCAAATCCTTGTTCATTGTCATAATATGGACGAATTTCTATATATGGTCATTTCCTCTGACATTATTATATGAGCATGCATTTAGCCTGATTGGTTGAGAAAAGATCAGTGGGGTAGGTTTGAAATGATTTATGACCTTGCTGTCATTGGTACCATGTCATGGATGCAGGATTGCTAAATTGCAATATAGTCTACATAAGGCGTAGGGTAGTTTATAACTAGACTCAGTACGCAGGGCACAAAATGGTGTAATTTTGAAAATATAAATGGCAAAGTTGGTCTTTGATGATTGAATTGTCTCGTCACTTACTTTTACTCAATTGTCTATTATTTCAGGCTTGCGGTTTTAGCTCATTGATTTTTGAGCATTATCTTTCCTGTCGTAAGTGGTTCGTTATAAAATATTTTTCCTTAGCTAATGGATGCATTGTCTTGATGAATATCATATCAGGATTAACTAAATGCTTTGTATTTTTAGAAATCTGAAATCAATTTATAAGTTACATATTGTATCAATTTTCTATTATGAAAGAACAGTGGGAGAGTTGCTTTAACAATCGTGTCTTTAGATTTCATAATGCGCTCTCATTATCACGGGGTACCATCGAATAATTTTGGCAACGTACCGGAGAACGACATTTTACTAAGAAATGGCAATAATTTAGCACAATATATTTTTTAACTATAGTTCTATTTTGATTTTGACAAAAGTAAGTATTCCATGCAATAACTATTTCATTCATGAGTTTGTAGGAATTCTGTTGGAACCCAGTTCTGATCAAGTACGAAGTTATTGAAATCGGCGCAGACGGACTGTACTCCGAAAGATGGTTTTTCGATTATAACTTTTCACAACATTTAAGTATAGACTTTTGAAAAAAGTACAGAATAGTCCTTATACTTTTAAATAATTCTGTTATTTCTGATTCACACGACTCTGATTTGTTTAATTAAAAAAAAAGTTTTAAAAATATTACTTAGGAACGTAACCGGAGCTGGGAACGTAACCGGAGCAGATCAGTTGAATTATATAATTTAAAAAAAATAAAATATATGATTTAAAGCATATATATTATTAACAAACACATATGTCAGCTTACTTGGTGTGATATAATTATAGAACACTGTCTATTAACGACTGAAAAGCAATGTTCTGTAGTTTAACTAGATTAAATAATTCAACTGATCTGCTCCGGTTACGTTCCCAGCTCCGGTTACGTTCCTAAGTAATATTTTTAAAACTTTTTTTTTAATTAAACAAATCAGAGTCGTGTGAATCAGAAATAACAGAATTATTTAAAAGTATAAGGACTATTCTGTACTTTTTTCAAAAGTCTATACTTAAATGTTGTGAAAAGTTATAATCGAAAAACCATCTTTCGGAGTACAGTCCGTCTGCGCCGATTTCAATAACTTCGTACTTGATCAGAACTGGGTTCCAACAGAATTCCTACAAACTCAAGAATGAAATAGTTATTGCATGGAATACTTACTTTTGTCAAAATCAAAATAGAACTATAGTTAAAAAATATATTGTGCTAAATTATTGCCATTTCTTAGTGAAATGTCGTTCTCCGGTACGTTGCCAAAATTATTCGATGGTACCCCGTGATTATACTGATTTGGTAATACTTAAATTTGATATTTATGATTGTGTGAAATATCAACAGGAAAACAAGTTCTTTTATGACTTTTCTAAAAAGTAGAACTGCCTTATGTCATTAGTTTAAGTCTAAGAATTTAATGACTTAAATGTACTTCCACATTTTGATCCAAAAATTAGAAAATTTCATTTCAACCTATAATCTAAGTATTTTTATATTGAAATTTGGGAAGATGCATTTTTCAAAGTTTATTATTTTTTAGAGAACTGGTGTCAAAAAGCATATATATATATATATATATACAATAAATCTGCCATATACATTTCATGTCATATCAGTACAATTTTCAATCATTTCCCAACCAATTACTTGTATTGCAAGTAGAGTTCGCTTTGGTAAATATAGAATATCATTCTTATATTAATAATAAAGTAGATTTTCCGCTTTGGCTATATTTGGTTCCCAATATGAAATCAATTCTGTATTTGTTAGTTGTGATTGTAAGTTAGTAAGTTACTCGGATCAATATCAACAAGATTTTACAATTTATGTGGTCTTTTTAGCTAAATGTAATAAATCTAGCCAACTAATTCAGTTTATCTAAGAAAATGGAACTTGGCATATCCAAGTGAATAAAGCAGTTTAAGGCCTGATTGCAGATAAGTTGAATTCTTGAAGATCAGAAATTCTTTGATATAATTGTGGTAAGTAAATTTTTGACTTATTTTCTTAAGGATTAGAATGCGCAAAATACATTAGAAAGCATACAATATATACGTTTGTATGTATGTATATAGGATTCACCTGAGCTGTTGCTATTCTCTTATGAAATGAGGGTC